CCCTCCTGTTCTCTAATAAGCATTACATTGAGAGTAGACAATTTATATGCATATTTCAGTCTCTGTGGCCTGTAACAACAAGCTTACTAGGCTCCGTACCCATTAGGTATCTGATATACTCTGATAATCATTATATAGTCAATTCTGGTTCTGGTATCACTATGCTATGCCTGAAAACAAAACTAGTCAAATCAAATGAAACAAGATCGCCATGCCCAAGTCAAGAAGGGAATAAGTGAATAAGAGACCCAGTAGTCCACCGCCGGGTCCAGTCCAATCATCCAACTCCAAAATAGCCACTCCAAGAGTAGCAGAAAAAAAAACCCAAAATTGGTAATGGATGAAAGTAATTATCATATAGTCGTTTGTCGTCCTTGGTTATCGAGTCCATCTGGACTCAAGCATCGAGGAAGAGGGATATCATCCGGTCATATCCTCATGTCGCATGTCATCCAAAGCCCATCCAGAAGGAAGAGTCTGGGCAGACCAGGCAGCATGTCCCTGCACGCAATCGAGACAGCGCACGATCTCAGCGCCAGTTTCGGTGACATCCTCGACGGCACAGCTGGAGCAAATTTTTCTGCGGGGCAGTGCTTCTTCACCCGCATCGTAGTCGTTTAATCTGTCGATATCGGGATCGTGCATGCTATCTGGAAGGCCGAATGTTCCTCCGCAATTGACGGTGTCGCATTGTCGGAGACAGATGAAACAGGCCCGCTCGTGGCACAAATCGCAGTCAGCGTAAGCGTCGAGGACTTGGCGGGTTGTTGGGCGTCGGTGGCATATATGGCAAGGGCGCAGGGCTGATGGAGATGCTGAGACTTGTTGGGTCTGGCCTGGGTACCGGAGAGGGACGAGGGTCCGTGGTGAGACTGGGGGCGAGTAGGGGTCGATGTTGGCGGCGTAGACGTTCGGTGAGAGGTGTGTTGATTGTTGGGGTTGGTGGGGATGTTGATGCTGGAGAGCGAGGTAAGGGCTTTGGACGTTTCGACGCTTGCGTGGGAGGCAGCGTGGTCGGAAGGAAATGTCAGTCCCTTCTGGGTGTCGTGATAGAGGATGTGAGCAGCTGTCGAATTCTGGGCGGTCTACTCGGAAGGCGGCTGGGGTGAATGTGGCCCTGAGTAGTCGTTAGTCCCAGCTGATAAAGAAGCGAGAGAAACTGTCTGGACTTACGGACGAGCTAGAGTCACTGTCTCCTCGTGGTCCCGCTTGCGCTTCTTCCATGTTGCCGTTATCGAGTCGGTCTGTTGGGGCGAAAAGCCTGGCATTGGGGTGTCACAGTAATCAAACCAGGTCATGTATATATGTATGCCTGTACTCCGTAATTTGACAGTGGTCAAAGTGGGATGATCAAGGAGACTTGATACTCGGGGGTTGAGGCCAAACAAAAGAAACGAGGGCGGTGAGGCGATAACAACTATCAACCCACAATCACTCTGGTGGTTGCATAGATAGTTAAGTTATATATGGTAGAATTCATGTTTATTTACTATTTCATTTAAATAACAGACCCTACACCATCCAGACGAGCCTGAATAGTCTTCTCATCAAATTGCCCACTATCACCGACATAGTTCCGCAGAACTTCATAAGTCATCAATCGCCGAGGTGCTTTGCGGCCTGTCATCAACTCAAACTGGGCAATGCCTTGTTCAGTAACATTCTCCAGTCCATCGGATAGGACCCAGGGTCGTCCAGTCTCGCTGCGGACTCGGCGCATTTGTTGGAGGAGTGGCGTATCGAGGGGTTTATAGGCCAACTATACCGCTGTTAGTAGATGTTGCAAGTAAAAACAACATATATGAAGATGATCTTACCTCGAGAATCACACCCCCGGTGGGACTTCCGAGCCATTGGATTGGCATCTCGAAGTTCGCTGGGGGTTCATCTCGGTCCGGGTCTGCCGGTACACAGGATGCAACGAGACTAGGCGGAGTAGCATCTGCTGGCCAATCTTGTTGTAGAGAATTCAAGACGCGAACCACCTCAGCGGAGCCAACCTGCGAGGAAGCCCAGGAATTGAAATGGCGTGCGACCTCCTCAGCCCGTGACTTGGTGCGGTTATAAATAAAGATCTTTCGACAGCCCAGACGGAGCATGGCATAGATGGCGGCCCGCGCCATACCACCAGCACCAATGACCAAGCCGGTCGTCTTCGCACTGATTGCATTACGAGGAGAGAGATGGCGGGTGATACAGGTCATAATGCCGACCCAGTCTGTGTTTTCGCCGTACCAGCCCAACACGCGGCCAGCCTGGTTGCGACGGCTAGCTTGTTCCTGAAGCGGGAACATAGTGCCATCGGCGTCACCGCGGAGTGGCATGATTGTGTTGATGGCACCAATTGCTTCGGCGTGTCGACTTTTAGAGGCGAGTTTCTGGTATACTTGAACTCGCCATGGCTGGACAACACTCGACCCTCCAAAGTGCGGGTCCCGGCCCAGCCGGTCTAGCACTGCTAGTGAAGGCGAGTCGGGGATGGTGTAGGTGTGGCCCATGCCACAGTGTTGGTATGCGGCATTATGCATGGCCGGAGATAAACTGTATGCTACATTCTCTCCCGAGATGTAGAATTTTAACGGATCGAGCATGTAACTCTGGAAGAGGGCGCGGACAGCATCACGCGAGGTTATTTGAGGATCGTACTCATTCTCTGCTGACCGGGTGATTGCTGGGTGTGTTACTCCAGTGAGAATTGAGTTGAAGACTTGTGATGTGCGACCCAGGGCTCCAATGTTGTAGGCGATGAGCGGTGGGTGTTCGTCTGGGAGCGAACGGATCTTATTAGTGAACTCGATCACAGCGGCATTGTCCTCGCGCTTTGTTGCGACGCGGAGAAGGCGGACCAATTGACAGCCGAGCTTTTCAGCTTCGTGATAGAGGGCGACACAGCCCTCGCTGTCCCAGCTGATAGGGGAAACTGGTTTAAAGACCTGCTGGCCGATGATCTTGGTATTCCCACGGCCACGGATAATCCCAGCCAGCCGGGATCGGTCCTCGGTCAGGTCTACAACGAGATATTCCACTCCCAAGCGTAGACCGTGCTCAAGTATATCAAAATAGGGTCGAGGAGTGGTCGTTTCACTGGAGCCGATACCAGTAGAGGAGGTATCAACAGACAGAACCACAGGAACCCGCGCATTTCGACGCAGGTCCGCTACCTGTTTGCTGATGATAGTTGCCATGTCAGGGCTCCAGCTATCCACACAGAGTTCGATGGCATCTCCACCAGACTCGAGCTCAGCCAGGCTCACTGAGTCGGCGATCAGATCTGAGGACCGCACAAATATAGCATGGGTGAAAGAGCGGAGTTCCGGCGGCGTCTCCAGCAGCACAAAAGGCGAGTCATAGCTGGAGTGATTGACGTCGAGTCCAGTGACAAATTGCACGAAGCGAGTGAAATCTTCCTTGACTTCCTGCAACTTGAAGGAATAATCGGCCGATCGACGATCCGGGCTCCCGTCGTCCGCCGCGCGTGTCCGGTCTTCCAGGTTGTAAAATTCAAAATTTGAACACATCCGATGCATGGGGTCTCCTTCACGGAATAAGCGCACTGCCTGATCCTCCAGCCCGAGCAATTGCTGAATGCGATCAAAATCGCGTAGCAGATGAACCACGGGATTGGACCGGGCATAGCGACGCAGATGATCCTGAACAGGTCGCGTCAGACTGCCCAGTCCACACTCCATGACACAGCCTGTGCGATGATTGTCTAGCATCATCTTGAGCACTTCAATGTCCCGGCGCTGAAACTCCTGGCTGCCATAGCTCTTGAGGTAGTCTTGTCGTGTGACTCCGGTGACTTCTCTGAAGTAGTGGTCTTCGGTGATAAATCGTCGCTTGAGCGCGGTGGCTGCGACAAAGCCTAGTGAGCGCTTGCCGCAGCCGCGAATGCCGACTAGAACGAGGGATGCATCGGGAGCAAAGGTTCGCGGGGCAGATTCGCGGGGCACTATATGAGGGACGGATTGGACGACGGGGAGGCCGGAGGGCCTCACGGTAGGTGGAATCGAGGGCTTGTAGTCGAGCATGGCGGCAACAGATCAATTGGGTCTATGTCGAGACGAGCGCCATGTTCACAGGCGCAAGGTAGAGGCCGAATGCAGATGTGTAGAGCTTCAGGAAATGCGAGAGCGAGGGGGTTGTACCACGCTCATACCCAAGCTATTAGCAGTGTAGATAGTAGGCAATAGGTAGTCAGTGTATGTAAATATCCATGAAGGTCCATGACCAAATTTCCCCGGATGAGCAACTGCCGACCGCCTGGGGTCACCCGGCAGAATACTTTTCCCTTTTTCCACTTGTCTGTCCACTTGGAAACTTCTCGGGCTTCATCCGAGCCTCTATAAATGTTACGTCTCACAGGATCCTGAGCTAAGATATCCACATCGCGGAATCACTTCCGGGGTCGAGTCCGAGTCCAACTTCCTTTCCCAAGTAGCTGACTGAATAACCTGCACAGTGGAAGTTATGTGTTTATAATCGAAGTTGAGCTTCAACTTGACGTGTAACTGCCGATGCTCGGCAATTTATACGGAACATCGGGAGGAGGCTCGGCTTTTCCAGTCCAAGTTACATGTATACACTATGTCGAAGTTATAAGTAGACACACTATTGAAGCCATTGAAGATCGCATATAAAAATAGAAGTTGCTTTAAATATCAACACAGCCTCTGATAACTAACTTATAGAAAGAAAGGTGGTGACGTGAGCTATGCAGAGTACTGAATCGTGAAGACCGTGGGGAATCCCGAGCCGACTTTAACTTCTCCCGAACATCAACTCCGATATCTTCCTCAGACACCTCGACTCTGCCGTGTTGTGGCCGATATCGAGAGAGTCCACTCTTTTGACTTCCTCCACTCTAACGATTTTCCCTTTTGACGTCCGATTGCGTCGGCATTTCTGTTATACAGGCGCATGACCTCGTCTCTACTCGCGTCACGTCTCACTCTCTGCTTTCTCCTCTACATGGAAACTTGCATTAACTAACCCTCTTCATGGATGAGGGCTCAGACAAGGCCCCTCGCCGCAAGAGGGTGTCCCGAGCCTGCGATCGCTGTCGCAGCAAGAAGGTGAGTGCGCCTCTTGCTCCCCTACCCTTGCCTGATCTGACACTTTCCGTTTCTAGGACAAATGTGACGGTATTCGTCCTACATGTTCCGCCTGCCGAGCATCCGGCCAATCTTGTTCATACGATCCCCATGCGAAGAAACGCGGATTACCCGAGGGCTACGTCCGGGGTTTGGAGAAGCTGTGGGCGCTGTCGATCTGCAACATTGAGGGATTCGAGGACACCATGCTGGCCATGCTAGGAATCACCACCGAGTCTGCCGGCCGTCGCGAGAAATTGATGTCGGTGTGGTCGGATGACAGTGCGTCGGAGAGCTTACACGAATCCTGGAAGACGAGTCGGCTATATGGGGCGCTGGAGAAGATGCTCTCCAACTCCGATGCGCCGCAAGGAGTGGTGACGGGAAAGAGATCGCGAAACCTGCAAGATGATCAGGATGGTCAGTGGCTTCGAGTAGCTCGCAGCTCAACTCTAGGACCGGATGCGCCGCGCGTGGTGGGGCCTACTCCTGCGTCCCCTGGGGTCAAACGAGCGCGATTGGTTCAAAATACGGAGACATGGGGTGCTTCAACCAGTCTCCACACGTTGCAGCTACCCCAGCATACTTCGCAGCTACTCGATATCTATTTTGCCGTAACACATTCATGGCTCCCCATTGTCGCTAAACACAACATCCTTCGCGCTTCTTACGTCTATGCCAACTCCCCTGTGTCTGTTGCAACAGCGTCCCCGGGATCCGGTGATCATGCCGCACTGTGGGCAATACTAAGTTATACCATCACTCAATCTCGAACCAGTTCACGGGCCGGCCCCGCTGGAAATGTTGCTCTGGTGAAAGAATACTATACTGTGTCGCGAAGCCTCATTCCCGCGGAGAACGAGCGCTATGAACTTGGCCATATCCAGGCATTGTTGCTCCTGTCCTTGGTTAACATGGGCCTGGAAGACTGGACTGCGGCTTGGCTGCTGAGCGGCCATGCAGTGCGCATGGCGCTTGCCATGGGCCTGGGTACTTCCACCGATAGCCGGCGGTCTGATGAACTCAGACAGGGCAAGGCAGTGTTCTTGGGATGCTTTGTGATTGACTCATTGCTTTCTTTCCGACTATCTCGAAATCCGGCCATGCCGCCCGGTGATCTGTCCTCTGTTGGTCTCTTGGAGGAAGATGGGCTGGAGGAATGGAACTCTTGGGTTGATGTTCTACCACCCACAGGCGCTGCACAGGGCAGCAAGAGTCCTCCGCGTCGAGGACCACTCATGGCTCTGAGTTGCTTCAATCGCTTGGTTGAATTGGCAAGTGTTCTCAACAACATCTCTCGGAACATGCACTCGGGGTTGAACATGGCCACCTTTGCCCAGCAATTAGTGATGGAGCTAAAACGATGGGATGACCTCTTACCCCTTGGATGTCGTCTTATTGGGCCAGAAAGCATTTATCCAGAACGGCACTCGGCTCTGCTTCCCCACCAGAGCTACCTCGGGCTGACTTATGTGGCCACTCTCCTTTGGCTGTATCTGCAGCTGATCCCAGGGGAGCAGGGTTTACACCGTTCTCAGCGGCCAGCCACAGAAGGAGCCAAGAAGCTTCTGTACCGCGGCTTGTCTATGATCACCCAACACCTTGAGAATTTCCCCGTTTGTGGACTCCCACCGTTATTTGAGTTGAGTCTTCGCACAATCGCCAAGCAAGCATCTACACTGCGGCAGACCGCCGATTCATCCGACACATTCCCTTTCGCCAGATGGGCGGAGGAGTTCAAACACAAATTAGCAGGATTCAGCTCCGCCTGGCCAGCCTACAGCTCTTTGGTGTCTGCCATGGAAAGGTGGCAGCAATCTAAAGACCTTACTGGTCCATCCGCATTCTCAGGTCAAGTGGGGAATGCACCAATGTTCCCATTGCAAGGAAGTTCTTCTGTTCTAGGCTCTATGCAAACTCCAAATGGAGCTCGTGGCTTAGTCCCCAATGGCGAAGGCCATTACGCCTCTTCCATTATTGGCATCAGCATGCCAGTCGATGCACAGTCCATAACACCTAAAGATACGGTGATGGAGAACGCGGATCTGGGCATGATGGACGTGTCCATGCAACGGCCGATGGAAGCCCAACAAGTCATACCAGACCAAGGAATTCCGCGCAGTGGCCCAGACTCCATGTATGCCCCGAATAGCGCACAGTCACAGCCGCAACAATCACAACAACCTCAAACGCCCGACTCGACAAGCTCTAACTCAATGATGCCCGGAAATGCTGCATCTATAGGTAATATCGATGCTATCTTCAAGGATCTCGCATATCTCGATACTACGGAATGGGCTACCAACCGCGAAGCTGGCTTGAAGGACTTTGGCTTCTTGGATGATAGCACCTTCCAGGCCTTTTGTCATGATCCAGATCGGTTGGTTGGGTCACAACCCTTGGTTCATCCGCCTTCCATTGCAGATATTTGGCCGCCTCCTGGCTTCTTCCCAGAGACCTTCCAGGAGGCCCCCGAGGAATCTATGGCTGGCTGAGGAAATTGCAATAATTGGTTTACCTTTTTCCAGGGTTGACTCACCCTAGTGGGTCTACTCTATCCTACCATTCCCAGTTCCTCCGGATCGGTGTTAGTGATTATCACAAGAAACCCGAGTCCAGGATATCAGCGACATGCCCGCCACCAAAAAATGAGCACAGGGATTTCCTGGCTCATATCATAAGCATCGTCTCAACCTCGAAATTCACCATATTTCGCCATATGAGAGACCACCCACTCCCTCCGAATCATAACATCCAATCCCTCGACATAGAAAGAACAAGAGAGCTTCTTCCTCCCTCGGAACAGACAGTTCCAGGATCCATGTATATATACCCGCGCTTCAAATCCAGCGCATCTACAAAAGCTCTTTCTGTGTATGAACAAATATAGCCTTGGGCATACTTTTACATTTGTATCATTCGTAATGAGGACAATAACAATCTCCATTGCTGATCTATAGGTCAGCAGAGTAGGCCTCGATCCATGATGGTCGTATATGGACCAAGTTTACTCCCGATTTACTCCATGGAACTGTCTTCGGCATCGAATTCGGCCTCGACCTCGACCTCGAACTCGGCTTCGAACTCAAACCTAACCAAGTATCTACCTCGATCTCGGAGTCGGACTTCGTCTACATAGTACCAAGCGCCAAGCTGGAACATGCCTAGATTAAACCAACATTTCAAAGAAAATGCATGGATGGGATCAAGATATGTATAATGCAGGGACTCAGCCCGCATTCTTTAGAATCTATGCGCTAGAGCACCCTAAGTGGAGATGAGAGGTTCGTCTACATTACTATCGCATTTGGAATTGGGAGAACTGAACTGCAGTGGTTCTTCAAGTTCATGTGTCCCCCAACTTCAGAATAAACTCATACATGTACACTTTCAATCCTCAAATATATGCTTACCACTCCATCAAAGCAAATAAACCCAGCATTAGCTTTAGCGCACTGTCAAACAAGCTCCATCGGCACCATATGAATACCGCCTGGAATAACAACTTCGTTTACATGACCCCGAGATGCATCGCCACTACCACATATTCCTCGGAGACTCGTTCGCGTGGGGCATGAGTGTGACAGCGGCTTCGTGAGGATTGGGGATGTCAATTGGGCTGTACGATTTCACGGCGAGTTTCAGATTGTTCTCCTGGCCTATTTTAACAGCACCAGGTCCAGATTGACTCCGACAGCTCTAATCGTATATAAGTAACGACGTGGATTCTACGCATCGCAAGTAATACCTTGCAGCTCCTTATGATTCACTTCAATCTCCGTGTTGGCCATAGACTTTGAAATATTTGAATTGATTTAATTTAAACCTTGGTATCGCTAGGAATATCAGTGTAAAGGAAATGGCAATAGAAGTGGAAAAGAAATGGAAAGATCCAAGGATCAGTGTCATGTATTTTGTCTGCCCGGCAGACGATGCCAAAACCGCGCCGTTGTATAACGCCTCGCCAATGAATTCACCTTCGCACAAATTTGTCAACGTGAGAGTGTATGCAAAGGTGACCGTAAGGAAATAGAGATGAAGAACGACAGGAATATGTATATATGTACAAGAATAACTCAAGGAGGAAAAAACCATGACCAAAAGTGAGTCCAATCAGACGAAAATGTATTGAACCTCGGGACACGAATGCTGGAATGACCTCAGAAGCTTTTGGACGCGTGATCCCATCCAGCCAGAGTGTGTGCCGTTTTTGGCGACACCAGCAAAGGTCGTAGGGGCGTGCTTGCAGACTCGGTCTTGTTCATTGAAGGTGTATTGTAAGCAGTCCTGATTGCGGGCACAGACTTCGGCGCAAGCATCCACAGTAGGGATGGTACCGGCTGCAAAGTCAATCTTCACGCCAGAGAGGTTGTCCCAATCTTCACGAACGGTGAATGAGCCGTCATAGATGAATTTCTGGTAAACATCGGCGTGCAGCATGAGGGCGTTTTTGCCGCTTGCAAAGAAGCCGCGGTCAAATCTCCACATTTCCTCAATATCCCGGGGAAGCATGTGGTGGTAAGAGATGATCGGATAGCACCAGGGCTGGCGGCCATAACCCTCAGAGAAGTGGTCGATTTCCCATGGGCGCGAGGTCATCATCATTGGCCAGGCCCAGGTCAAGTCCACATTCACATCACGCAGAGCTCGTGCCAAGGCACAATCTCCGGCCCATTCATTAGCAGTCATTCCTTCCAATTTTTCTTGGGCACGGGCGCGGTAGCTGCTTAATCGTTGCATAGTTTGACTGGATAGAATAATGCCTGCTCCGCCATAGCCGAAAAGCGTCTCGCCAATTTGCATGGGGCTGCCCAGGTAGTACTGGCGGGTGTTGTCGAGATGGGACAACCAGTTGACCAAGTTCGGCCACACCATGTACGTGTCGGCTTCCAAGAAGACATACCACTTGGCATCTGGCATAACCTCCAGAGCCTGATCAATCATGGGTAGGAACTTCCACTTGTCCAGCTTCCATCCGGGATTGTTGACTTTGCCTAACGGTCCGTTTGTGTCGTCGCCCCACTCCGCGTCGGTCAATCCTTCGCGACCGACTTCTTGTAGGCGGCGGTAGATGTTGAATTCAGGTTCACTTGCCATGGTAGCATCGCTGACATTGCGGAGAACGTCGTAAGTGCGGATTCCGTTGATGGTTTCCTCATAATCGGAGAAGATGGCGAAGTGCGGGACACATTGAAGAGTGGTGGCGAGGTGGACTGGGACTTTTTCGAGGGATTCGGTTGCTCCGGTCTTCAGGACGACCATGACATTGTCGAGGCCGTGCAGTAAATGACCACATTTGTCCTGCAGGTTCTCCGAGGATGTTTTCTCGGGGGGATTATTCGTCTCTGGCTTTTCCTCCCCTACCACGATGGTTTCCGGGCCGGATGGCGTTAATTGCTCTGAATTTGTTACTGGTATAGGGTTGGATTCAGGCAGTCGAAAGAGGTAGTATATCAAGCAAAATGTAAGGAGCGGAAAGACGACGAACAGCCATCGTCGAGGAGAACTGAACATGGTCGGCAATTCAGTGATAATCTAAGTGAGAATCGAAAAGGATGTACCCATCCAGGTAACGAGAGAATGTCGATGGCTGAAGAAGAATACGAGCGCCTGAGCAGAAAAAAAGGGACAATGATCGCCTGGAGAGCAGACCAGTTCACCTCGGCGCGTAGGACGATCCATGGCCCGAGGGAACAGGCACACCCCATTGCTTTCGGTAGCGGCGCAACATCGACGAGCTTGATAGGCTAACTGCCAAGTTCATTGGGGAATGATCAACAACCACGCGGCCCAGGGGCCAACGAGGCTGTGGCGTCTCGCAGGGCCTGTCCGCTGCCCCACGGGAAGCGTCATCGCTTGCGGAACTTAGGCTTGTGTCAAGGCAATGATCGACTACAGTGTAGTGGGCGACATTCAGGAGGTTGAAGATCGTAAGATCAGGGGTCCAGCATTTCGATATTACAGATTGACGCCATATTGCGCGAGAAAATGAGCAACGTCCAGTTTCTCATCAGAATAGAGCCTAATGCATGGAATGACAGACGTCCTGAAACCGGATCACTGGCTGTAGGGTCGACACCCGATCGGTGAGGCAGTGATTCACGTGGGGTGTTTCAGGTTGTTTCATTTGAAAGTTTGTCTGGTTTGCTCTGTTTGCCTATACGTTAAGGGGTTCGCCGTTCTACTGTGGAGTCAACTAGCTCGAAACTCCATTGAATATCCCGCTTGTCTGTCTGTACAGCACGCTATATCATTCCATATTTCAGTTCTTACTGATTTACCCGAGATAAGTCATTCTATACGGTGTGTTCAGCTAGGATTCTGGAGAAATATTTAGAGACTTCTGGTATAGTATTCTCGCAAAGATACCTTAACAGTTATGTGAGAATCTTGGATAGACTTATGGTCAATGCTTGAGTTTGGGGTCGGGTTGGGTGTGGGGTCTGACTTGAAAAGGAGGTGAACATCATGACTTTGACCGCAAAGGGCCCCTGTACAGCCATTTCCTCAGATATATATATGTGGCTGGAAGATAGGGGCATAACCTAGTTTTCCTGAGGTGCTTTGTGTTGACCGAGTCTAAAAACATTATAATAACTCGATAATATAAACATATACAGAACGTATAGAAACAACCTAAATACAAAATACCACTTCCTCATCACTCATATACAATCATTTGCCTATAAACGCGTATCAAATCATGCTTCTTGACCTTGCGTGCGTCTCTTGCGTTCCCACAGGAAAACAGGAGTAATTGTTAAGACAATAGCCACACAAACAACGGCAGCCTGAATCCCAAAGACCAAGCCCAGTCCATTGCGATCAATCCAAGCTGGCTGGAAATATCCCACTGCGAACCCGCCGCAGGTACGCCACATGTTCAGGATTGCTGAGACACACGTAGATTGTTCGGGGTATTTTTCTAATGCATAGGCAGAAATGGCGCTGTTCAAACGAAGAGTAATGGTCAGTTAAATGCTTCAATTCAGCATGTTGGAATTGCCAACTTACACAATTGTTGCTACCATGCCGGTGTTCACCATGATCCAGCCAAATGCCAGGCCAATCCAGTGCTTGCCAAAGTGCAGGGTGAGTCCGTATGTCAAGAGGCCAGAGGCCATACTACCAATTGGGAACCAGACACCGTGGAGACGGAGTTCGGTTCGCCATGTGTTATTATTGCTGTGCCGGTTGAAGATCCAGCCATTGAAGAAGTGACCAAAGGCCCAGCCTGAATATCTGTTAACAAAGAAGATAGAAGGTTATTAGTATCACGTACCACACAGAGCCCCGATGACACCAGCAAATCGCATGGATGATGCCTCGATTGTGTCAAAGAGGTAGGGCGGACTATGTAAGAAGGCGTCGATAGTAGTTGTAATTCCTGGAAAATTAGCACAAAAGCAGAACCCCATGTTGAGCTATAACTCACCAATGGGCCATGTAAATGTCACCAAAATGGCGAAGCCTACAATCTCATGGTCAGCAAATATCCTCAAACCAGATCGCTTATACTTACCAGTCATCAATAACGGAAACTTGAAGATATAGACTACGACCATTCGACACCAATATGTCAATGTAGATCCCTTCGGAAGTAGAGTGTTTCCAATGCCACAGTAAGAAGCTAGGCGTGAGGGACTGCCTCTTTGGCCATGAACATAATAAGTCTCATAGCCGAACAGGATGACCATGGCCGTAGACACGCCATAGATGGCTGTGAGTACGCCGAAGGAGGTGCGCCAGTCCGTTCCGGCACCGATGTATCCTGCTATCGCGGGACCGAGGAAGGGACCGACTAGAAAGGTAGTTCCCCTATTCGAATCAGTATCAACTTATAAGATTGAAGCAAAGGCATCCTACCAGATATTGATCATACGCGGCCATTCTGCAGTGGGATTAGTATAGGTTGCTAGTGGAAGATGAGACAACATACCAGCCGAGGTATACATATCGTGAATAATGGGAAGACCAATAACCTGAGGCACAGTCCCAAACAGACCCTGCAAGGATCGGAAGGTCGTGAAAGTGGACCAGTCATTGGAAAGCGTAGCACCCAATACCATGAACATGGTGATCACCTGAGGCCATAGCCAGATCGGCAGACTGCAGGCAACTGTCAGCAGGAGTAATCCTGCAATGGAACAAGGCAGATAACGCATGTGCATATACAGCAAAGCAAGCTACTCACCGACCGTAGGCTTCAATAAGCGGCACTGCAAAGATACCTCCAAAGCCCTGAAGCAGGATGCCATAGTTCATACTCGTCGCCGAATGTGTGATACTAATGTCCCAATCCATGGCTTGCTCAGTTATCAGAGTAGAACCCCAGACCATTGCCCTGCGATCCAACTCAGTCAGAATTCAAATTCTCATATGCCTGAGTGGGAAGTTGTGAACGAGATGTGCATACCCATCCGCCAGCAACGAACTGGTCATTAGCGATATGAAGAGCATGGTTTTCCTCGTTGAGCTCCAATTTCTGGGATTCAGGGAATCCCTGGACTCAGACTCATCCTTAAAGTCCCGCATCTCATGGGATTGCGATGGACTGGCATTCTCCATGTCGTGCATGCTTTCGATCGTGAATAACTTCTCCATAGTACAGTACTATGCACACTACCTATACCTGGTATAGATCCGAATTAAGGAAGATAATTCCGAAAAATCGATAGTCAGGCAAGGAGGCAGAAGAAGGAATGAAGATCTTCCTTTTCTTCTGTGTGACGGGCACTGAAGGTTTTATGCATAGGCGGTTTTCGGATTCGACACATGGAATCTCGCGTGGCTTTTGTCGCGCAGATGAATCAAAATGGAAACCCGAGAGACTGGGAGAATGGCGTCGGAGAGATCAAAGAGAATGATTCATCGAGCCTGAGATCTGTTGGATCAGAAAGTATACAGGAATGAATCTATCACATCCCGGGCCCCTAACAAACCACACTAGTCGATCCTTGCATGCAACGCCATAACTAATTCTCTGTACAATTTACCTCCTTCTATGTACTTCCAAGTTCTCGGCTTTACTTTGCCGATCAGGTTTTGTGACGCCCCTTGCTTGCGCATAACCCCCCGGCTTCATTCGTCCAATAATAGCCCAACGAGAAATCCTCTTGTGCAGGGTGGGATTAGGGTGGGATTGTCCAAGTTTAGCTAGTGACAGGTGCAAATTACAGACATGAAGCCTCCAATTGTTCGGAATTCTAGCCGGTCGCAGATCCTCTGTACTGTATACTTCATAGATAGAAAGCCATCCACTACTCCGTTCTCCGTATAGTAAGATTTATTTCCACAAACTTCCTCTACAGTCTTAGGCACGCAATGTCTCTCTTAACTCGTATAGCCAGTCTTCTGGGCCTATCATCCCCCGCCCCCGTTGCGCCGCCCGGTGCAGCGCTCGCAGCAACCCTCACAGTGGTAAGTGTAACCACAGAACAGGCGTGTTTATCATCTAACTCGGTCGCAGCCTGCTTCGTTGGGATTTGTACCGGTCGCGATTCACTTTGATCTCTTTGATATTCTTGTGAGCCTTGGTAGTCCGGCGAGTGCCGAGAAGGTGACAACGACCTGCAATGCACGCATCAAAGCCCGAGACAACAATGAGCCAGAGCTGAGTACGTGTTTGACGCCTGTTGGTTGGTCTGCTTATTATGCATTCCTTATCCTGTTGTTGCTGTTATTTGGACTGTTATACTGACAAGGGGTATAGGTACCAGATTAGCCTGTAGGCCAAGCCCCGATTACTAGCCCGACTAGATACTGACACGCCTTTTCTGCAGCGGACACGCTCTACATCATGGCTGGGCTGGGGTTGGTCGAGCGCATGGACGAGGACAGTTTCAGTGCAAATGCCATCACGAAGCACATGGTCGCCATGCCCTCTGCCCAGCATGGCGCCCTACACTTGTTTGTTCCCCCTGCATATGCGCCATTGGCACAACACTAATGATCATAGCACCACCGAGGGCTTGATGGCTGGAGCATTCCTTATGAAAAAGCTCCAGGACACAAACTTTGCTTACCCCTTCGCGGACGCAGATGGCCCCTTGCAATACGCGTATCGGCTGATGGGCCAGCCCGAGCTGGCTGCACAGCACACGTACTCTATCATGGAGACTCAGGGCCGCATGGACAGCTTCAACCGTTTCATGGTGGGTAAGTTTTTCAAATTCGGGACATTCCCCGAGCGGGTCAAGTCTATGGGATACGATCTGGACAGTGCATTGGCCATGGATGGGAACCCAGGCTCGGCTGCAATGGTCGACATTGGTGGCGGCCGAGGCGAGCTCCTCCTTGAAGTCCAGGCTGTCTATCCACAGCTGACGGCGGATGAGCTTATCGTGCAGGAGTTCAATGCCGAGATTGACAGTGTACCTGGTGTGCGTCTCATGGAGTGGAACTACAAGGAGTCTAGTGAGCAGCCTATCCGCGGTGCGCGTGTTTACTCCCTGCAGCATATCCTGCATAACTTGCCTGATTTGGATGCTGTGGCCTTGTTGCAGAAGATTTCTAAGGCGATGGCGCCTGGGTCGCGGATCCTCATCATTGAGTACGCGAAGAATTTGACTTACACCTCGCTTCATGCGAGTATGATTGCCTTGTATGGTGGACGTGAACGGAGTCCGGAGGAGTGGAGGCAAATAGCGGGGTTGACTGGACTGAAAGTGACCTTTGAAGCGTATGTCAAGGCTGGCGAGTCGTTGGTTGAGATGAGGCGGGATAGTTCCTAGCTCATAGTTCGCGATAATTAAGCCTCGGCCGTGGCATTACCATTCAATCCGTGTTTATATCAGTCGATGCATCCACTCAGACTCATCACATTGATTCACCTGAAGCTTATTGTTCAAGTGATCAACAAAGGATCAACACTCCATAGTTCGCGCCAACGCCGATCTGAGGGTCTGAGAGTGAGATTTCCAGATCCGCGATCAACTTGTTGTATCTACATCTATGTTCTGTAGATCTAAGAGAAGAGGGGCATAAAACACATTGTGCTACAGTAGCTTTCAGATGTGACTGTGCACCACATCGCGTTTGTTGTCCCATTCCCACGCCTTCGGGTTACGCTATTGACTCTCAGTCTGACATCCCTTGCTGATACAACATGGCTCTTGCATATAATCTGGAATGTCACCTGTATCACGCCTCCACATGGTGTATGGGGATGTACTGGGTGATTTGCCAGTCGATGTGGAAACACTGTGATGAGAAGGTTTTCCCTATACTCGGATTGGGCTGGACGTGCATGAACTCTTACGGATCACGTAGCAAACTTTCCTTTCCACAGGGGACCAGTTCTCTCGAATCAATAGTTCCAACGTCTGTGTGGAGGGCCCTGATTCTCATCCCTTGTTTAGAGACCCTGTCATGTATGTCTTCGGCTCTCCCCGGCCCCAGTCCTAGTGTCTCTGATCTGGTCCAGCTTCTGACCTATAGACCTGTTCGCGAGAGACATAGGCATGAAATTCGTTCCGAGAACCTTCAGTACAAACCTTGTGCCAGTTCAGTTCTGACATATCTGTTCTCCATGCGCATCCATGCGCGCCCACATCATTCTGTCACTGCTCCATCGTATCCATGCAATGAGGAGTATTTGAATTGGCTACTCGCGCTGCAAGATCTCGCCAACCTCTCTTGACACTTGACATTTGACACTTGACACGTCTCGCTCCTGCGATTCATCTTCATCATGGAAATTCCAAGGCCTGCTGAGGGGGATGTTGATATTGGTATGTTTCATGTTTGCGCGTGGCGCCATGACTGTGGATGTGACGACTGATGTTTGATAGGGACGGGTACGTTTGAGGCCTGCTGGGTATGCTATCATATTATTGGCTCTACAGGGTATAAGCTAATTTACTCAGGTCCTTACGGCCATAGTAGGCGTGGCATTGCTGTTTCGCTATGCCATCAAAATATGGGTTCGCTGGGCTTTGCCTCAGGTCACTGCGCCCGGGCGAATCTGGGGTATTGAAGATTTATTCTTCCTCATCGCTTATGGCTTCGATGTAAGCCATATGGCCTTTATCCAGAAGAGGTGAGTTTGCTGATTTACTAGTAAACGGCTGATATTAACCCACTCTAGTGCGAATTGGGGTCTTGGTCGCCATTTCTTCTACTTGTCTAATGAAGAAAGATTCCATGCCATGAAATGGGACTTCTTGTCCCAGCCATTGGCCGTCAGCTCAGCCATGGTCTCTCGTACAGGCATGATGTGGTTTCTGCTGACTTGCTTCGCTGCAAGCGACAAGAAGATCCGTATATCTATCATTGTCTGTGCTATTGTACAGCTTGTAGCCAATATGGTCACCATTGTTCAGATTGTTGTCCAGTGCGGCCCAAATCCATACTACGCGGTTCGTATCCTTTATGGTCCTGCTTCAATTATACTAATGTTGTTCAGACTAATCGAGTACAATACTTCCACTATATGTGGACTCCTCTACCAGAGGATGGCTCTGTCAAATGCCAATCACCGACTGTCCAAGCAACTGTTGGCTTTGTGCAAGGAGGTGCGAAACTAAATCTATCAGTTTTCATTCTTTATACTGACCGATACAAGGATTCAACACTGTCATTGATTACTTCCTCGCTATTCTTGCAGCTGTGGAACTATGGCAGTTCTTCCTGCGAACCCTCCACCGCAACCCTAACCTATCCTTCTGGTCCCAATTTGGCAGGATCAGTGGCACTGTGCGATCCCGTCGTATCTGGCAGACCATCACTCTCAGCGGACCACTAATTCTCTCTGGCTGTGCCTCTATTGTAAAGACATATGTAAGTGCCATGACTTTGTGAGATCATGCAACAGCTAACACAATTTCCAGAAACTTAAATCCCTCGGTGACAGGGCAGACTTCACCTACAACATTGTAACCTTTGTCCTCTGGGTAAAGTAAGTACAGCCAAAAACGCCAACATATACCCAAATTATTCATATCTATCACATTCTAACCCTTCCCAGAATCGAAAACTACAGCATCCTTCTCGCCTCTTGTGCCCCAGTGGCACGTCTCTTCCTCCGTGCCTTCGTCGACCACCGACGCGAAGGCCGCTCACATGGCTACTGGTCACGCTCCCGCTCAACAGATAATCAAGACCAAGACACAGAGCTAAAACGCCGCCGGGCACGCGCCAAGGACCAATGGCTAGACTCGTCAATAATGGGAACGAACCTGAACGCGAATGATGAAGAGAACCCTGCTTGTCAGTGGGATGGGCATGAACATGAACGGTCTGAGAGCCGTGTTTCCAAGGCTAAGATGCCTGAACACCTCAATGATGGGTGTGTTACTGTTAAGACGGATATTGTTGTTCAGGTTGATGATGGGAGGTCTACGTCTTCTGGTGGAGCGAGGTTGTTGCCTGATGGTGGTGAGAGGCAATCGGAAAGGGGGTATCACTGAGGTTTTATATGAACATGGATCTGGCATTGATGTAGTATATAGGCCTGTGGTATATAATATGGATGAATAACTTTGACGACTCTGAATGTACTCAGGAAGCTGGTCGTTGATGCCACATGTAAACCCGCCGAGAGGCCTCGCCTTTTTGCACACGAACTTGCTGTCAGCAAGAAGGAGAGAGATGTACTGATATTTCAGCCACGACTCTGACACTGATTAGTATATGTATTTTTGCCCGATTCTTCATTGAATCGGTCTAGTATATCGTGCGAACATGATTATGAATAGAGTAAATCCATTCGGACTTCCATTTCTTTGAGACACAGATGTATTTATACTTATATTCCAACCCGCAGACCTCAACGCACACAAAGTGGCTAAGCCGACCTACATGTACAGCTGACGCCGATCAGACAGGATATCTCAAAGTCGGCCTGCCGATCTGTGACAAAACACTGCAGCCTCAGCAATAAGCATCGTCTATCACTCTGGTGGTATTGGAAGATATTGGAATTCTGGTGTTGTTCGGGCTGGGCATCCCCCAAACAGTGACAGCGTCACCAAATGGCTGTGAGTCGATGTGATTGAATATAGAGAGGAATATAAAATGGTCTTCCGAACAATCAGATAAATTATATAAAGATCTCCCATGGAAACGCGATGACATAACCGTCACGTGTTTCCATAAGAGACGCGCAATCGTCAGCTTCACTCTCCAACATAATGCCGCCCAAGAGCTTCCCTTATCGCCGGAGCTCAAACGCCTCGGAAGATGACTTCTTCGACATCCCCGATGAGCCATGTCTCTCAATAGCCAAGCGACAGCTACGTCGCATCCGAACATGGATCACAATCGCCATCCTGGTCCTGTTTATCATGTGGCAGCGCCGTGAACGACCTCCGCCGCCACCTTTACCGCATATCCATTACGACGAGGTGGATTGGACGCGCTTTGCCTATACCCAGTATGCTACCTCCGAGGTCTACATGTGCAATTGCTTGATGGTGTTCGAGGCATTGCATCGGCTCGGGAGTAAGGCGGATCGCGTGCTGTTCTATCCGGAGGAGTGGGATCTCATTGTCGAGGATGATACCGATCGGGTGAGCCAGCTGTTGCTGGAGGCGAAATACAAGTACAATGTCGTGCTTATCCCTCTCAAGATCGAGGGAATCAAGGATCCATCTGGTGAGTTGGAATCGGGATTGCGCTCGCTCACTCCTTGGAACACTCCAACTGACATTCATTGACTAGGTGCTGGTTCTGAGTCCTCATGGGATACCAGCAACACGAAGCTCATGGCCTTTGGTGAATCCCAATACGACCGAGTCATCCACCTCGACTCCGACGTGATCCTCCTCCAAACCATGGACGAGCTATTCTTCCTTCCTCCCACCACAGTCGCAATGCCACGCGCCTACTGGCTCCTCCCGGAAAAGAAAATCCTATCATCCCTACTAGTCGTCATCCAGCCTTCCTACCGCGAATACCTTGTTGTAGCCGGAGCCTCGGAGCCCGCCAAGAACGGTCAGATCGAGATGAACCTGACCGATCACCGGTATGACATGGAGCTATTGAATGATATGTACGGGGATTCGGCGATGGTCCTCCCACATCGGCAGTATGGTCTGCTATCGGGCGAGTTCCGCACAAAGGATCATAGTCGATTCTTGGGGAATGACCACGAGGTGTGGGATCCGGATCGCGCGTTGGCTGAGGCCAAGTTCATTCACTTTTCGGATTGGCCTATTCCAAAACCTTGGGTTATGTGGCCGCAGGATATGTTGGCGAAGGAGCAGCCTAAGTGTAATGAGAACCCTGGGACGCCGCAGGAGAGTGGGTGTCGAGATCGTGAGATCTGGAAGATGATCTATGATAAGTATCGGAGGAATCGAAAGGTATGTTAACCCAAGGGGTTTATTTGTCTTCTGCTAACGCGTTACAGGAGGTCTGTAAGTTGCTCAGCTACCCAGCGCCGGTTTAAGCAAACCTCATTGTACAATATGGGATTGGCGTTTGGCACTGGCGTTTGGCTTGATATGGTGTACAGGTTGCCAAAATATAGATGACTTGATGAAGTAAACCGAATCGTAGGGATATCATAGAAAAGTAACATACACCAAACCCATGCAATCAATGTGCGATGCATCACGCATATCCCATTCCCCTCCTCCACCAATTCCACACTCCCCGCTTGGCCATAATACTCCCAAACTCCTTGACACTCTCAACCTCATTGAGACCGAGTGCGATCCCAAGTCCCACGCTCGAACCTTTGTCCTTTCCCATCTTATTGTCCTCCCTTCCACTCCCCGATTTCTCCCCCGGTTCCTTTTCCACATCCACAACGCCAGGTCTCGTAACCAATTGAAAATCCTTATATCGCAGCTTTCTCACAACATCCACCCACATCTCCACGCGATCCTTTCCCACGCCCTCTACATACATGATGCCCGGACACCCGCCGGACCGGAGGAGCACGGCACATTGGTGGGTGTCTGCGGCGCGTTTGAGGGCGGCGACCTTTTTGCGGGAGGTTATGTGGTGGGTGCGGATGAGGGCGTTGTAGAGCATTTGTGAGGATATGTGCAAGTGGAGGTTGTGAGTTCGGAGGAGCTGGAGCTCGGGAGAGGCTAAACCGCTTTGGTAAGGGTAATTATTGTAAACGTTCTATTGGGTTGTTCTCTCGAGTTTATATATAAAATTGCTGAAATTGGAATCTAGCAGTTCATTTAAGCACACTATATCTGTATATCGTATATATAGCGTATTATTTTGTCTTGGGCAAGCTATATATGGTACGTAGTTAACAACTAACTTACCTAGGTAGATATTAGGTAGCTTACCTAGCATCCATGGATCTCACCCAAAGCTATAAATTGAAACACTAGCAACTACATGTATATAGCATTGCCTACGTGCCCATGTACATGTTCCAATTGAAAAACCTCCAATGGAAGATCCGGAATACATGGTAGTTTCAGTCAAATCTAGCGCGCAATGAGACGACCCACATCTTGATCTTGTATCTTCCAAGTTTCCAAAACGAAGCCCTGTGCGTAGATAGGAGTACCTAGGTGATATATAGATTTCTATAGAACTTCAGGCGATGACAGTGTACACAGAAGTACTCCGGCCGTGCGTTGAATATAGTCCGCGAATTGCGCGGGAGGCGCACACCGCACACGTGTGGACAACTTATGATTACGATCTTTGTCTCTACATGCCCAGGTGTATACCAACTTCAGCTCAAACTTGGTCAGGAACCAACCCTGTCAAGACCACGTGAAAGCCTGATCCTGCAAGGCTTCGTCAGTGGAGCTGTAGGCGCATTGGCAGTGCGGGGGATAACCTGGAGAACAGGACTCGAGACTCTGGACTACTGCACGTCTTGGAGGCATCAAAACCGTGACAGCACAGTACCTGTGATGAGTCAGCCTTGTCTATTCCAATGAGATGAAAGTGAATAATAATGGGCCTAAACTGGTAGATCATGTAAGATCTAGACCACAAGTAACTTTAAGTCTAATGTACAATTTACTTAGGCGAAACACTCGGAAAGTACACGAGTTAGCCGCGAAAAAAGCGAATCTTGGTTCCGATCCGAATTTCTCCAATGAACAACCAACAATGGGCGGTTGTGGATTACAGTGGACTGTGGCCGACAGACTGGTGGATCATCCTCTCGTCTTGGCTTCCTCTTTTCGCCAAACTATCGCGCGGTGGCCGCGGAATCCGCCAGAAAGTGAAGCCCAGTGCCATATATCTGCCAAACTCGGGGAAAAGAATGAAGACCCTCGTGGACACACCACAGATCACCATCTGATTGGTCCTATTATGTCCGACGTGCATCAGATCTGCTCGCTGGGTCCATCGGTGCCCTTTTGCTTTTTTACACGGCCGTTCGGATTGGCCCATGCTTCAGCTTAGTTCCAGTGAAGGCGTCGCATCTTGGCTGCCCTTTTAGTCCAGCTGGATTGGCTCAGGTTTTGTTCTTATAAATATGATTCTCTCTAGTTCGTCGTTTTTCTTGCAATAACTTCATATAATGTTGTGTTCGGGGACTTCTACTTGCTCTTTATAACATCGACTAAGGGTCAACATGCCCGCTCCTCTTCACCCTCACCCGCAACCGAAGCATACTGCTTCCTTTGCTTCTAGCTCTAGCAATAACGGCCCACCGAGAGTGCAGGTCTCGCATGAAGACGAGGACGCCATCGCCGATATTCATCGCAGCTTGACGGAGAAAACTCTCTCAAATCAAAAGTACCCGGAACCTCATTCGTCGTTTGACAAGTTCCTCGAGGAACAAGTTCAGGGCAAGAAACGCTCAAACCTCGGTGTCTGCTTCCAGTCGCTTTCAACTTGGGGCGAGGGAGATAGCCATGCAGATGTCAAGACTCTCGGCACGGCACTCTGGCGTACCCTGACCATGCAGGATATCTATGAGTGGACTATCCAGCCGTGGATAACGAAGAAAAATCCCCAAGGGGGCCGGCAATTGATTCGGGACCTGTCTGGTGTCGTTCACAGTGGCGAGATTATGCTGTAAGTCTATCAGCCTTCTCTATACACTACACTGTCTAACGAGGGTATAGTGTTCTCGGACGCCCCGGTGCAGGCTGTTCAACCTTCCTCCGCACCATCGCTGGCCATCACTCCTCCTTCCTAGGAGTGACCGGTTCAATCGACTATTCCGGCCTCAGCCCAGAAGAAGTCCGAAAGCACTACCGTGGTGCGGTGGCATACGTCCCGGAGGACGATGTGCATTTCCCGACGCTGAATGTAAGGCAGACTCTTGAATTTGCCTTGCAGAGTAAGACACCCAAACGGTACCGAGACCGGATCCCCCGATATCTCGAGGTCTATGGCCGTGTTTTTGGAATGACGCATACCATGGACACCTTGGTTGGCAATGAGTATATTCGCGGTGTGTCGGGAGGAGAGCGTAAGCGCATCTCCATCATTGAATCTCTGGCTAGTGATTCATCTGTGGCATGCTGGGATAATTCGACCAGAGGATTAGATGCGTCCTCTGCTCTTGATTATGCTCGCAGTTTGCGCATTATGACCGATACCTGTGGCAAAGCGACATTGCTCACTCTCTACCAAGCGTCTGATGCTATCTATGAGCTTGTGGACAAGGTGCTTCTCATTGATGAAGGGCGCATGCTCTACCAAGGACCGGCGAATGAGGCAAAGCGCTACTTTGAAGATCTCGGTTACGAATGCGCCGACATGCAGACCACCTCTGACTTCCTGACTAGCATCACGGTCCCGGAGCGCCGACGCTTCCGTCATGGATGGGAACATCGTGCCCCTAAAGGTCCGGTCGAACTCGAGGTTACTTTCCGCCAGAGCGCTGCATTCGCCAAGATCGAGACTGCAGTTCGAAGTTACGAAGATCAGAAGTGTGGTAAAGCACCCGGCGCTCTGGACTCGGAGTGTGGCAGTATTGAAGAATTCAAGAAGACTGTGCAGAGTGATAAGTCGCGCTTTGTTTCTTCCAAGTCGCCGTATACCATTTCCTTGTTCCGACAGGTTGAGCTTTGTGCGAAGCGGCAGATGTGGCAATTGAAGGGGCATCTGAGTCCGCTATACATCAAATTAATTTCTTGTGTCGTGTACGGTCTATTGATTGGATCCATGTTTTACGACTTGCCTCAGACAACCGAAGGTATATACGCCCGTGGGGGTGTACTCTTCTACTCATCCATCTTGCTGGCCTGGCTGCAGATGTCGGAACTGGAGGAAGCCATGCAAGGTCGAGATATTCTTAATCGACAGAAGAAACTCGCCTTCGTGCGGCCCAGTGCTGTCTGCTTAGCTCGGGTTCTTTCTGATATGGTTGTTTCTGCTCTTCTCACATTCTTGTACCTCATTGTCATGTACTTTTTGGCCGGCCTTCAAGCTAACGTGAGTGACGAACCTTTTGCTACCGAAGATCTACTAAAAACCGTTTAGGCCGGTGCCTTCTTCATCAGTTTTCTCCTCATCTACATGTGCACAATCTGCCTGACTGCCCAATTCCGCGTGTTCGCCGCCCTGTCTCAGAACTTCGAAGTTGCCCTCCGCTACTGCGGCGTCTCTGTTTTGTTCTGCATCGTATTCGGTGGCTACGTTTTATCAGTCGATAAAATGATCCAAGATGTGCCCTGGGTTGGATGGATCGCGTATACGACCCCCGCTCTATACACCTACGAGGCAGTCATGGCCGCTGAATTTCACAATCTAAACTTCATTTGTGCCACTGGATCTATTGTTCCAGCAGGTTCTGAATATAACGATCTTGCATACCAGACTTGTGCTTATGCCGGTAGTCAGATTGGCAGTACCGTCGTCAACGGCGATGACTATCTGGCTGCCAAGTATGGATTTTACTACAGCAATGTTTGGCGCAACTTTGGTATACTCTGTCTGTTTACTATTGTTTTCATTGGTCTCACTTGTTGGCTGAGTGAAGTGCTTGAATGGGAACTGGACAGTGCCGGACCGATTCAATACAAAGGATCGCAAAAGCTGTTCAAGCGAAAGAAGACCCAGTATGATGAAGAGAAGGCTCCTGTTTCGGTAGATCCGAGGGCACCACCTGCTGGTTACGAAAGCAAGCCTGATCAGACCATCACGGCCACGGAGTCTACCTTCACCTGGTCTGACCTTGAGCTCAATGTTCAGATTGGTAAAGAAAGCCGAAAGTTGTTGGACGGTGTTAATGGTTACTGCAAGCCGGGCACTTTGACTGCTCTTGTGGGTGCCTCGGGAGCAGGAAAGTCAACATGTAAGACCTTTTCCGACTGATATGAATTGCATTACCTGACCAATACCAGTGTTGACTGCACTCACTCAAAGAGAAAGCCCTGGCATCTTGTCCGGCTCATTGTTCGTGGATAACCACTCGATTGACAAATCCTTCAACCGACAGATTGGATATTGCCAGCAAATGGACATTCACGACGAAAGCAGTACCATCCGCGAAGCATTTGAATTCTCTGCCCACCTCCGTCAAAGTCACGAGGTCTCAGATGCAGAGAAACTGTCATATGTGCAAACTGTGCTTCACACGCTTGACTTGGCCGAACTGCAAGACGCCATCATTGGATCGCTGGATATCGAAAAGAAAAAGCGCGTGACAATCGGAGTGGAACTCTGCGCTAGACCCAAGTTACTTCTTTTCCTGGATGAGCCTACAAGTGGACTCGATAGCCAAGGCGCCACTAGTATCGTTGCTCTTCTTCGGCGTCTGGCAAACCAGGGACTGGCGGTTCTTTGTACCATTCACCAAGCTAACCAGCAGCAATTCGAAGAGGTATGCATGCAGTAATTCCAGAGTATCGATCAAGGTTAACAGATACAGTTCGACCGTGTCCTTGCCTTGAGTCCCGGTGGCAGCACATACTACTTCGGCCCAGTGGGGAAATCTGGCTATGCAATCTTCGACTACTTCCAAAAGCACGGCAACATTCCAGAGAAAGTCACCAATGCAGCCGATTTCCTCATCGAGGTAGTCGTCGAGGGCATGAAATCCTCCGGAAACCAGGTAAGCTGGGCATCTGTCTGGCGCGACTCCGAAGAATACAAGGAAGTAAAGAACGAGATCGCCTGTATCCGGTCCAACAACACTCGCACATCCTCTACAGCACCACGTCCCCCACCTCTCAGTCGCCAGATTAAACTCCTCACCCAACGAACCTGTCGCCAGTTTTGGAGAACGGCTGAATATCCCTACTCACGTCTCTACGCTTCTTTCCTCCACGCACTGATCAACGGCCTTACCTATCTCCAGATTGGGAATAGTGCAACGGATCTGCAGTCGAAGGCTTTCTCTTGTTTCTTAGTTCTTATGCTGGTACCTGAGTTTATCAATGCCATCTCCATGCGGTTCATCCTCAATCGGGATATTTGGCTAGCGAGAGAAGGCCCCAGTGGTGTATACAGCTGGGTTGCTTTCTCTACTGCACAAATCGTCGCTGAAATCCCCTACGCTATCATCGGTGGAGTAGTATTCTTCATTTTATATTATTTCATGGTTGGACTGCCACTTGGATTCGCGGCAGGATACAGCTTCATCATGTTCTTCTTTTTCTTCCTGTTCGCCACGTCGTGGGGTCAGTGGATTGCTGCTATGAGGTGAGTTGGCCAACATCCCATTTCGAACCTCTTAACTGACAATCTTTAGTGCTGATTCCTTGGTTGCCGCCACACTTATGCCCTTCTTCATTATCCTGGGAGAACTATTCAACGGTATTCTCAGACCACACGAGCAGATGCCTGCTTTCTGGAAATACACCATGTACTACATCACGCCATTCACTTACTGGGTTGGAGGTGTTCTCACGTCTGTACTTCGTGGTACGGAGGTAGTCTGCACTCAGACCGAGTTGACCATCTTTGAGAGTCCACCGAACATGACTTGCGGTGAATACGCGGGCTCTTGGCTTGATACTAAGGGTGTTGGCTACTTGTCTAACCCCGATGACCTTGGACGATGTGGGTATTGTGAATATAGTTACGGTGATGATGTGAGTTTCCCCGCAAAGACAGACTCCTAGATCGCTATATTAATATTTTGCTGCAGTATCTCTCGGGCATTGGTCTGGACTCTTCTAAGATCTGGCCGTACTTTGGCATTTTCCTTGGTTTCACTGTGGCAAATTACTTGATGGTGTATCTGCTGGTTTATATGCGCTCGGTGATGAAGCCTTTCTGGCGATCAAAGTAAATATTGGGTGGCTTTGCATATATTTTTGACATTAGCATAGCGTTGCGAACACGAATTTAGATCAAAAGTCGGATTTGGAGAACTTTAACGGAAGACATATGACTAACACTATCTACTTTCGTACTGATGGATTTCATCCCTGTACAATTAAGCGTTTTAATAGGCTATACAAGGCACTCTGATCCATTCTGACTCATTTGATGCACTTTTGACATCAACAAAACTTGGCTTTTTTTTATCAATCAGCTCGGGGTTAAGCGGGGGTACCGCATGCGGTAACTCCGAGGCCGGAGACTGCTGCTTCGAGCATCGCATCGCATCGACGTCTTGTACATGTAGGCGGGTGTCCATCAAGCTTGTTCTTCTATTCAAGTCCTGTCGACTCTATTGAAACATTCCATTGTCAACTTTGATGTTTGGGATGGCGATTTAGCTGGAAAGGCTTCCTTTCGCCCTAACGTCTCACGCACATCCTTAGCGTCATCGCAAGGCTACAACGAAAAACAACTCACAATTCACCATTGCAACAATGGAGACCAATTCAAATTACTATCAAGACCCTCCATCGCCGGAGAATACAGAGGCATCAGCACCCCAGCGCCGGCGTCGCCCGCCCCTGTCTTGTACAGTGTGTCGGAGACGCAAACTAAAATGCGATCGCTCACTGCCATGCGGGCAATGCCTTCGCTCCAAAACACCGCACGAATGTGTTTTCGTAGGGCCTCAACCGGGCCCTGCAGAGCCAAAGCACATGTCACCACCAGTATCACGGCGAGCTAATAATGAGCCAGGCCGCAAAAGTGGCATGTTTGTCTTTGATTCGAAGTTGGGGGCCAATTCGTCGAGGGGTACTAAGCGTGCGCGGCCTGATGAACTGCATGAGCTCCGAAGTCGGCTGCGCACGTTAGAGAATTCTGTCGGCAGGCCTTCTGTGCTTCAGACGCCTGAGACATCTGTCGGTGATTTTTTCTCTCCCTCTGAGGGGGAGACTGCTATTAGCTCTGAGAATGTTGGTGTTGAGGATCGCGTGCGGTTTTTACCTGATGCGAGTTTCCGGGGGAAGAAGACCAAAACAAGGTATTTTGGTCGCAGTCATTATACAACGACTGTTTCATTCGTGAGTGCTGTACCTGGAAGTGTGAGACTCTTGCTAACTGAACGCAGTTCCAAGACATTGGTGCTTTTATGCGCCGTGGTCACGGATGCCGAGAAGTCAAAGATCAGGAATATAGTGACATGAAAAAGTTTAAGACTGAGCTTTGGTCCCGCGAGACACAAGATCACCAGCGCTCGTTCCGTGAACAGCCGTTTAACCTGGACGAACTGGTGCCATCGCGACAGGTCGCAGATCATCTCCTACAACTCTATCTGGATACATTTGAGACGACGTATCGCATTTTACACACTCCGACCTTTTTAAAGCAGTATGCGGACTACTGGGCCGGTACCCAGCCATCTGACGCGGCATTCCTGGCCCAGCTACTGGCTGTGATGGCTGCCGGTAGCTGTTTCTATGTGTCGACACCAGGTCAAGACGGCCGAGACGCGTTCCAGATACCCGCTATGCGATGGATCATGGCCGTGCAGTCCTATATCTCATGCACATTTGTCAGCCCGGAGATAGATCTGCGAATGCTCCAGACACAATGTCTTCTTCTCGTGGCTCGTCTTGGAGTCGCAAGTGACGGCGATGTAGCTTGGGCGTCCATGGGATCGCTGATTCGATCCTCAATGACTATGGGACTGCATCGTGATCCGACTCGTTTCCGCAAATGTCCTCCTTTTTATGCTGAGCTGCGGCGCCGGCTGTGGTTTACTATTGTCGAGCTGGATCTCAAAATCTCTCTTGACCGCGGGGTTCCACCATCGGTTGATCTGGACGAGTGTGACTGCGATCTACCGTCTAACTGGAACGATTCGGATCTAGTACTGGATATGGAGCATAACCCAGCACCTCTCAGCACTGCGCTCTACACGCAGAACTTCTACCAGACTCTCCTGATGAAGACTCTACCATTGCGTTATCGTATCGCCAGGAAAATAAACACTCTTCGATTTAACTTGTCTTACGACGATGCTCTAAGAATGGGCGAGACACTCTCTCGCAACATGCAGAGCGCATCATCCTTATTCGAAGACAACGCAACGAGCATGTTACCCGAAGAAGCAAGTCGCCACCAATTCGCCCAGTCTTTACATCTATTCATTATGCGCAAATTCCTTCTCGCCCTTCATCGCCCCTTTTCTCTCAGTGTAGTCCGACTACCCAAATGCTCATACTCGCGCAAAGTGTGCTTGGAGGAATCTCTCGGCATTATTTCGCAGATGGAACTCCCCCTTTCGCCTGAGGATATCCAGTATCCCCATATTACACAGCTCGGCAGCGGTATGTTCCGCGATGAAACTTTCCACGCTGCAATCACAGTTTGTGTGGAGTTATCACTCCAAGCAAATGAAATGAGAGCATCCGCTTCCTCGGGAATGGACGGTGTGAACTCTAGTGTTTTGATGAGCATGATTCAATCACAGCAGGGCGTTATGATGCAAGCTATCGAGCGTACAGCTGATAATTTCGGGAGACGAATTGGTGTTGGTGGAAAGGGATGCAAGCCATTCTTCTTTTTGAATATCATCATGGCATCTGTCAAATCCCGTGTCAAGGGTGAAGATCCCTTGTGCAATGTTGAGTCTGCCGCAAAGAGAGCGGTTCGGATTTCTCGAGCGGTGTTAGATGGGGCTTCATATCGTGATGCTCAGATTAATGTGGACACTCGACCGATTCAGGTTAGTATCCCCAGTTATGACTATTTGCCAGTCTTGTCTAATCTGTTCATTCAGACGCCCATTCTTTCGGGTGCCACTCCAATGACTGGTACGCCGAGTGATATTGATCCTTCGTCCTTGTTATCAACCGATTTCAGTGATTTTACAGTAAGTCATCACATCATTCAAACAGTACTTCTATACACATACTGACTGTAGCAGCCAATGGATTTAGGAGGCTGGTTCGACGGCTTGGATTACACCGGCCCGGAGTCGTGGGATACTGATCTCTTTAAAAATCTCCCAGCCTTTCCCTGAACTACTTGTAATATTGCCAAGGTGAAAAGGAACAGCGTGCTTTATTGATATATCGGTACGGAGTCTGGCAGGTTTGATTTATGATATCCCACTCATTGTACATATAAAATTGCTCTACTACTTAACCGAATCCTACATGATTATTCAACCATCAGGCCTTTGTCATCTCCTTACTCAACTCCCTCGCGACAACCTGCGTACAAGGTTTATCCTCACACATAGTCTTCGGAATCATGACATGACTCTGAAGTAGCCTATTTGTAGAAAGGTTAGCTAAACCATTCAACCCCAATGCGTAAAATAGCAGAAAAGGGATACTCACGCTTGATACCGTTGGATATTCTTCATCTCCAACTCCGCCAGGGCCCTCAATGCAGCCTGTATATCCGCAACCAGATTCTCACACCTACTCAAACTAAAATCTTCCCTGACAACAACCCGCAACATGCCCATAGTCTCACAGTCTGCCGCCATAGTGTAAGCAGGAACAATCCAGCCCTTCTCGCGCAATTTCCGAGAAAGCGCCCACTCATCGAAAAAGACGTTTTGCGTGGGATTCAGTCTGAATGCTACCACTGGGAGTCCGTGGCCGCCTCCTTCACTCATGATGATGAAGCCGAGATCTTTTAGCCGGGTTGTTAGGTGGTCTGCTGTCTTGGTGAGATTGGCCATGATTGCTGTGTATCCGCTCCGACCGAGTCGGATGAGTTGGTAGTATTGGGCTATGATGTGTGAGGCTGGTTTGGAGAAATTCAGGGTGAAGTTCAGCTGGTCCGCGCCTAGGTAGTTGATGTTGAAGATGAGATCTTCTGGGAGATAGGCTGGGGAGCGCCAGAGGGCCCAGCCAATGCCTGGGTATACCTGGAAGGATGGTTAGGGCGAGAACGACCGAATTGGGAGAAATCAATGTACCAATCCGTATTTGTGTCCGGAGACATTGATGGAGACAACGTTTGAGAGCTGGAAGTCCCATTGCAACTCGGGATTGACGAATGGAGCCACGAATCCACCGCTGGCAGCGTCTACATGGATAGGTGTTTCTAGTCCTCGTTGAACGAGAAGGTTGTTGATGGCTTGGACATCTTCATACTGTCCCGTATATGTGGTGCCCAGAATGACACAGATGCCAACAGTATTTTCATCGACGAGGTCAACCGCCTGAGTGGGATCGATCACATAGCGTGTCTCGGTACATGGTACCAGTTTCTCGTCGAGATCAAAGTATTTGCTAGCCTTTTTCCAGCACAGTTGTACCCCTGTGCTCATGATGATGTTTGGCTTGGAGAACTCCTTTCCCTGGGCTTTGCGGATGTTCTGCCATCTCTTTTTCATTGCTAGGACTGCTAGCATGATAGCTTCGGATGATCCAATGCATGCTGTGCCAACGGCTGTTGGAGTTCCGTTTGAGACGGGAGAATGGAAAAGATCGGCTAGAATGTTCAGGCATCGGTGTTCGATTTCAACGGATTTGGGGTATTCTTCGTGGTCAATGATGTTCTTGTTGGCGGATTCTGCGAGGAGTCGCAAGGCTTCATCCTCCATGTAGGTTGTCACAAAACTGGCAAGACTAAGGTATATTAGCGAAAATTTGGTAACTTCAGGACGATACTTACTTCAACATGGGTTGGCCATCAAGTACAAGATCGTCTTTGATGAGCTGGTAAGCTACATCTTTTGGCATCTCCCCATCTGGAAGTCGTTGGGACGGCAAAGGTCTGGCGGCATAGCGAGAGCCGTAGACCTGAGAGCAATCGCTCTTCGTTGCAAGGGTAGAGAGTTGTGCTATTGAGCCCATTTTGTGAGAGAAGATTGAAGTGAGTGATTGAATACAGATTTGATTGACTGTGCAACTTCCTTATTATATAGTATTACTTCTAGGCTTGATCGTCAAGTGCTGGAAAATCTCTCATAGTAGCCCGGAGCGTGTGGTGGAGCTATGAGGGATTTTGCTGCAAGACATCTCGATCAGGACTGTTCTAATAAAGGGGTCATTACGCCATCCTAGACTTACGGTGGCCCATTCCATTCATTTGTATAAAATAGAAGAGTATACGCTATTAAATTTCAACGTATAGATCTGTGAATGAGCCGTGTTTACTCGAAGAACAGAGTTATACTAACATCTCTTGGCAAGGCTGGCCAAGACCTTCCAGAAAGCATTGACATAGTTAGAAAATGGGCTGGATGATGTTTCAACTCCTAGCTACGCAGGCTACAGCATTAGCATTGCCTCCTTATCATCCCTTGTTCCAATTTTAGAGCATTCTACTCCTGGATTGCTGTCACGGCGTTGCCGTAGATGTTTCATACATGTATGCAAATACCAGACTTGTCAATAAATACAATTTATGCAGCCTGCAACCTCGGGAGCTGTGAATGATGCCCAGTTGGGCTTTCTGATAGGCTAGCCCCTGCCCCTGTCAATCCCTGTTGGCGCGTACTCTGACGCGCAAGGAGCCGTGCAGCCGTCCGGCCAAGCTTCTCGGGAGCGTCGATCCCGATGCGCGAAGGGTTAAATGGGTGGCGAGATAGGTTTGTAATTGGTTGGAACGTCTTTACTATTTAAACGTAGAAGTCATGGCGCTTACAAGGACGAGGCTAGAACCCTGCCATCTTAGCGCTGTCAATTCTATAGATTGGTGCATAAAGATTGCCACTTGGGACTCATTGAGCAGTCGAGGGCCAACCATCTATGCACATTGCTTTTTGATTTTCATGAGATTCATCACAATCACATTTGTTCAACCCAACAGTGCTGTGCGTGGAAGTAGTACCTCTTATCTATGACACGTAAACAGTGTCTCCACAGCAAGGGATGCATGCAGTCTACGGCTGTAGCACTCGATCATGATAAGAGGCTCTTAGTGGCCAAAAGAAAGGGAGCATTCCTCGGCGCGAAATTGACATAATGGCGGCATTCGCGCAATTCGCAGTGGCATGGCCCATATCAAGTTCCGACCTTGTCCTTTTGAATTGTCAACGTCAGCTGGCCCAGATCACCACACATATTTGGTTCGACAAGGCGATCACCGAATACAGTGCGATATCCCACCTGCATGGAGAGCGGACAATCTACATTTCTAACCAGAATCCGCCGACTCTGCTCTTAGTTCTTCGCGTCTTGCGGGAACAGGATGCTTCATCCGATTTTGGATCTTAGTAGTGTGAATGTTGTCCTTGCATTGTCAGGTGAGACCTTTGCACGTTCGGTGAGGTACGGCTCTGACCTATACAGGAATTTACATTTTGGTCTTTGGTTTCGTTGCTGTGAAGATCAAGCAAAGATGGTACCTTGGTGAAGCCTGTATGTGTCGCAACTTCTCATCGAAGGACAGCTACTGATCATACACAGTACCGTCGTTTATTATGGGCACTATAATAGGGCCGTTTTGTGCCAGATTCATCAACGTGAGCCAATGGAGTGGAGACTCTGAAACTGATGTTGCTGACATTGCCTATGTAAGTATCCTGGAATGTCAAGCATGGATATCTGGGCTAATGATCGCAGGGCCTGAGCCGACTGGTAATTGGTATCGCGATGGTCAAAGTTGGTTATGAACTACCAAAACGGTATCTTCGGCTTCGCCTAGTTGAGCTCACGATCTGTTTGCTGCCCTTGATGACCATCCAATGGTTGATCACATCGGCATGTATCAAGCTGATAATCCCTCAGTTGAGCTTTGTGAGTGGCAAGTGTGTTTCTATATAACATCGTACTAATTTCCACCAGTTGACTTCACTCATCATCGGATCTTGTGTGATATGCATCGATCCAGTTCTCTCGCAGGCCATCGCCAAAGGCCCTTTCGCAGATCAATACGTTCGAAGGCATCTTCGAGAATTTATCTCTGCCGAAGCAGGTGGAAATGATGGTTTCGGGTTTCCGTTTCTTTTGCTCTCGATTGCTCTCCTTCGTTATACCGAGGCTCCACCGGGTGCAATGAATTCAGCAAAGGCCGACCTCACAAATCGTAGGCGTGATTGGATTGGTGAACAAGATACTGGTCGGTTTGGTGGCGATGTCGGACGCGCTTTGGCACATTGGGCTGTTGAAGGGGTATTATACATGCTGGTTATGGGCGCTGGATATGGTGTCCTTGTCGGATTTTTGAGTCGGAAAGCGTTGAACATGGCTTCCAAAAGGTAGACGGGAATCCCGATATTGAGGTTGAAACACTGGTTAACAAAAGCGCAGACGATGGGTTGACAGGGAGAGTTTTTTCATATATCCCGTTGCTATTGGAGTGAGTAACGGAATTATCTGACCCCAAGAATGTCGACAACTGACAAGATTGTAGCTGTTTATTGTCGGCACCTGTGGCTGTTTCGGATCTGATGAGACCCTCGCCTGCTTCGTCGCCGGTTGCGCTTTGAATTGGGACGGATCATACCATTTCGAAGTTGAGGAACGGCATGATTCTTTCAATCCTGCAATTGAAAATATCCTGAACTTCGGGACGTTCATGTTCCTCGGTGCTATTACGCCATGGGATCAGTTTCAAATGCCCAGCCAGAATGGAATCACCATCGCCCGATTGGTCGGGTTGGGATTCTTGATTTTGATATTTCGCCGGATCCCGGCGATCATGATGGGATATCGATTTATGCCTAAAGTGTGCAATGATTGGAAAGAGGCGTTATTTATGGGTTATTTTGGGCCGATTGGTAGGCTCATTCACCAGTTTGTTGAATTTAAAATACTGACAACTTCCAGGAATTGGCGCGATATCATATGTGGAGTATGCACGCAGACTATTACCGGACCCAGGAGAAAGCGATGCCGAGATCAACACCCTGACTTCGACTATGATTCCCGGTATGATTCCGAAATTCTTCATTTTCTGGCCAGAGCTTTTCTAACAATCATGTGGCAGTGGTCTACTGGCTCGTCTTCTTCTCCATCGTCATCCATGGACTCTCGATACCAGTTCTGAACTGCCTCTATAAATGGTTCAAGGTTCCCACGATCAAAGACCATCCAATCGAGATAATTCTTCTCTCCGAGAACGAACCGGTCCCCAACAATAGTGTGGTCGATCGCCAAGGTCATTCGATTATGCTCAACAACCGCTTCTCTTGTGCCTCCGGTCACCGTCCTCACACATATGATGGCAAGGACCAAGGAGAACCGGATATGATAATGTTGTACTGCAGTGGAGACACAAATTATACTGCCTCACTGGAACAAGATTCGACTAAGACGTCTTCACGGGAGCTTGAGCGGACTATATCCGCAAGAAACGTGGTTTAGACATCAGGTTTGTACAAATCGAATAGTTATGAAGAATTTATGAAGAGTTCTCTTATGAACGCCCTAAACATGATTTCCATAGGTGTCGGAATCTTGGAAGTCCGCTTCCGCTTAGTCGTCGGGATGTGGAGTGATAGATGTCGGGATACACATGGGTTATCCGGCGGAAGTATACTGTTCGCCGTACTTGAACCCCTCATTTCCTAACAAGACTTGAGAATATTTATCTTCCAACAAAATGTATTCTCCGGATTTTAATATTGCTTGGAAACAGCTCCCTCATCCTGCCAAACACCCAGCCTTCCGTTACAATGGATTCCATCCAGGTCGAGTCACGAATCTCCCCAAAGGCCATGTGAAGCAGGCGGGCTTTCAAGCATTCCCTGTGGAGGTGACTTGGGAGCAGGATTGTGCAATCACTATGCGCGATGGGATCAAGCTTTATGGTGATGTGTTCCGGCCAACCGGTGGAGACAAAGTACCCGCTATCATTCCTTACAGTCCATATGGAAAGGTCGATTCGGGTGTTCTGTCTTATGATCTCATGGGTCCCTACCGTATTGGAATTCCATACCAGCGCCTGAGTGGATACGAGACGTTCGAAGGTCCCAATCCTGCTGAGTGGGCTGAGCGTGGATATGCAGTTGTTGACATCGATGCTCGGGGATGCGCGCATTCGGAGGGGAATATTGTTTTCTGGGGTCAACAGGAGGCAGAAGATATTTATGATTGTATTACTTGGGTATCTCAGCAACCGTGGTGCAATGGATCAGTTGTTCTTGCGTGAGTCCTTGAGGAATATATGTTCTAAGGTTAGTATCGGTACTAATTGAAGCATAGTGGGAATTCCTGGCTCTCCATATCCCAAACCAACTTTACCTCCCGACTCTCCCACCCAGCTCTAAAGGCAATTGCCCCATGGGAAGGTCTTTCAGATCCTTATCTTCAGCAAAACTGCCGGGGCGGGATCCCCAACCCGGTCTTTATAGGTTTGATCATGGGTGGATTCGCCGGTCTGGCTAAGATGGAGGATTTTGGGAAGATGCTGCAAGAGCATCCATTGTATGATGCGTACTGGCAGAGCAAAAAGATCGACGCCAAGAATATTTGCGATATTCCGGTGTACTTCACAGCGTCCTACTCGACAGGCCTTCACACGGAAGGATCTCTGGAGGGATTTCAGGCAGCATCTACTCCGAAGAAATGGATTCGGATTCATGCTTCTCAGGAGTGGCACGACCTATACACTGTCAAAGCAAATGACGACCTTCAACGCTTCTTCGATTTCTACGCCAAGGGTATCCAAAATGGCTGGGAAGAGGATACTCCTCCAGTGAGACTCACCTTGCTTGGTTTTGAAAATAGCCCGGCAAAAACAATCGTAGAGCGACCTGAGCAAGAGTGGCCTCCTGCACGTCTGCTCATGGAGAAGTATTATCTTGACGCCACCACAAAGTCACTTAGTTTCTCCAAGCCGGACGCCACCGCAACGACAACACATGAAGGCCATTCTCTGACCGACTCCTCGGATTTCAAGCTGGTCTTTTCCGAGTACACGGAGCTCTCTGGACGGCCGTTTGTCAAACTCTTCATGTCAGCTCCCTCCCATGATGATCTCGATGTTGTTGTACAGATTCGCAAGCTGTCTGCTTCTGGCGAAGTCCTTGAGTCTCTCAATTGGTCTCCCATGCCACAACCGCAGCCCGAAGTGCCCAATGTGAATGTTGCTAAGCACCTCGGTCCGCAGGGAATGCTCCGTGCATCTCATCGCGTTAGTATGGCTCTTCGCACCAGTGACGATGAGTATCCTTCCTATGATCACCGCTCACGGCAACCAATTACGCCCGGTGAGATCGTGGAGCTGCTGATTCCGATCTGGCCCATGGGTGTTGTGTATGAAGTAGGCGAGGGATTGGTATTGAAGATTTCAGGCCATGATATGTCCTTGCCAGAGATCGAGATGTTGAGGCCGACTGAGCCTTGCGATGAGAACAAGGGACAGCACGTTGTCCACACGGGCGGAGAATATGATAGTTATCTGGTTCTTCCGCGCATTGCATAATAAACTAAATACGAACAAGGCGATTATTCCAGTTGCGAGAATAGCAGGGTGTATAATTTGAACTTGCTACTTTGGAGATCAAAGAAAATATTGTTTGGCTGGAAACTTCGCAATTTACCCTGAACCTCTGTAAAGCCCAGCAAATCCGGGGTTAATATCCCAATTGTCAACTCAAATGTCAGTTCGCATAGCCAAGTTGGCCCAATGATGTCATCGAACTTACCGGTATCATTTCATCTCCTCGGTTCGCGTCCACATGCGCCGATCGCTCTATATAAGAGGGGCAGTGCCCAACATTCTGAGGCACATCCATAACCATGTCGTATGTTGCCCACCCAGTGCAGAGAAGCAAGACTAACTGTTGCAGTACCATTTTAACAACTCTGGGCCTCCGCACCTCAGCTGGCCGACAGCCAACAAACCACGCCGCTGGATTCCTGGTGGCCAACTGGTTCCTCGCGTATTGCTTCATGAGCATTCGTGGTGAGAAGATGTATTATGGTCTCGACCATAATGACTCCCCGCGCGAAGACCTGTCTAAGTACGGCGAACGCGCTGTTCAGGAAGGCAAGTTGAGCCGTCGCACGCTTGAGAAGCTCAAGCGGAAGGAGGCTGCGCATGCGAACGCGCAGGAGGGATATCCGCTGTTTGTTGCGGCGAGTATGTGACCTTGCCAGTTGATTTAATGATTTTTCCCAGTTAGCCTGACATGATTTAGTGTTGCTGTCCTTGTACGCCGGTCTCCCCAATGAGACCATCAACGGCATTGGTATTTGGTATACCCTTTCACGTGTTGCGTACAGCCTTGCCTACTCGTACATCGAGTCGCCATCTTTGAGCTATCTTCGATCTGTGACTTGGTGGTCGGGTAGCATCGGCTGCGTCACTGCTCTGGAGCTGGCTGGCAAGAAGCTGTAATCGAGACTCGTCGATAACATCATTCATGGTATAACTGCTTCTCCGAAAAATATTGTTCTCATGGCGAGAGAGGATATCATTCGAAAACAATGAGACTGCGGACCTTGGACAGTCAAAAAGGTGTCGCAGGCGGGCGATGTCTGACATGTCGTTTTGGACAGCTAGTTGACCTGAATACCAAGTAAATAATAAGAACAGCCATCCTTGACACTGACTTGAAACCTCGTATTTGCAAGCTTGTTATCCGAAACGGCGTGGAAGGTCAACAGTCGGTGAATCCTCACTTCCGAACACTGGGCGCCCAGGCACTCTAATAACACAACGATACCAAGACGCAAAATCTACCCCCGGAAATAGAAAAGCACCAAAAATGCCGTTCATCTGTCAAAACCCGAGGTTTAACCCCCAGATCTATGCATGATCAAGTCAAGCCCTGATTGGTGGAATATCCCATTTCCCATGTGGAAACCAGCCCAAGACGGTGGAATGTATCCCGACCACAACAGAGGCGCCTTGAGATGCCAATAAAGCCGATTTAGCACTGCCCAAGCTTGTCCTGACTAAAGTCCCTCCGCATCCCCGCTCGAAGATGATCTTGGCGAAATGCGGAGAAAATGATTGCATCTATACCGAGTCGCACCTGCATAGTCTACGTTGTATACTACCGCACTCGTACCGCACTTGTTCCGCACTCATTGCCGACCATCCTTGTCTAAGAATAATGCGATTGATAGTTTCTTATAGGCGGAGAAATCTCTGCTTCCTCCGCCTATTGCAGTTCCCCGGATTAGTAGGTTATAGCTCGAGATGAGCTCGGCTGTTACAATTGACACTCTGGGGTAATCTATAAAGTAAACACAAATGCCTGCTGAACTCGTTTTCCGTTGACTAACCGATAAGTTCATCAATCCCTCGAATTGAACTGGCCATGAAGTTCCTCGCTATCGGTGCGCTGCTTCTCAGCACAGCCAGTGCTCTTGCAACAGAACATGTTATCAAGGGAGCATCAATCATTCCTGCAAATCATAAGGGTGAACTGAAGAAGATTGGTGCCCACGGCCAGAAGTACAAAGACCGTCGCACGGTAACAATTCGTTCATCAAAGAGTGACACTGATGATATCTCCGATGATTTCCTTTGGGGTATCAAGGCTGCCAACCACGGTGGACGACTCATTCTCCAGAAGAACAAGAAGTATGTTATTGGAAAGAAGCTTGATCTTAGCTTCTTGGATAACATCGAAGTGCAGCTCGATGGTGAATTGAAGGTATGTCCTTTTGCCATAGAGGGATGAGCCACGCTGACCTTTGTAGTTTACGGATGATATTAAGTACTGGCAAGCAAACAACTTCTACTATGCTTTCCAAAAGTCCATTACCTTCTGGGTTTGGGGTGGCCAAGACATCAAAATCTTCGGCAAGGGTACTTTGAATGGAAATGGTCAGGCCTGGTACAACGCCTTTGCTGGCCGGGAGATTTTGGTAAGAATGAATCAAGCAACCCTAGAAATATTGAGCTAACATGTATAAAAGGACTCATCAAATACATTTTACCGTCCCATTCTCTTCCTGACAGATAACGCTACTCGAGTCAGCGTTGAAGGAATCACTCAACTAAACTCGCCTTGCTGGACCAACTTCTTTGTTCGCACCAATGATGTCGTCTTTGACGATGTTTTCATCAATGCTTACTCGACCAATGCATCGGCACTTCCCAAAAACACCGATGGATTTGATTCTCTCAACGTGAACGGCTTGACGGTTACTAACACCCGCGTCGATATCGGTGATGACTGCTTCTCGCCCAAGCCCAACACCACCAACATCTTTGTGCAGAATCTGTGGTGTAACAACACTCATGGCGTGAGCATGGGTAGCATTGGACAATACTCTGGAGTTCAGGACTTCATTGAGAATGCCTGGATCGAAAACGTCACTCTGCTGAACGGCCAGGTATGAGATGATACTATTCCACTCCAGTGATATTATTCTAACAAAAATATAGACTGGTGCCCGTCTCAAGGCCTGGGCTGGACCTAACGTTGGTTATGGCCGTATCAACAACATCACCTACAAGAATATCCACATTGAGAACACCGACAAGCCCATTGTCCTGGATCAATGCTACTTCAACATCAACGCCACCACTTGTGCTGAGTATCCCTCTGCCGTCAACATCACCAACATCACCTTTGAGAACATCTATGGTACCTCATCGGGAGCTGAGGATGAGGTAGTTGCCGACTTGACCTGCTCGCCTAATGCTGTGTGCTCGGATATTCATCTGAAGAACATCAACCTTGTTAGCCCCGATGGTGGCTCAGAGATTATCTGCGACGGGATCCAGGGTGACATTGGTGTGGAATGTGTGTCGACTACCAGCTAGATAGACCAGTATAATGAGTGACTTGGATAGCTTATGGTATTGAGGGATTGACAATATAATCAAAAGTACCACCATGAGAAGTGATGCAGAGCAAAATAGAGCCTAAATGAAGAAGTGATTCCTTCAGCTGAAGTGGCTGCATGTCTCCGAGGACACGACGAAGGAATAGGAAATAATCTCCGACATCATCGGAGTCCACCAACAATCGCCACAATCCCAGTGGACAATGTTTCATGACTCCTACTTTCTAAGCAAAGGCACCAGATTGGCCACAGCTCAGTCGCTTATCCTGTACTGTCCCGCGCTCGGCCATACGGAGCTTTGAAAAACGCTTTCGTCTGAGCACTGAGTCTGAGCACCTTGAAGGCGACAACAAATGTCAAGGTATGAATGTGGGGATTTGAGAAAGCCACGGTTCCAAATAGACTTGCCCAGCCAGCCAAGACGGTATAAGCATTGCGAGTAGACTATCTCCGTGAGAGAGGACGTGGTGAAAACATCCGTCCCATCAGAACATATTACAATTTCTCGCGTGAAATGAAGAGACTAGAGGCAAATTTGAAAATCGAGCTTCACCGCAGACAGATATTCCTTACTGTTATTGACGATTGGCGATTCTTCCAAGAGAACGTCGTCTCTCCCCACCCCACACTCTCCACGCACGCTCTTACTGGAGCGGGTGAAACTATACCCGCAAGCTCATATCTACTTCGGATTTGGGCAAGTCGACCACTGGGATAGCATCCTGACTGGAACTTGGCTTTCTTTTGTCTGCAAATCCTTGAGTCTAGTCTGGGGGTGGAGATGAGTCCACGTCTTGCCCCCACCCCCAGATCCCTGGAAAGATGGGGAATACGGGGAAGTGGTTAAGTCTAGATGATATGTCCGTGATGCTAAGGGGTAGCTCATATAAAGAGCCAGGGATAGAAAGCAATGTACGTTTCTTTCTCTCACGATCCGTTGTCTAACATCTCTTCCCTCAAGCATTGGTCGACTTTATATTCACGATGGAGAAGACTGATAGCCAACATATGCATGTTGAAGGAGCTGATCCCAGTCCTCAGGGAACTGAAGCTGGAAAGTACTCTGCTTTCTATATTGAAGACCAGGTTGCTCATCTGTCTGAAGAGCATCGCCAGTATCTTCTCGTACGACATGGCACATTGGATCTTGATCCTCTCCCTGACATGAACGATGCAGATCCCTACAACTGGCCACGATGGAGGGTGAGAACATTCCTTTTTGAAGCACACCAGCAAAGCTGACACTTCCTTTCTATAGAAAAACATAAACCTCAGTCTCGTCGCTTTCCACGCCATGATGGCGACCTTCACAGCCGCTTCCATCCAATCCGCATTCGAAAATATCTCCGAGGACCTAGAAGTCAGCATGCAACGGACTAGCTACTTGGTATCACTATTCATTGCCGTGCTGGGAGGTGCACCCTTGTTCTGGCGACCGCTGTCCAATCGATTCGGTCGCCGTCCAATCTTTTTGATCTCGTTGATCTGCAGTTTGGTCGGAAATATTGGCTGCGCGAAGAGCCCTTCGTATGCCACAATGGGTCTCTGTCGTGCCATCACTGCTTTCTTTATTAGTCCTGCGGCCGCTATTGGTAGTGCTGTTGTTGCCGAGACTTTCTTCAAGAAGGATCGTGCGAGATGCATGGGTGCGTGGACGTTGATGGTCACGATCGGTGTGCCGGCTGCTCCTTTCATTACGGGCTTCATCGCTTTACGTGTTGGATACCGGTGGATCTATTACATTCTTGCCATTGTGAGTCCACCTTCATTGTAGACTATTGACTAAAGCTGACGTGCTTCGCAGGTCAATGCAATCCAGTTCATTCTATACCTCTTCCTCGGATCCGAATCCCTCTATGTCCGCAGTGAACATGCCTCGCACAATGTGACCAGTGTTAAGGAGAGTCTTTTCAAGTTTGGCCGCATCGACCGGACTCCGTTCAGACTTTGGGACTTCTTCCAGCCCTTGAGCTACTTTGGCAAGCCATGTGTAGCACTACCAGCAGCCGCCTATGCCATGATCTTCCTTTGGGGCAGTGTCATGCTCACAATCGAGATACCTCAGCTTTACCCGGCTATGTTCGGCCTCAACACGCAACAAGTTGGTCTTCAGTTCTTGGGCTTGGTGATCGGCTCCGTCATTGGAGAGCAGATCGGCGGCTTTATCTCCGACCGGTGGATGTTGATGCGCCAGAAGCGTATTGGAGAGCCCCCTGCACCCGAATATCGTCTTTGGTTGAGCCATATTGGCCATGTCCTTACCATTTGTGGTATCGTGGTGTTTGCCGTCCAACTTCGGGATGCTGGGAGTACTTGGAATATTACTCCGGTCATTGGCGCAGCTATCGCTGCTGGGGGTAATCAGATTGTTACCACTATTGACATTACTTACGCGGTCGATTGTTACCGCGAGGATGCTGCGAGTGTTGGTGTGTTTATTACTTTTGTTCGTCAGATGTGGGGATTCATTGGTCCTTTCTGGTATGTTCTTCTCCACGCAAGCTATGGTGTTTACTAACTGAAGTAGGTTCCCTCAAATGTTTGAGACCGTCGGATGGGCCGGTGGTGCGGGTATTGCTATTGCTCTGATAGTAGCAGTCAGCATCATTCCTACCATTTTAGTACAATGGCGAGGAGCTGCATGGCGATGATGTTTTATTGAATAGTATTATTTGGATGAGATCAATTGGCACACTATGTTATGCTACTATACAATCTCCATGAATCAGGTTATAGTTATACAGTGAGAAATTCTGTTTTTCGGCAAAGCCTTCCAAGTCGAATAAGTATCCATAGCAGAAAAGCAGATCATAACATCATATAAAAATATTAAAAAAACCATCTCGTAACATATACAATCTACCACTCATCAACCCTCTGCATCCTCAAGTTCATACCCTCAACAGGCTTCGTGGTAACAGCCCCAGCAATATGAATCTCCTGTTTAGGATCCTGCATCTCAAACCTGAACCGACCAACAACACCAGCGACGGCACATCTCAGCTCAGCACGTGCAAAGTCCTTACCAATACAAGCACGCGGACCATGTAGGAATGTAATCTGTGCAAAGTTTGTAGATGCACCTCCATTGTTATTTGGCACTTGTTTCCCATTCTTGTCTGTGTCGATCCATCGCTCAGGCAGGAACTCTTCCCCGTTATCACCCCAGAATAAGGGGCATCGGTTGATGGCATAGGGGCATAGGATTACTCGTGTTCCCTTTGGGACATGCTTGCCTGCCACAACCGTATCCCGGACTGATTCACGGATTGTGGCCGGGACTGTCGGATAAAGACGAAGAACTTCTTGACAGACGCCGTTGAGGAGTGGGAGGGATTCGAGGTCTTGGTGGGTTATTGGGCTTGTACCGGATGGGATTTGAGTACGGATTTCTTCGCGGAGACGGGTTTGGTATTCTGGGTGTAGGGTCAAGAGGTAACAGGCCCAAGTTAGGGCGCTAGCTGTTGTTTCATGCTGATACATTGTTAGCTGTTTGCTTATGGGTTTATACAAGTAGTCTGTGGATACTCACCCCGGCAGCCAGGAAAGTTAACATCTGATCAACCAACTCGGTATCCGAGAAATCTCCACCGAGCATCATCGTACCCAGGATATCAGCCTCGAGGTCCTTAGCAGAAGCCTTGGACGCAGCAAGGGTCTGACGCTTCTCGCGGACGATATCGTTGCATAGATTCCGGAGGAAGTTGGTTTCGTTGGTGATGACATCGTTCATACGCCAGGGCACACGTTGAGCAATCCATTGAGGCAGGGTGAAGTTCATTGCCAGGAAGGCCATCTTCTCTGTGGTCGGCTCAAGGATATTAAGGAAACTCTCAGCGACACGGTTATCCTTATCCTGGAGCGAGCAGAAGTCTCTACCCATGGCTGCAGGGCCAATGATGTCGAGCGTTAGACGGCTAGACAGTGTTAGCATATAGTTGAACATTCATAGATAAAACATTGTTGAACAAACGCACCTCGCCCATTCTCCAACTTCCAACTTGCCAATCTTCTCATCAGCATTGGTCCCCTCCATGGGATGATGCATTAACTCTTTCTCCATCTCATCCAAGAATTGGCCAGTCTTCTCCCACATTAGTGAGTACATGGAGCGGATATTCTTGATATTGAACGCGGGGGTGAGTGCTTTACGCTGCTTTTTATGAGCGGCGCCCTCGGAAAGAATCATTCCAAAGCCGATGATGCGAGCCAAGAAGTTACGGAATCGCCATGGCTTCTCGAAGTCGTAGGTGTTGGTGCTCATGATGTCCAGCAGGGCTTGATGGTTCGTTGCGATCACGTAGCTCTTGCAGATCATGTCACGCATGTGGATGAGGCCTTCATTTGGAATGGTCTTCATCCAGTGCAGAGGCATCCGCCCTCTAGGTGAGTCGAAGATGATCGAGGCATGGTTCATCAGACCCTGTCGAGGTTAGTACGTGTACTATTAAGGAATGTGTATTCTACTCACCGGTACTTTGGGCAGATGGCGCAGCGGGTTCAGGAAGAAAGGCCAGATGATGATCCCATACAGGGCCTTCATAAGGAGGTTCACTCCTAACGCACCCAGACATACTGTCCGGAAGGTCTCCTCTGCGAAGACCGTGCGCTGTAGGAAATAGGCCTCCACGAGGGTAAAGGCCGCCAAGGCCGGTAAAGTGTCGCTCATATTCGCAGTTTCACACAGACTCACTATGAAACCTCGGAGTGTGAAGACGCAGGATGCAGGCCGTGGGGGAGATCATATTTAGGGTGACCCATTTGCGCCCATGTCATGACTCCACCAGAGCGGCACTTGTTAGTCTTGTTTGGGGAACCAATGCGACCTCGGCTTCGAATTCATATGAGAGATGCAGTGAATCTTTCTGCCTGTTAGCGGGTAGCGATCAAATAGAATCGGTTCGTTGAGAATACATTCAACTGTGATTGAATGGGGAGGCTAAGGGGTTAGCCGACCTATGATTTCATCCCTGAACCATAAACACACTATATACACATGCACTGCATCATCGTGGATCCTTGCAGATCAATATCGCTTAGACCCCAGATGTATACATTTACAATATAAGAGAATGCGGGGGAAACATGTGAACTGCAGCGAAACGTCCATAATCCCCGACGCCACAAAAAGAGGAACAACCGTGCGAAGATTCGCCGATCAAAAGTGGAGGGAAAAGTCATTCATTCGCATTGCTTTCCTAATGGGAAAAGATCAACCTGTGAAGCCGAGGCAATTTCTTAATTTTATTTTCAATTTTATTGAAACGCGACAAGCTAAAAGGTACTTGGAATGTTTGAGATAAAACATCTCTTTATACTCCCCGACTCTCCGACTCCCCCCTCGCTTTCTCACCACTCCAACCACAATGTCTTCTCTCGACCTCATCCAACAATATACCCAAGCAGCTATTGCCGCTCTTCCAGAACCAGCCCAAAATCTGCTGGGCAACAGCGTCGCGCAAAAGGCTGCTGCCATTATCCTCGCTCTGGGTCTTACCCGCTCGGTGAACCGCTTCTTCTCTAAGTGGACTTTGCAGAACTGGACTACCAACCAGAAATGGGAGCCCTCGCGCGAACTTATCCTCCTCACTGGCGGATGTAGTGGAATTGGCAAGCAGGTGATGGAGGATTTGTCGCGGACTGGTGTGCGCGTGGTCATTCTTGATATTAATAAGCCGGATTTCAAATTGCCGGCTAATGTCGCCTTCTACCAGGCCAATATTACTTCTTCGACGGACATTGCTGCTGTTGCGGCGACTATTCGGAAGGAGCATGGCGAGCCAACGGTGTTGGTTAATAATGCTGGAGTCGGACATGATGGGACTATTCTTGAAGAGCCCGAGTCGAAGATTCGCCAGACCTTCGAGGTCAACACTCTCTCCCATTTCCTGATGGTGAAGGAGTTCTTGCCGGCCATGATCAAAGCCAACCATGGTCATGTCGTGACAATCGCCAGTATGGCTAGCTTTGTCGCTCTCGGTGAGATGGTCGATTATTGCTGCTCCAAGGCGAGTGCGCTCGCTTTCCATGAAGGCTTGCGCCAGGAGTTGCGGTACTGGTACAATGCGCCCAATGTGCGCACCAGGTGAGTTACATTAAGTCTACTCTCTACGCTATTGAGGCATCCACTGACTTTTCCAGCGTTATTCACCCCATGTGGGTTCGCACCCCTATGATCAAGGTCCTGACCGACAATGAGCGTCACTTCCGTCAGCCCATTATGACTCCCCAGGTGGTCTCTGCTGCTATCTGTGGGCAGATTCTGAACCAGCGCAGTGGACAGGTTATCTTGCCTAGCAGTCAGTCTGCGGCTTCACTGGTGCGCGCTATGCCCACTTGGATGCAGGAGGGTGTGCGCGCATTCGCGTCCGGTGCTTTGAAGAAGATGCGCCTTGCCCAGCAGGCTGAGCAGAATGCGCGGTAGGAATGTCTCAATGCGATTACCCATGTTTTCAATGTAAATAGAACGAATGCCTACTTGTACATAGGTCACTTGTTGTACTCAATATTCATATGCTTTATCTCACCAATACACAGACCTACTTGGGCTTGTAAGAAATGTAAAAAGTACAAAGCGCGCCCGATGTCATCCTTGCGATGTCGTACAATCCGGAACTCCACCAATTGCTCCCCAGCTTTGGGTTAAGATATACACTCCCAGTCCATAAAACCAATACACTATCACATACTCTAAGACAGGCTATATCCATCTACTAATATCAGCACCGTTGAGCAATTCCTTATAATATTAACAGGTGTTTCATATCCACAATTCATCATCTGTACTAGAAAATATTCATAGCTATATACAATCTCCGCCGTCACCCCCCAGTTAAACCATCAATTCAGTAAAAAAGGCCTCAACCTTCTTCCCCTGCTCCGTCTTCTCCTTGGATCCCAACTCCAAATTATAAACCGGCGCCACATGACACTCACGATGTCCAATAAAAAATTCCACCTTCCCAAAGCCTTCCTTGAACTTGGCCGCAAAGTCCTGGATAATCGGAAGCATAATCTCATTTCCTCCGCCAGTGATTAACACCGATTCCACCGGAAAGGTGGAATACCAGTCTACCGGCGCGGTCGATAGATCGGTATAGTAATCGCGCGTTGCCTTGCCGAGGTAGGCGCTTGACCATGGATGTGCGACTGCTTGCGTGATTAGATCGCCGCCGTGGTAGATTTCTTGGTCCGGGAATTCCGTATCAAGGAGCGTCCATGGCGCGACTAGGACTGCGCCGCCTAGGTTGCTGGATAGCTCGACTGGTTTAATTTCTGGGTGTGGGTGCGCTAGGTGGGAAAGGACGCCGCCGACCAGGTTTCCGCCTGCGGAGTCTCCGCCCATGAATACTGTTGATGGGGAGCGGTTTGGCTGGGCGAGGACGTGGCGAAGACATTCTACTGCCTGCCGCAATTGGGTTGGGTATGTTGCTATCGGGGAGAGAGTGTAGGTCAAACTGAAGACGGCGACACTTTTGCCGCGGGCTTTGAGGTCGGCGATCAATTGTGCATAGAACTTGAAGTGGCCCATGCTGGCGGGCAGGCCGAAACCACCACCTTGGGGAATTAGTTTTGATGTTTGGATATATTGGATTCTCTTCGTACGTACCGTGATACCAGACCAGGACATTATCGGCATTGCGATCCCCGATCCAATGGCCCAATGCGCCATTGCCTAATTCCACTGATTGAGGCGATGCCCCGGTCTTCTTTGTATAGATTTCATAGATCTTGTGGGATGGCGGGGACACGTATTGCAGCTGGCTCGGCGTCAAGCGTGCAGTCGCTTTGCGGAATACTGCATATCCCAGATGCAGGAACAGCGTCTTAGCTTGGCGCTCTGTGCGCCAGAGCCCTGTGAGGAGCGCATAGAATCCAGCTAGCAAGATGGATGCCAGCGCCGGGAAGAAGTCCAGCTTCTCTTGGAGGGTGAGCGTGACTTTGGAGACTTTGGAGAGCGACATGGTTACAGACTGTGAAAGCCCGTTCTCCTCGCCCGTACTTGACTAATTTTGAAGCTCGCATGTTCGACCGAGGATGTCGATCCCGGGGTCGCAAAGCTATCCTCATCTGGTAAGGATTGGCTGTGGGGGGGGGCCTCGGCAGCCCCTCGGCAGCATATGGACTTGGTGAAGTGTGAATTGTACGAATATTACAATCATATTATAGGTATATTGTATGATTTATTGTAGCGTATGAGTTGAATTGCATGTAACTATACAACGATATACAACTATAGTGGAACTGCCCGGAATAAATAATAGATCGTGTTACAGGAACAGAAGTGCACTCGGGGAATTCCTAACAATAAAACCGACTTGGACAATAGGGCTCGCGGAGGTATTATCTCCCCGATGTCAGATGTATACTTCGTGTGCATTGTCCTATAGTTCGCATTCTCTACTGTAAATGTGCAGAGTATTCCCCACCGCCGATCACCGTGAAACCGAGGCATGTGACCAATTTAAATATAATTATATTCACTCTCCATGTCTTCTCTTCACCACCTCAATCATGAACGGCACAAAATCCCACCGCTACGATGTAATCATCGTTGGCGCCGGTATCTCCGGCATCAATGCCGCCTACCGCCTCCAAGACCAACTCCCTGGCTTCAGCTATGCCATCCTCGAAGCCCGCGATGACCTGGGTGGTACTTGGGATCTGTTCAAGTACCCTGGTATCCGCTCCGACTCGGATCTCTTCACCTTTGGCTTCCAGTTCAACCCCTGGAATCGCGATAACCCCATTGCCGAAGGGTCAGCCATTAAAGAGTATGTGCGCGACACAGCGCACAAATACGGCATTGACGAGCACATTCTCTTCCGCCATCGACTCTCCGCGGCAGACTGGTCGACTGCAGAGAATACGTGGTCTCTGTCGGTCGACAGCGAGGGCAAAGAGCAGACCTTCACCGCCCGCTACGTCATCTTCGGCACGGGCTACTACAATTACAAAGAGCCGTTGAAGGCCGACATCCCTGGCCTCGACAACTTCCAGGGCCAGATCGTGCATCCGCAGTTCTGGCCCGAGGATCTGCAGTACAAGGATAAGAAGGTCGTCATTATTGGCAGTGGTGCTACTGCCGTTACTCTCCTCCCCAACCTGGCCGACCAGGCCGCCCGCGTTACCATGCTCCAGCGCAGTCCGACCTACATCCTCTCCCTCCCCAATCGAACAAGCAGTCGCTGGCTGTCATATTTGATGCCGGCCTCGATGTACTGCCGTCTCCAGCGCGTCATCTGGATCTATACCTCGCGCATCTTCTTCCTATTCTGTCAGCGGTTCCCGAACTTTTCGCGCTGGCTGCTGAAGTTGAATGTGCGCAAACAGTTGCCGAGCCATATCCCCTACGACCCCCATTTCAAGCCGCGGTATAATCCCTGGGATCAGCGATTGTGTGTCTGTCCCGATGGGGATCTGTTCCGCAGTTTGAGAAAGGGCAAGGCGGATGTGAAGACTGATACTATTAAGGAGGTGACCAAGAACGGGATTACCCTGAATTCCGGGGAGACACTGGATGCAGATATTATTATCACGGCGACTGGATTGAGGCTGCAGATTGCTGGTGGCTCGGCGTTGTCGGTTGATGGGAGCAAGATAGACATTGGAGACAAGTATCTCTGGAACGGAGTCATGCTGCAGGATCTGCCTAATGCGTCATTTGTGATTGGATATACCAATGCTTCGTGGACGCTGGGTGCAGATGCCACGGCGCAGTTTGTCTGTCGTCTGTTGAAGAAGTTGGAGTCGCGCAAGTTGATTGCGGCCACACCGCGCTTGAAGGAGAAGGATGCTGCCACTCTGCAGGCCCGTCGTCTCCTCAACCTTAACTCGACTTATGTTTCCATCGCCGAGCGGGCTCTCCCCAAGGCTGCGGATCGTGGTCCGTGGCAGCCGCGTGATCACTACTTGAAGGATCTGCGGTTTGCTCAGGGTGGTGATATTGACACTGGATTGGAGTTTGTACAGGGGCCCAGTCTTCGTCTGCGCCCAAAGATGTCGTGATCTGCATGTTATGATATGATACCGCTTAGCTTGTGTATGTTTATGTTCGGCTTGGATTTATGGCGCATGGAATACACATATTGTTTTAGACTGGAATCCTCAATGTCTAGTTTATCTTAGGTTCATCTAAAGAAAAGCTTGAGGTTGATTCATTCATCTCAATATAAGATATGTATGATCTCGTGGTTCGCATAGTTCATGGGATGATGTCACTTCACCATGCACAATCGACATGTCATCGAGATTCCATGTACAATTGTAATTCCTGTTTTTTTCTCTGGACATATTCTACTCTACTGTTCAACTGTACTCTAACTGCCATTCATCCATATAATTATCCGCCAAGATGCCCCCAAAAGACAAATATACAGACCCCAAGCTCCGCGATAAGGTCAAGACGGAAATCCACAACAGCGACAAGGGCGGACAACCAGGACAATGGTCTGCACGAAAGGTACTCCTCTCCTTACTGAACTGCGAATTTCCACGCCCAATACTTATGTCTCACAGGCCCAAATGATGGCCGCTGAATATAAAAAGCGCGGCGGAGGCTACAACACCAATAAAGAAGGCAAAGACGAATCACAGAAACATCTGGATAAATGGACCAAAGAGGAATGGCAGACGAAGGAAGGATCTGGGACTGCGCGGCAAGATGATGATTCCCGGAAGAGATATTTGCCTAAGAAAGCTTGGGAGGGGATGAATGAAGAGGAGAAGGAAGAGACTGAGGATAAGAAGGTTGAAGGGTCGAAGGAGGGAAAGCAGTTTGTTGGAAATACTGGTACGGCGAAGGAGGCGAGGAAGAGGGTTACTTTTGATATTGATGGAAATTTGAATGGGAAGGAAGAAGCAGATGGAAAGAGAGAAGCAGATGGAAAGGGTGAAGCAGATGGGAAATCGAAAAATACCAAAGGAGAGGGATCTGGGAAGAAAGCTGGCACTAAACGTAAAGCCAAGTCACAGCCAGCTGAAAAAGATAACGACAGGATTAAGAGTTTGAGAAAGCGAAAGTAATTAACAATGATTATATTTTCATGGCTATTGTTCAGCTTGTCCAGGACGTTCATACAACGCGTCTTCTCATATACAGTAGAAAGTGCCTATTTGACTTCCTCGTCTCTCGTGTGACGTCCTTCAAAATTGCTGTTGGGCAGCATGTTCAGTTGATCCTCCTCGCGATCGGTCTTGTAGTTGGACAGCCAGAAGCCGGCTCCACCGATGAACGCCAAAATCGCAACTAGGGCGTAGTTCCACACCAAAAGCGGATCCGCGGACAGTCCGACGAGGGCTTGACCGAGGGCAGAGGAAAAGGCGTTCATCAACAGAGCTACTGCCTGCACCAGGGATCGCATGTTGCGGGGAGCCTTGGTGAAGGCGTACTCCAGGGAGGTAACCGAGGCAAAGATTTCGGAGATACCACCGAGAATATAGGTTAGGGCCTGAATCCAGACGGAAATGTCGGTGTATTTGCCCTCAACCTCCAGACAGTAGTTGGCTTCCTTGCCACAGGGGCCCATCTTGTAGACATAGTATTGGGTGACAGTGGCCACAATCATGGACAGACCGGCGGCGATGAAACCGGCAGTGATTCGCTTCACAGGAGTGAAGTTGAAGCCCATGCGGCGCAGGCCAGGGTACACGAATCTATCAAAGACCGGGATGAAGATGATCAATGCGAAAGGATTGAGGTTATTGATAATATCATTAGGAACACCTCCCAGGCGCATGGTAGCAGCTTGAGAAGTCAAGTTGTTAAGCATCTGGTTGTATGCCAGCCCTGCAAAGGTCAGTAAGATGAATATCTCAATGAGCATGTCACATACAGTAAAGAGGGTACCAAAGGAACACCTTGCATGCCAACAGTCCACGGCGAACTTCATCCACCCACTCGTCGTCAAAGTCCATCCAGGCTGGCTTGCTGGCGCCGAGATGGCTGGGCTTTATATTGGCCCAGAAGTCACTAGGACCACTCTTCTTGAACCTGCATTTGGTTAGCGACGTTTGCACATCATGGTGATCAATCCTTACAGTCGCATGGGGTTTAGAGACCAGCGGCCCTTCATACCCAGCTTCCACAGCTTGAAAGCTTTGGTGTAAACGCTTCCACTGGGCTCCACGAGGTAGTACTTCTTCCGGCAGAGGAACAGGACTGTGGGGCAGAGACAGAACATGAGAGTAGGCAAAAGGTAAGACAACCAGAAACCGACGTAACGTTCAGCGTAGACCATCGAAATTTGACCAACGAGCGAGCCGATATTGATCATCATGTAGAAGTAGAGGTAGATACGGGCCACTGTGGCAGCCGGGTCGACGATGATACGCTCACCGCTGGGCAGTGTCTGGATGTAAGGCTTCTCTTCGCGGTATTGTTCCGCAATGAGAGGAGAAATATTGGACTTGAAACCACCAGTACCAACTCCCATGATGATCAAACCAATGGAGAAGCATGCAATCGATCCATTGGGGCTTGCGATCACTGGGGGAATGGCGGAGATGACGAGGATAGTATGACCGACCAAAGCACAACCGATGGAAGTAAAGATGGTGCGGAATCGACCCCAGTACTGATCAGCAACCATAGCACCGAACAGGGGCATGATATAAGACCAGAACGAGTTGACTGTCTAGGTCAGTAGTGTGCTGATATTCCAAGGCCACTTCACTTACACAATGTCAATCCTGTGGAGGCTTGTTGACCCATACCTAGGGCACCGGGCACACCATTGCTGAAATCGGAGCCTGGGACCAGGGCGCCAGTGGTAGATCCAGCTGGCAGAGGGCGCTGAATGAAGTTGACGACTGTTTTGTATTAGTCTCGTGATCCCTTGCTGGAAGCGGTGGGACATACAAACAGCAGTAGTGCCGTAGTAAGAGAATCGCTCGCACAGTTCCACAAAGGCAATGGTGTATGCAGGCCAGGGAATCTTGCCAGCGACTCGGCGCAAGTTGCGGAAATCCTCGTCATTGGGGTACTCTCTGTTCCCCGACTTATCTTCCGCAGTGTAAAAGGTTCCCTGCTGCGTGGGAGCCTGCTCAATGCTCAACTCATCCTTCTCATTGATGCCGACCTGAGAGACGGCCTTGGATTTGGCGATCTCGGCCACGTCGACGGGATCGGAGGCGTTCATCGTGTCAGGGGTGGAATGAGGGAAGAGGAAGAGAAAGAGGAAGAGGGAGAAAGTGAGGTTTTAAAGAAAAGAGGAAAGTGCAGGGAAGGACCCTGGGCTACCCCGAATGGGAAGGAGCGAGGCTCTCTATCAGCCACGCCGCCACTTCTCACCTCTTCCTCTCTTTCCTCCCTCTCTTCGCCTTCTAGAACTTCGGAGCAATGCCTATATCAGGATATACCACTAAAAAACCGTCGATAGCCGGCCAAGATTCTGATCTGTGCGACATCTGTGCGAACCTGTCAGCGTGATTATCGGCTGGAACCGACTGCACTCCTCGATAAGCCGACGGCCGCGCTCAAATGATTAACTCAACAAAGCACCAAATCATCAGTTGCAAAGATGCTAATCTTTGCCAAGCCTTGCGACATCCAATCACTTAGCTTAGACGAAGCGGCTTGAGAGTTCAAATTTCGCCGCTTGGCGCATCTTGGCACACCATCTCCCCACGCCATCTAACTTGGCTGGTAGGGTACGCTGTAACATCAAAGTCTTGGCTAGCAGGATTCGCCAATAGGAGCAAGGAAGATGCCGATAACTGAGGCGGGGAGATAAGTGAGTGGTCCGTCCACATGGTCTCGAAGTTAATGGCAAATATGCAGGGCCTCCACAAAGATTTAGGCTCGCGCTAGTCTTGCCACTGTCTCTCACTGTCTCTGGTGGTGCTCATGTGATGTGAGGCCAACTCTGGGGTTGTCTTGGGCCGTCGGGGTCCCGCGAGAAACCTCGTATAACTTGATTGAGCTGACTATGGGAAGATTCTTTGCCTATGGATCACGCGATTGGGCCTCTCTGTTGCGCTTGGCGCTTCCTTCCAGTCCATATAGGACGTCTTCCGACATCCCGGGAATAACCATGTCAAAGGTCTCCTTTACGACTGTGTACTGATAGTACCCGCACCGGGCAATGGGCTGGGTCTTCTTGATATCCAGAATCCCATCTGTGAGCACCTCGTCTTTGATATGAACGGCGATCACCCGGCCGATCACCACGTCGACGGTGCCCATCGGTGGGTTGCCAGGAAGCCGCACGGTGGAGTGATATTCGCACTCAAACTTGACAGGTGACTCTTGGACCATAGGGACGTCCATCAAAGTCGCCGGCTCCTTGGTCACCTTGGCACGCTCAAACTCGTCCACCCCGTAGGGCACTTGCTCAGCAGAGATGTTGATCGCTTCACGCAGGTCCCATGTAGCTAGGTTCCAGACGAACTTGCCCGTTTGCTCGGCATTGATCACCGTATCCTTGCGAGTACCAGTGACCGTCTGATTGGACGAGAACATCACGTATGGCGGGTCGAAGGTCAGATTGTTGAACTGCGAGTAAGGGGCCAAGTTTGCTTGGCCTTCTTTATTCTGGGTGGAGATCCATCCGATCGGACGAGGAACCACGCACGCCTACATGGTCAGATAAATTCAGGCATGAAGAAGAATAACTAACCTTGAAAGGGTCGTGGGGGAGATTGTGTTCGGTCACTCCTGGCTGATAAAACATTTTGGTGTCTTCCAAGTTCTTTAGCGCCAACCCCTCCTTATATGGGCGTGGGTCTCAGCCGACACAATTGCCGAGTGGATTGTCGACATACACACATCCGCGGGCGATCTGTCTTATACTTTGTATAGCAAACTGACCTATGGCTGAAGCCGACCTCAGGAAAAATGCTTGCCTACTCGATTTTGTGGTGCTGGGCTCGGGTCTCGGTGCCTCGGCGCCCTCGGCGTTCGCAACCTCGCAGTCTCAGGACCATTGCAGCATCCCGATATGAAATCAATCTGCCCTGGATGAGCCGGTCTGATTTTGCATGCCCGAACGTTGACCCAACGTTAAGCCGAACTAGCCGGCCGATCATATTTAAGGAACTTGCAGATTCCTGCATCAATGAACACATTGCAGTATACCTGACCTATATCTTCCTATACATTGAACATTCCAAATGACTTCCACCGAACCTCATCTCTGCTTCCGATCTTTTGTAGAAGCCCTCAAGGCTGACAATGATCTGATTGAGATCAACTCCCCGGTAGATGCCAACCTTGAAGCAGCTGCGATCACCCGACGTGTCTGCGAGACAGATGACAAGGCTCCTCTCTTCAACAATGTGATCGGCTCACAGCACGGTCTCTTCCGCATCCTCGGTGCCCCTGCGTCATTGAGAAAGTCCTCGAAGGACCGCTACGGTCGACTGGCTCGCCATCTCGCCCTAGCGCCCACCGCTTCGATGCGTGACATTCTCGACAAGATGCTTTCGGCCAGCAAGCTGACTCCTATCCCGCCTCAAATACTATCAACTGGGCCCTGCAAGGAGAACGTTTTGGAGGGAGACGACATCGATCTTACCAAGATCCCGGCTCCTCTCATCCACCAGGACGACGGAGGCAAGTATATTCAAACCTACGGAATGCACATTGTTCAGTCTCCCGATGGATCATGGACCAACTGGTCTATTGCTCGCGCCATGGTCTCCGATAAGCGTCATTTGACTGGCCTCGTCATCGAGCCGCAACACATCTGGCAGATTCACAATATGTGGAAGAAGGAAGGCCGTGATGTGCCCTGGGCTTTGGCTTTCGGTGTTCCTCCCGCTGCTATCATGGCTTCCAGCATGCCTATCCCTGACGGTGTCAGTGAGGCAGAGTACGTGGGAGCAATGACCGGTTCGGCCATAGAGCTTGTCAAGTGTGACACCAATGGTCTTTATGTCCCTGCTACATCGGAGATTGTCTTCGAGGGAACCCTGTCTATCACTGACAAGGGTCCCGAGGGACCCTTCGGAGAGATGCACGGCTATGTCTTCCCTGGTGACACTCACCTCTGGCCTAAGTACACAGTCAACCGCATTACCTATCGCAACAACCCTATCATGCCCATGTCAGCCTGCGGTCGCTTGACCGATGAGACAGTAAGAACACCTTCACCGGAGCTAGTAAGACTTGCTAACATATTGTTCTAGCACACCATGATCGGATCACTCGCCGCCGCCCAAATTCGCCAAATCTGCCAGGACAATGATCTTCCCGTGACCGACGCCTTTGCCCCCTTCGAGTCGCAGGTAACCTGGGTTGCTTTGCGCATCGACACCGCCCGTCTACGCAAGATGAAGACCACCTCCGCCGAGTTCTCTAAGACAGTCGGCGATCTGATCTTCCACAGCAAGCCCGGCTACACCATTCATCGTTTGGTTCTTTGCGGAGATGATATCGATGTGTACAATGGCAAGGATGTGATGTGGGCATTCTCCACTCGTTGCCGTCCTGGTCTGGATGAGACTTTCTATGAAGATGTACGTGGATTCCCGCTGGTTCCTTATATGAGCCATGGCAATGGGTCGCCTGTCCAGGGAGGCAAGGTTGTTTCCGATGCTCTGATGCCCACTGAGTACACCACTGGCCGTGACTGGGTGGCTGCTGATTTCGAGCACTCTTATCCCGAGGAGCTTAAGAAGAAAGTCTTGGATAACTGGACTGCGATGGGATTCCGGGAGGAGTAAGAGACATCGAGTGAATTTGTAAAATAGACCAAAATGGAGTTAATCTAGAATATGTATTTGCATAGTATAGTCGTATAGTCCCTCATACTTCTAAGAGACAATTTTCCAATCTAGGCGTAGTATACATGCAGACCATACAAAACATAGCCACATTAATATATAACACTCCAAATATCCTTACGAGCTATGTATGCCCCTGATGTAGTGATGAGAGATGCTATGTCCATGGTCCGTGCGCAACGGTCATTCTAGTTTCAGCCACGGCTAACTCGGATGTGCTGAATGTTTCCTTTGAAACCTCTAACAATGATTGTGTTCCGTGACTATTCATTCAATTTCCAGAGCTTGTAGCCCCCATAATTAAAATTTGGACACTCGGACATCTGGCTCTCGGCCTCTCGGCAATATGAGCGTCAGCCACGACGAAGTCGACCGAGTACTCCGTCTCAAGCGCCAAGAGCGGGAACCAAAAGCCTGTTATCCCTGTCGAAAGAGAAAAGTCAAATGCGATGGCACTCAGCCTTGTCGGACGTGCCAGAAGCGGAATCACTCTCATATTTGCACGTTTGATGAGTCGCGAGGGCCAAGGCGCCGAGAGGGCTTGCAGGCTAGGGCCAATGCCCAATCGGCAGCTTCGGTCTCTCCCAGAAGAATACAGCCAGAAGGGAGAAATCCCGCTGAAACATCGACACCGGCATCTATACGGTCAGACGACGCAGCCAAGAATTATGTCTATTCAGGAGACAACTCCCTTGTCTCGATCCTGCGTTCGCGGGCATCAGATTCCAACGAATCGATGGCTCGGGAGGTCGGTTCGGTCCTGGGACTACAGAATACTTTCAGTATTTACCCGTTCATGGATCCGAAGACACCCCATGAAAGATGGAAGTCGTTGCTCAGCGTGTTGCCTCAGAGAACGGAGGTCCTGAAGTTTTTCCATTATTATCGTGTTACGGCCTATCCCTTTAATCCTATTTTGGCTGATATGGACCGCTTTGAGTCGGACCTGTGCACGTATCTCAATGCGCATGCTACTGGGGAGTTACGGAATCAGGATAAAATCACAGAAAAATGGGCTACGGACAAGTCTGTCGGTCATATTAGTCTCCTCTTGGCTACGTTGGCTGCGGGGGCACATTACTCGGATATCGAATATCCGCAGCGGTTGGAACTTGCAACGGATTTTGGTAAGCTAAATAAATTTTCAGCACAAGACTGTTTACTGATAATATCCAGCCCGCCGCTCTTTCCATGCTCTTCGCCTGGCGAACTTCCTTTTCCGGCCCTCGCTCGACATCATCCAAGCACTTGTCATCCTCGGTAACACAATACAAAATATGGGCCAATCTGACGCTGCTTGGGCATTCCTGGGAACGACCATCCGACTTGCTCAGACGATGGGTCTGCACACCGAGCGAAGTACCATCCACTGGCCCGAGTATGTGCGAGCCAAAGTCAAAAAGTTGTGGTCGACTATTGTATGGCAAGATAGCTTACTATGTTTGTGTTACGATCGCCCTCCAATTGTGACACTCGCCGGTTGGTCTCTCGATAACAGTCTCTTACAAAGACAGGACCTGTCATATCGGGAGGTGATGCATTTTCTCACTCGACTGGGACTGGACATCATGCGACCAGAAATATTCGGCGCAAGCGAAGCTGACCGATCAATTGAGGCTTTACAACAGATAGATACCCTATATCAACGCGGGAAGCCACATTTGCAAGTACGGGAAAACTGTATCACTTTTCAAGAGCACCTCGAACACCTCGCATTGAAGATGCATTCCTCTTTCTGCGTATCGGTGGTTTGCCGTCCTGCCATGAAACAGTCACAGACCCAACCTCTCCTCATGCGGACTGAAATACTTCGCGCGCGAGCAAAGGGGAGCTTGATTGATGCATCTCGCGCGTTTCTAGACTTCCAGGCACTGAGTGTTGTCCCTCTACGTAGCTGGTCAATGGTGCATACTGTCTTAAGCTCGACCTTGCTTCTCTGTATTTGGGAGGAGACTCGGAATGATCCTGAATGTCGGGACTTGCAGCAAAAGGTCATTGATGTGTTCTCTTCGGCGGACTCAAAAGAGTCAGATGAGGGAGGTTTGGGATCGGAAAATGAAGGGCACTGGCTGTCTGCACGGCATATTCGGGCACTCGTAACTCTACGAAGTGCTTTGGATCGACAGCAGGATATGAGCGTTCCGGAAAATGAGACATGGACAGGCGCTGGTGTCAATCCTGCCCAATTTGCTTCGGGGTATGTATTTTTCTCTCGATCATCATCAGTACTGACCTTTGCAGTTACCCCGATGGCTTTTTTGACGTAGCGAACCCGTTGGATACTTCACCTGTCTCTTACTTGGATTCAATTATGAACGGTACGCTCTATATACCAGTGTATGACGCCTATGTGCTAATGGGGTTGGCAACAGTCCCAATGTTCGATTTTACACAGGAGATCGACTTCTTATGAGATGTACATTGTCGAGCATGATATCTCCATACGCCACGTCACATATAGATCCAAATCCCCTTGATCGTGAGTCAAAATTGGGTCGGTTCCGGGATATCGCAGTCCCCTCTGTCTTCCGCTCCTCTTGCATGCATTTGGTTGCCTTGCCCACGTCCCCAATTGCTGCATAGTTTCCAAGTTGTGAGATATCTTTCGTTGCAAGAAGCAAGAGCAGGCGAGCCATCGATGGTTCCCATATCGAGATCATACACCTTCACCCAGAGTCGGTGGAAGACCTCGAGAAGTCTTTATGTCATTGTTTTTGAGCGTCACTTCTTAACTGGAGCTCATGGCAAATATGTTATATCGGAAAAACGTCTGCTTGCCGAATGCGCGAAACGGTCTGGAAAGGCCAATAGCTTGCCAGTCCGGAGATGTTCAACCTGTGCAGGGTCAACTTCTTTCTCTCCATTTCCAAGGTAGACTGTTGGAAAAGCCGGTGTCTATACGATTCTCTTCGAAGAATCCATCCTCTATTGACTTGTGAGAATTTTGCTCGCAGCGAGGCCTCTAGACTTACCTTGACGCCCTCTTGATAGCCTTTTATGCAGAATTGAATACAGAAAGGTATTTCGTCCACAAACATATATTTCAAGATTCATTGGATGAGCTCATCTGGGAGGTGAAGTATGGCGAAGGTGGTTGAGCTGACGATGTCGTTGACGGTGATGTTGTCCACTACGTCGCCGCCTTTGAACAGCTTTGGACAGCCATAGAGCTGCACCCATTTCACCAGTGCATATGAAAGCACATAGATTATCGATTTGCCGAGTACCGAAACAGCCAACTGCATGGTCCACTCGCTACTGCCATTTCCTGTTTCTCGGTCGCATCGCGTCTCTCGGTGCTCTCGGAGGCTCGGGATCGGTGGCTCGGAGTGGACTAACTGTACACAACACGTCTGATGGAAGGACTCGGAGGTCGGCGTGCCATTTTTAGAGATGAAATATCAACAACTTTGCCACAGTTTGCTATAAATGGTCTCAGCCACCCTGGACTATAGCCATCATCAGTGCTAGCATACCTCACTCACCGTATCAACCTTGATTAATACCACGATGCTTTCTATGCTCTCCGGCACTCACACTCCTCAGTCAGGAGGCGCTTCTCCTGGTGGCAGCCAAACTGGAGCCACGACACCAATTGAGACACATCCCGAACAAATCCAACATGCCCCTATACAACAATCAACAAAACCTCGCAAGCGCATCGTCGTCGCCATGACCGGAGCTACAGGCGCGATTCTCGGTATCAAAGTCCTCATCGCCCTCCGCCGTCTCAATATTGAAACTCATCTTGTCATGAGCAAATGGGCCGAAGCAACGATCAAATACGAAACGGACTACCACCCGTCCAATGTCAGAGCACTGGCTGACCACGTCCACAATATCAATGATATGGCAGCCCCTGTATCGAGCGGGTCATTCAAGACTGAGGGCATGATCGTCGTTCCTTGCAGTATGAAAACACTTGCGGCGATCCACAGCGGATTCTGTGACGATCTTATCTCTCGAACTGCCGATGTGATGCTCAAGGAACGACGCAAGCTGGTGCTCGTCGCTCGGGAAACACCTCTAAGTGATATCCATCTTCGGAATATGTTGGAAATCACGCGTAGCGGGGCTATCATCTTCCCCCCTGTGCCGGCATATTACATCCGAGCTGCCTCGGTCGATGACCTGGTCGATCAGAGTGTCGGTAGAATGTTGGACATGTTCGATCTGGATACGGGGGATTTCACCAGATGGGAAGGTTGGGAGAAATAACCATCTCCACTTGAAGGACAGGGATGGATAGATTTGACCTTTGCATTGCATGGCGTTCTTGGTTTGGACGGCGAGATTTTCGCATGGAGCAGGAGTCCCGGACGATAGCTGTGTTAGACATTGAAATGAAATGTAAATGGTCACGTTCTGAGTTTTAGAGTGAGTTTGAAGTAACAGGCCACGTTGGCGAAGGTTTTACATATGTATGCAATCCCTTGCAGTCCCAACTCCATGGATAGCTATAGTTTCGGTCATGCGGAACGCGGGCTAAGAATCACTCAAATATTAACTTTTCCTTCTCTTGTATTTTCTTTCTTTCCGAGAAGTTCGGGGGATGTCAACAGCCACAGCGTCATGACTTGATCTTATTGTCCGGCCGAGAGCAGACAGTTCAACGAAAAAGAGAGAGAAGGAAAGTGGAAGGGTTCCAAATCCTACTCGAACTCTCTCCGAGATCAGATCGATCAGATCACACCGACACCCACTGTGATCGGCTTCATCTCTTCCCCAGAAAGGTAGGGATATTCCCCCACCCACCTGGATCAGCCTTGCTACTGCGAACTAATTGTCATCGTGCATTCTCATGCAGGAAAAGCGTGCAAACAGACAAGGATATGTTGGACGCCCTTACATTGTCGGTTGACGGTCAAATCACCCGCATTCTGGCCGGCATTCTTGAAAGCCAAGATCTGCGCTCACACTACCACTTGCAAACCTTCTCGGTGGATTGGACTCGAGATGCTGCTTGTGCATCCAACCAGATCGGGGTCGGGTGCTGCTGTGCTGCACGTTTCTGTCGGATGGCCTGGGTTCGGTAGTTTTGATGTATCACTTCAGCGGTCGGATTTCCTGTTTCAGTCGCCATGACTTGGCCAGAAGCAAGCATAAATAGCTGTACACGGCCGAAGGAGCGAGCACATTGAAGAGCAAAACCTGTCCATCCAGATCGTCTGAACTCGGCTGTGGGGAGGCTTGACATTCTATATCCATCCCTTGGCCACCCAGCATTCTCAAGCAAGGGCAAAATTCGATCAATCAAAACTATTACCACTTGGCCTCATGCTGGCCATGATGTCTTTCCTATACAAGTTGATCTTGTTGGTCGTGTTGCCCTTTGTTTTGGCTGCGCCTGCGGATAAGAGAGCGGCTTGTCCAACAGTGACGATTTCCAAGCCCGAGGCCACTATCATTGGCACTTCGGGCTTGGATAAGGTCGAGAACTTCAATGGCATCCCATTTGCAATTCCCCCGACCGGTGCCCTTCGATTGAGACCACCCCTGCCGATTGAAACACCATTGAAAACCATCCGGGCGACGTCAGTAGCGAGATCATGTCCGCAATTCTTCTTCAGTACCGATAAAAGCAACCTCCCGGAATATATCATCGCGAAATTGAGCAACGTTCCCATCTTCCAAGAGATCACCAATGCAGGCGAAGATTGTTTGACCTTGGATGTACGCCGTCCAGCCGGGACCAAAGCTGGCGCAAAACTACCTGTTTTGGTGTGGATCTTCGGTGGAGGCTTTGAACAAGGTTCCACCTCAGACTACGATGGAGGAAGGTTTGTGGCGAGCTCTATGGATCTGAATATGCCGGTCATTTTCGTCGCCATGAACTATCGACTCGGAGGATTTGGATTCTTGCCGGGTAAAGAGATCCTCAAAGATGGTTCCGCCAATCTTGGTCTGCTGGATCAGCGCCTTGCTCTGGAGTGGGTCGCCGATAATATCGAAGCTTTTGGTGGTGATCCTTCTAAGGTTACTATTTGGGGAGAATCTGCCGGATCAATCTCGGTATTTGATCAGATGGCCATGTACGACGGCGACAATACCTACAATGGATCTCCGCTCTTCCGCGGAGCTATAATGGACTCGGGCAGCATTGCACCTGCCAACCCGGTTGATGGCGTCAAAGGTCAGCATGTATACGACACTGTTGTGAAGGCAGCAGGCTGTGGGGGTGCGAAAGACACACTTGAATGTCTGCGTGGTCTAGACTACGAGGACTTCCTTAATGCTGCAACCTCAGTACCTGGAATTCTGGGCTATAATTCCGTCGCCGAATCCTATCTGCCTCGACCAGATGGCAAAGTCCTGACCGATTCCGCGGAAAAATTAGTCGCCAATGGCGATTATGCATCTGTGCCATTCATCATCGGCGATCAAGAAGACGAGGGAACTATCTTTGCTCTATACCAAAGCAACCTCACCACAACCGAACATATTGTGGACTACTTGGAGAATCTCTTTTTCTTCGATGCTAGCCGACAGCAGCTCACAGACTTAGTCGGAACATATCCGGATATCGAGGAATATGGCTCACCATTCCGCACGGGCACTTTGTACAACTGGTATCCCCAGTTCAAGCGCCTGTCCGCCATTCTAGGTGATATATCTTTTACCTTGCCCCGTCGAATATTCCTGAATGCCGCTACCAAAGCGAAACCGGATGTTCCATTCTGGTCATACCTCTCCTCCTACAACTATGGACTGCCGTTCCTAGGAACCTACCATGGCTCTGATATTATCCAGGTGTTTCAGGGTATCCTACCCAACTACGCATCCAAGTCCATCCACACATACTACCTGTCATTCATTTATGAACAGGACCCTAATGCCAAAGCTGGGAACTATATGAACTGGCCACAATGGGTCAGTAACCAGTCGCTGATGAACTTCTTCAACGACCGTGCTGCTTTGCTACCCGACAATTTCCGCCAGGAGACTTATGAGTTTCTTTCTTCTAATCTGGCAGCATTCCATATCTAGTTGGTCCATGGGATCTGGGTGATTTACGAGTTATGTTTTGTTTATAAATATCTACGAAGTGTTACATAGCCTACATATCAGTACTTTTAGCTTTGCATCAAATAATGGATTCAATTTAGTCCAATCGTCCTGTTTGCCAAACTTATGACTATCCAATGACAGAAACCGTGACTCGGTGCCGAGCTACCGCCATGTAGCAGTAGCCGTAGCAGTGGTCCCTGCGCATCCAGTCGGCACGGTATACGACCGATTGGGATCGCTCTCCCACTTGACAGTGGTTGAACCAGTCGTCTTTTCAATGAATTTGTACTCAAACGAGGTTCCAACGGGCAGTGTGATGGCAACCTGCCATAGAGGGTTGGAGGAAGTATAACTGCTTGCCGACAGTGCAATTGCACTACTAGCATCCCAGCTACCAAGTTGACTGATCGAGCCTGAGATGTAGACATTCTGACCATAGGTGGTAGTAACAAGCTCCTCGAATAAGACTGGTAGGGCTGTGGCCTGTGTACAGCTTGTGCCTGTCGAAGTCGACGTCGCGGTTTGGGTTGCCGTAGTAGCGGTTGTCGTGGTACTGGAGCCGCACAGACTGCTTGCAGAAGAGGCCAGCATGAGTACGCGCGGAAGACCTGATGTCATTGGGACTGCGATGTTTCCGCTGGAGTCAACTGTCACAGATGTGCAGGTGTACATCTCCATCAGCTTGGTGCCTGATGAATATCCGCTTCCACTCAATGACAATGTGTAGGAGCTTCCAGATGACCCATAGTTTGATAGCACTGTGATTACTGGTGAGGCACTGGATCCCTTCTTCATAGCTAGTGTATGGCTGTCTTGGTAGAATGGTACATTCTAATTACGTATTAGCATTGACCAATGGATAGTTTTGTGACTGCGTACTTTCGTTGTGATGTAGCTGGAGTCTGCGGAGACAGCCAGCTTTCTGATCTTGTTGGTAGTTCCAATATACTTGTACAGCTCAGCAGTGGTTGAATACCCTGAGAGCCAAGTGGCCTCACGGTTTGCAGGATCAGCTCCACCACTGTAGTGCTGTTCCTGACCAGAATAGATAATGGGAATGCCATCCGACAGGAACAAGAACGAGATAACATTCTTTGCTTCGGAGTAGTCACTTGTATAGCTATATCATGAAGAGTCAGTACTTGCGATCCAATTAGTCTCTGCGGGTCTCACCTGGCGAATCGCGGATTGTCATGGTTCTCAATGAAGTTCCCCAGCAATGTTGAATCAGCGCAGTCGGATTTGACAGAGTTGATCATGTTATACAGATCGCTGATGCTGCCGCTGGAGGACTGGAATGCGTATAACAGTTGATAGTAGCTGGCCAGTTAGTATGTTTCAAAGAGGTTGGAAGATGACCATACATTGGGTAGTTCAAGACACCGTCCATATAGTTCTGATAGTCGCAAGTGTACGCTGGGTCGCCGTCAAAGATTTCACCGACACAATAAACGCCTGCAGCGTCATTATAGCCGGGCCAGAAAGATTTCTGGACGTGTTTGACGGTATCAATGCGCAAACCGTCAACTGAGATTGTTAGAACAGCCCTTCGCATTTGGATGAAGACTTACTCGAGTAGTTGGATACAAGACCAGCAATCCAGTCATACCATATAGTCTGTACTGCTGTCTGGGTTGTGTCTACGTCTGGAAGGGACACAATAGTATCTCCTAACCAGCAGTCCTCGACATTTGACTGGTTATCGTAGTTACTGATGAGACAGTAAGAGTGGAAATATGACGATGAGGAGAACGGACTAAACACGCTGTAGTCAACGCTATTGCCAGATCCAGCATAGCCCTGTAGAGGGTTAGCAGGGACCGAAACTGGGAGCCAGAACAACTTACCATATGATTAGCTACCACATCTACCATGAGATACATGCCGCGGGCATGCAACGCCTTGGACAGTGCTAGTAGATCGGCAGCTGTGCCCAAGTTGGAGTCAATCTCATATCTAGCAAAGCCAATCAGTAATTGTTGAAATGTTTACTTCCATGACATACATATTCTGTTGCCAATATCCATGGTAGGCTTCACCGTCGCCAGTGTCCTGGGGGAGTTGTTCTGTAACCGGAGTAATCCAGATCGCAGTGAATCCCATTCCCTGGATATAGTCCAACTAGCCACAATTTTAGTTATGGATATCAGATGGAGTCAGGGATGCATACGTGATTGATTATTCCTTGCCAGGTACCCCCACAGTATGTCTAAAGATGTCAGAATTTCATGTCAAAGGTCAATTAACAAGGGCAGGCATACCCTGTCGCTAACGTTACACGCAGCAGTAGTGGAGTTGTCACTTCGACCAAACCGATCGGTCAACATGAAATAGATGGATTGGCTGCGCCATTCTGCAGGGGTGAGACCCAGCACGGTCTCACCCAACAGCAGGGCTGCAGTCAATGCAAGATTCTTCAATGTCAGACCCATTCTGATAAAGAAAACATCAACGTTAAGCAATGTCTAGTTCCCGTGCGGGCTAGGGAGGATAGTTAGATCCCTGGTCTTATATCTCCATCCTGCACTCTTCAAGCAAGCCACCCGGTTCTCACAGCGCCTGAAGACAACCCCATTCTCAGGCAGGACCAAGCACACTCACCTTGCACAGAAATTCCGTACTTCCAATCCAATCGGTCAATTGAACCAACGCATCTTGGTCACTTTGCGGGGAATTAATCTCGCTAATCTCGGTGGACACTGTCAATTTCCAAGTTGCATAAAAGTTGTACTGTATGCCGGGCCGACATATCAAATTCGCGCATCCAACAATCTCGGTAATTCAGCAACAATCATGCAGGCACCTAAGAACGCAGGGCGCTAGTCGGCGCCAGTCTTTAAACGGTCGATCGTCCGAGCCTTAGCACCGGAACTTCTCACGACCCCACAGGTTGAGGGCAAATCAACGGCTTTTCACTTTAAAAAAGCTCCGAGGGCGCAGTTTAAGGCGCAGGTTCCAGGCAGAGAGTGATGCCAGATTCACAGCAGGTCATTTCCTGCCAAAACGCCCCTTTGCGGGGGACCGCGCCTTCGACGCGTTGATTGGCTTCGGATTAGCCGATGCAGACAGGGGACGGAGAATCTGCGGGGTGACGGAGATGAACAGATGACGAGGCTAAAGGGGACAAAGGGCGCTATGTTGATGCTAGACACGACTTGGCTTGAGCGTGTTGATCCTACTGGTGGAGGAGCGGATCATAAGCACATTCCGTAGTGAGTGGCCTCATTGTGGCCTCATCGCGGCCTCATTATGGTTAGCAGAGAGGGATTAACGTGGGAAATATCTTCCAGGAGTGAATTCCTGGAAGAAGTTGAGATCTCCGCCTGTTCTCCACCCTTATGCATTCATGCAATATTTCATGCACTATGCGATCGCGACCGTGATTTCCAAGTAGCCTGCGCCTATAAAAAGGACGATCAGCCCGCACGATCTCAACGATCTCATCCCTCACATCTTCTTCCTCATGGCTCCTTTCTGGACTGCGCTGTGGGCGCTTACCCTCGGCCACGCTGTGATCGCCGCGCCGCCACAGGTCGCCTTGGCTCCTCGCGCCACCAATGTCGATAGCTGGCTGGCATCAGAGACCGCTGTCGCGCGGCAGGGTATCCTGAATAATATTGGATCGGCTGGCGCGTATTCGGCGAGTGCTAAGCCTGGTGTTGTGATCGCCAGTCCGAGTACCTCGGACCCCAACTGTAAGAGAAGCATCTCAAAAACAAGATGGTGAAATCTAACAAATCATAGATTACTATACTTGGACTCGTGACTCAGCGCTGGTGTTCAAGACTTTGATTGATATGTTCAAGAATGGCGACACTGCCTTGCTTGAGGTGATCGAAGAGTACATCAGTGCGCAGGCCTACATTCAGACAGTCTCCAACCCATCTGGAGGCCTTTCCGGTGGCGGCGGACTGGGAGAGCCTAAGTTCAACGTCGATGAGACTGCCTTTACTGGGTCGTGGGGTCGTCCTCAGCGCGATGGACCTGCTCTGCGAGCGACTGCACTGATCTCCTTTGGTGAATGGCTTATTGTAAGAAGTTTCTCGGATTTCCTTATTGTGATGTTGCTAAACAGCTCAGGATAACGGATATACTACCTACGCGACCAACATTGTCTGGCCTATTGTACGCAACGATCTCTCATATGTGGCCCAGTACTGGAACCAGACTGGATATGGTCCGTCTTCCTATTATTCTGCATGACTCTTGCTAATACATGACAGACCTGTGGGAGGAAGTCTCTGGATCTTCATTCTTCACTATTGCAGCACAGCACCGCGCTTTGGTTGAGGGTAGCAGCTTCGCGAGTAAAGTGGGCTCCTCCTGCTCGTACTGCGACTCCCAGGCACCCCAGGTCCTATGCTTCCTGCAGTCATTCTGGACTGGATCTTACACGCTAGCAAACTTTGGTGGCGGTCGCACTGGCAAGGATGCCAATACAATCCTTGGTAGCATTCACACTTTTGACCCAGAGGCTGGCTGCGATGATACTACTTTCCAGCCCTGCTCCGCACGAGCTCTCGCCAACCACAAGGCTGTGACAGATTCTTTCCGCTCAATCTACACGGTCAACTCGGGCAAGGCTGCTGGTGTTGCTGTTTCTGTTGGCCGATATGCTGAGGACTCGTACTACAACGGAAATCCTTGGTACCTGTGCACATTGGCTGCTGCTGAGCAGCTGTATGATGCGCTCTACACCTGGAACAAGATTGGTTCTTTGACCATTACTAGTGTCTCGCTGAGCTTCTTCCAGGACATTTACAGTTCCGCTGCTACCGGTACTTATGCTTCCTCTAGCAGTACCTATGCTTCTATTGTGAGCGCCGTGAAGACATATGCCGATGGATACGTTAGCATCGTGGTACGTTTGAGTTGAAATCAGGTATTGTCAAGTGAGGCTGACAGGTGTATAGGAAACCTACGCCATGTCAAACGGTTCCCTGGCTGAGCAATTCTCGAGGTCCGATGGATCACCGCTCTCTGCCCGTGACCTGACTTGGTCCTATGCAGCTTTGTTGACTGCCAATGAGCGCCGTAACGCCGTGGTTCCGGCCCCCTGGGGTGAGACTTCTGCTAGCAGTGTGCCTTCTCAATGCAGCTCAACTTCCGCTATTGGTACCTTCAGCACTGCGACCAACACCGCCTGGCCTACCACCCTGACCAGTGGATCGGGCTCTGGTACCACGACAGCCACTGGCACTACCACTACGGCGACCACTACAACTACAAAGACTACATCAACTACCACAGCTTGCACTGTCCCTACTGCCGTGGCCGTTACATTTGATGTGATTGCGACTACCGTCTATGGTGAGAACGTCAAGCTTGCAGGATCCATTTCTCAACTTGGAAGCTGGAGTACAAGCAGTGCTATTGCGCTGAGCGCTTCGAGCTATACCAGTAGCAATCATCTTTGGTTTGTTACTGCGACTCTGCCCGCAGGAACTACCTTCTCCTACAAGTATATTCGTGTTGAGAGCGATGGCAGCATCCAGTGGGAGAGTGACCCCAACCGGTCCTACACAGTGCCAGCAGTCTGCGGTACTACATCGGTCACTATTAGTGATACCTGGAGGTGATGACGTGAAGTCCAACTGTTAATCGTTGCGAATGGAAAAATCTGAGGGAAGGGGTCTTGGAACTCTTACTTCTCAAGCATCGACAGTTAATTACATGATTGTCATATGCAAATAAATATTATGAGCTTGCTTTCCCAAACAAAGGCCTATCAGATAGTACATGCTGGAAAAGAGCGGCTGGTGAAATATAAAAATCTCCGAAAGTAGTTCGGCGGTCACGATGCTTGCCGGGACCATTTTTAGATTTGCGTATAGAAACATGACCATGAATAAATGATGTATAAAACAAGATTGAAAGAAGTGTACAACAGTCTAAAGTTGATGATGGTGAATGAACAACCCAGTAAAGGATGCAAGTAAAGAACAAGCGAGAGAGACAACTATACCATGTTAGTATCGGATACTCAACCTTTCACGATAAGATTCGGACTTACGGTATGTATGCTTGAGTCCACTAACATAACAGGCTATCACAATATCTCGTACCTTACCAGTAAGATGGGCAATATAGTTCGTATCAGCCATAGCTCGTTTAATCACCTATTACAATTAGTAGCGTCCAAAATCTAATCTGGGTAGACATACCTTCTCAGAGCCTGGTCCTTGTAGATTCTTCCGCAGCTCACGCTGGAACTCCATCCCCAAAACAGAATTCGAAGTCGTCACTCCAGCTGTCATTGAGAAGCCGATTAGCAACATGTATCCTGCAGTAGCCATGGCTACTTCCTCTGGTGGTAGTAGGGCTGTCATCGCTACAAAAGCTGAAGCTGATGCAATTCCTGTGCCTAGACCACCGGGGAGGATGTAGAGTGATTCCCAGAAGCCGGTGTTTCCCTCCCAGCGGAGGAAGAGCAGTATATAGGAAATTGATGCGACAAGACCGGCTGCGATGAGGAGGCCCTTGTAGTGTCCTGTGCGTCTAATGAATATTCCAGCAACTAGTGAGCCGAGAGTATTTCCAACCACGGCCGGAACGAGATGGCCACCTGCCGCTGTAGTTGATGCTCGCTGTGTTACTTGGAAATATAGAGGGACTGAGAATAGCATTCCCAGTTGTGCTGCTACCTGGAGGGTTCCGATGGTGTACGCGGCCGATACATTCGGTCGACGGAGAATGCGCAGGCTGAAGATTGGCTCGCGGGCAACGTAGGCTTCGACAAGGACAAATGCCACTAGGAGTGATATACCACCACTTCCTAGTAGGGCAGTCCACCATGAGTACCAGGGGAATGACTTTCCACCTTGGTCGAGAAGAAGAGTCATGGCGATAATAGATGACCCTAGGAGGGATGTTCCTAGGAAGTCGATTTTGGCGAGTTTGCTGTCCTTGGAGTTGGGATCTATCTTTTCAGCGACATTCAGTTTCATTACTACCAGTAGGGCAGCGAGAGCAAGGAATGGTGCTTGGAGGATGAATAGCCTAGAACCATGTTAGAGAGGTTTGTATCGTAATAAATGTAGAACATACCATCTCCATCCAATTGTATCGCTCAGCCATCCACCCATAGGCCCTCCGAGGCTGCGACCCAGAGTCATGGCGATGTTCACATACGCCCGCCAACTGGCTATTTCCCGCTTGGGAACTATGTCTGTAATGACCACAGAGCTGATTGTCATAATGCCCGCGCCACCCATGCCGCTAATGCCTCGACCCAGTACGACCATCCACATTTGCGAACCAATACCGCTGTTTTTGTTAGAATTAGACCTATGTGACGAAGAATTCGCATACCTAAGGATACATCCCACTGCGAAAAGGAAATATGAGATAAGCAATAGTGGCCTGCGACCGTAGATATCGCTCAATTTGCCATACTATACTCCGTTACACGCTATTCCGAAGCCACCCGACTCGGGTCACTCACCATCGGTTGGGCAGCGCAAAGACCAAGGGTATACCCAGTGGACAACCAACTGGCATCGCGCAGTCTATTGAATTCGGAGGATATACGTCCTGCCGCTGCCATGACCAGTGTCGCATCGGCATTGGAAATAAATTCGCCTATCAAGTTAGATTTCGACTCTTTTTTGTCGCACACAGATCTTACCAAGTAACAACACTGCTATAATGGTTCCCACCCCCGCGAGAGCCTTCGCACTAGGCTCTGCTATCTGGGATTGAGGCGATTGAGATAGCAGTGGGCTTTCCTCATCGGGTGCATGTCTGTTTTCATTTTCGATTGAGTTCGTGTCTGGCGGTACCACGGATTCTGTCGCGCGATCTGCCATGTTGGATTGACAGTCATGCGTGCATGCGAAAAGTTGGGGCGGTCAGGATATAAATCAAGGGTCCGAGACATGCAAGCCATCTCGCTTCGGATAGCCTTTGATAAGACGTGATTTTGATGTCGGCTATAAACCCAAGTACTATCCGGGTATATTTATTAGCTCTGATCTCATCGCAGATGCAAAGCACGCCATGGATCCACTTTGAACAATTATACAGAACAGCAACATATCCACATATTGACCAATAGATGTATGCAAATGTCGTACCTTGTGGTCCTGTACTATTTTCAGGGTTCTCCGTCTACTCTACCTAATGTAGGGTACGTGCGATAAATTACAGGTTTACATCTCCACAACCGGGATCATTGCTTGTAGAAATATGCTTTTTAGATGATATCTAGCCTTTAGGAAGTTTGGGATGGTTTACAACTCAGAAATTAAGATATGTAAGCTTCTATAAACGTAATTTTCGGTAATTTTTAACATGATGATAAGATCACTTTTCGATTTCTTTGAAATTCATATGCAGTGCTAATAGTTATAGATAAAATAGAAATGTGGTTGTTGGGATAAGTGTAGCATATATCGCATTTACTATGTGTTTTGGGGTGCGGCACTCGCCTGGGAATAAGTGTATAACTGTAAGTTGAGGATATCTCGGCAATTACAATCCGGAGATCGCCATTGGCGCCACTAATTGCATCATATTTCTACTCCCCACTCTCCACGTTTTTTGTTGATAACAAGCGGCTTTCCCGATAACCTCATCTCAAAATGAAGTTGTTCACTGCTCTCAGTCTGTTCGCCGCGGTAGACGGTGCTACCTTGACACAGCTACAAGATGCTGTACAGTCCATCTTATCCAATGGAGCGCATTCATCGCGACAGCCAAATATTCTCTTTGTGATCACCGATGATCAGGATTTGGAGCTGGACTCGATCAGTTATACTCCTCACATCACGAGACATATCCGCGACCGAGGAACCTTTTTCCGTAATCATTTTGTTACGACTGCTCTATGCTGTCCATCGCGCGTGAGCTTATGGACTGGTCGCCAGGCGCATAATACTAATGTGACCGATGTCAACCCGCCATACGGTGAGTCACGAAATTGAAACGTTAGAGAATTAATGCTAACTTTCCAGGCGGATATCCCAAATTTGTTGAACGCGGCTTCAACGATGACTTCCTCCCGATCTGGCTTCAACAGGCCGGCTATGATACCTACTACACGGGCAAAATGTTCAATTCGCACACAGTCGATAACTATCACAGCCCTTATATCAACGGATTCAATGGCTCAGACTTCTTGTTGGATCCATATACCTATTCCTACCTGAATTCTACATACCAGCGAAACCATGAGCCGCCTGTCAGCTACGAGGGTGAACACACCACCGATGTGATTACAAGGAAAGCACTGGGATTCCTAGATGATGCATTGGATGGAGAAAGACCTTTTTTCCTCGCGGTGTCGCCGGTAGCGCCTCACTCCAACGTCGATCCGAACGCAATTTCATTCGGGAAGATTGTCATGTCTGAACCGATTCCATTGGAACGTCACGAACATCTGTTTGAGAATGTTACAATTCCCCGTACAGCGAATTTCAATCCGGACCAGGTGAGCGTAGCAATCACAATGCATTTCGGCAGTTTTAACCATTTCACAGCCAAGCGGGGTTAATTGGATTCGCGATCTTCCTCAGCAGAACCAATCGGTCGTCGAGTATAATGACCATTTCTATCGCTCTCGCTTGCGCGCGCTGCAGGGTGTGGATGAGTTGGTTGACTCGCTAGTGACTAGACTTCAGGAGAGTGACCAGCTGGATAATACGTATATTATCTATACTTCCGACAATGGCTTCCATATCGGTCAACACCGGCTGCCCCCCGGGAAGACTTGTGGGTTTGAGGAAGATATCCGTGTACCTCTGTTTATTCGTGGGCCTGGTGTTCCTCAGGGCCATGTGCAGGATGCAGTGACCACGCATATCGACTTGGCGCCAACATTCTTCCATCTGGCGGGCATTCCAGCGCGAGAGGACTTTGATGGGACTGCAATTCCTATCACACCTAGTTTCGACGCGGAGAGACATGAACATGTTACCGTGGAATATTGGGGCAATGCAGTTGTGGAGGGGATTTTCGGTGGAATTGGTGAGCGCGATCGCAATACATCCATGGATTACAAACATTCTGATTAGTGCAGGTCCGGACGGCTCAAGCAAGATCCCAAACAACACATACAAATCAGTTCGCCTTCTAGGGGAAGGCTACAACCTTTACTACTCAGTCTGGTGCAACAATGAACATGAACTATATGATCTATCGGTGAGTACACAATCGCTCTATATGAGGAATAGACCACTGACTGTGCTGTCAGACCGATCCTTACCAGCTACACAACCTGTATCCGGGTACCTCCCAGTTAAGTGGAGGAGACACTCGCATTCTCGGTCGCAGCATTAGTCAAGCCATCAGCCGACTGGATGCTCTTCTCATGGTACTAAAGTCCTGCCAAGGAGTGACCTGCATCCACCCCTGGAATGTCCTCCAGCCGCAAGACTCGGTTAATACTCTCTCCGATGCTTTGCATACGAGGTACGATGGATTCTACGGTGCCCAGCCTCAGGTCTCGTTTGACTGGTGCGATGATGGATATATTATAGAGGCGGAAGGACCGCAGGTGCCGTTAGTCAGTCGGTACGGCGTGTCTTGGGATGTTTGGGTGTAATGAGTATGAGATGTCCTTATTTTCGATGTAAAAGATTAAGATTTATAAACATAGAAATTATTCCATTCGAAAAACGAGGGTAAACTTGATTTTGAAACAATAATCAAAGTTCCAAGGTTGGAAGCGAATACTTCATAGATCGGCTGTCATAAGTTACCTTACAACCCCAACAACATCACATTAAACCTTGGAAGCCAAAGTAAATAAAAACGTGGCTATCAGCTCGGGAAAACCGAATGCCAATGTAAACAGTATAAATATAATTGGTGTTGAACACCCGAACCCATCGGCAATTAATGTTCGTCAAATCCACTATGATTGCGCCATACCTGCCCTCCGTGTCGCAAACAAACCCAGTATTGGCTGAGGTCTGGATGGCCTCGCGTAGACCGACGCAATCAATCTATGATAGGGCTGGGGTCTATTTTTTCTTTTTTTTTTTTTTTTACTTTTCTATAAGTATGTTTGATCGGTCGCGAAGAATGCAGTAGACACTGGCCTCCACGTTCTTCTTTTTGTGCTTTGTTCCCCTTTTGGTATCATGTCGTCCGTCTCTTCAGATAAGGTCTCTAAAAAGATCTTCGATGAGAAAAACATAGTCAGTGAACGGGTCGTTCACGCCCCTAGCGAGATTGATCATGGTATCGTCAAAGACTGGGATGAAGAGGAGTCTGCGGTGACGCGCAAGTATGTGTTCTATCCAATTGAACAAAAGTATATGACTGACAGTATACTTCTCAATAGAGTCGACTTCATCCTCATTCCTATCCTCGCCCTCGCATTCTTCGCCTTGCAAATGGACCGTGGAAATATTAGCGCCGTCTTGACTTCGTCCATTACCGAAGACTTGAATATCACAACGAATCAAATTAATATCGGTACGCAGCTGTTGTCTGCTGGTATTGTGTTGTCGGAGATCCCTTCCAATATCATTCTCCAACGCATTGGACCCCGCGTATGGTTGTCGGGTCAGCTCTTCGCTTGGGGGCTTGTCGCAACTTTCCAGGCCTTTGTTCAGTCATATCCGGCATACCTGGTGACTCGGATCTTGCTGGGTTTCTGTGAGGGTGGATTCATTCCAGGTACCTTTACCCTGTTCCACGTGGCGGAATGAGTGCTAACCAGATTAGGTGCTTTATACTATCTGTCCACCTGGTACAAGAAGGACGAGACCAGTCTCCGGACCAGTCTGTTCTTCTATGGACAGATGTTCGCGTCTGCCACATCCAGCTTAATCTCTGCCGGTCTGTTGAAACTCAATGGTAAACACGGCATGGAGGGATGGCGATGGATCTTCCTCGTTGAAGGCCTGATCACGCTATTCATCGGAATCATCTTCACTCTCTTCGTGCCTCCAGCAGCTGGGGATGGCCGTCCGCTGATTGCCATGGGGCGATGGAGCTACTTCACCGAGCGCGAATCCCACATCATTCGCAACCGTGTTCTGCTGGACGATCCTCGCAAGGCTCGTGGCCATATCCAGATCACCAAGTCGGATATTTGGAAGACCATCAAGGAGCCAAGAGTCATGCAGCATGTGTTTTTAACTTTGGTTTCAATGTCTGGATTCCAGGGTTTAACTCAGTATACTCCAACCATGATCAAAAAGTTGGGTTTCGATTCTGTTCGCGCCAATGCATTGGCTTCCGTGCCTGTGTACTGCAGCATGGTGTGGTTGGCTATTCTCTCGTTTGCCGGGTATGTTCTGTCTCTTTAAATTTTAGAGAAAGGTACTGACTCATGACAGTGATCGGACCGGCCACCGTGGGCCTTTTGTGCTTCTAGCTATCACCTGGAATGTTATTTCCTATGTGTGTCTGCGCACAAGCAACCCCCATGCCTCCCAATGGCACCGGTATGGAGTTATTGCCGTGGCCAATATCTCCTATTGCAGCATGCAGTAAGTTTTATTGGACGATCCGGAGTAGTGTGGCCCTTCTAATCTTATCAATAGCATCCTCAACGTTGGTTGGCTGTCATTCTATTGCCGCACCCCCCAAGAGCGAAGTGTCGCTATGGCGTGAGTTTCCAATCCCCTGCATGTATTTTTAGCATGCATTGCTAACAGCTCTCTAGATTGGTTGTCATGGCTGCCAACTGTGCCGGTATCTCCGGGTCTCAGATCTTCCGCACATCCGATGCGCCAAAGTATTTACATGGTCTCACCGCAATTTGCTCGCTGGCCGGTGCGTCATGGGCCTTAGCGGCGGTTCTCTGTGCACAGTATTACATTGGCCGTAGAAAGGCGGTGGCCGATGATAAGATATAATTGGCGCTTCACACTGTACATAATACTCAGAGGTATATATGAATAATGAACTACCTAGCAATCCAGTCATTCCGGTGTTTTCTCGGTGCTCTCAATTAAACAACACACACACACACACACACACATATATATATATACTCTATATCTAAAGTGACACTGAATGTGCATAAATCCTGAGGCTCTAGCTTGCATAAGCTTGGCGCTCTTAAATCCGGGGTGACGTCATCTAGTCAGCATCTATAGACGTGCATAAGCTTAATCTCTATCTGTTAGCGCTTAACGTGGTTACTTGCAGATCGGAGGCGAAGGTATCTATCATTTTTTATCTCCGCTTCCAGTCTCTTCGTCATAGAACAAGGGATAAAATCTCTTTCACGGACATAATCCTAACGCCGTGATGACAGCCCACTTCACGGGCGGGTGAAGTGGAACCTTTTCTTCGACAGCCAACCCGATGTCCGCATAGCATCACAAATCGAGTTTTACGAGAACTTTCTAAAACTGGGTCGATCTTGACGGCCTAGGTATAAAGAGTAGCATAGACGGACTGGGGACCTTAGTAGATCATTCTGCAACTGAATATCATTTACCTCAATATCACCATGAGCACCGATTACAAGTTCGAAGGCTGGTGTGGCCTCAGCCCTGAGGCTGCCAAGGGAAAGATGGTCTGGCAGGAATTTGAGCCTAAGCCCTGGGAGGAGACCGATGTCGATATCAAGGTCACTCACTGTGGTATCTGTGGCTCTGACTTGCACACTCTGCGCAGTGGATGGGTATGTCGATGTTTCAGTTGCTGTGTGTGTGAGAGTGAAGCTGATTGTCCTATAGGGTCCCACCGATTATCCTTGCTGCGTCGGCCACGAAGTTGTCGGTACAGCCGTCCGTGTTGGCTCCCAGGTCAAGGGCGATATCAAGGTTGGAGACCGTGTTGGTGTCGGTGCTCAGAGCGGTGCTTGCCAGAACAAGAACGGTGACTGTGAGGCTTGCGCTGCGAAGCTTGAGCAGTTCTGCAACAAGATGGTTGGCACCTACAACGGTACCTATGCCAACGGCGGCAAGTCGTACGGCGGTTATGCTCTGTACAACCGCTCTCCTTCCCACTTCGTCATCAAGATCCCCGACGCCATTTCCTCAGCCGATGCCGCCCCAATGCTCTGCGGTGGTATCACCACCTATTCCCCCCTGAAGCAGAACGGCTGCGGTCCCGGAAAGTCTGTCGGTGTTGTTGGTATTGGTGGTCTCGGTCACTTTGCCATTCTTTTCGCCAAGGCTCTTGGTGCTGACCGCGTTGTTGCCATCTCGCGCAAGTCGGATAAGAAGGAGGATGCTCTGAAGCTCGGTGCTGATGACTTCATCGCCACTGGTGAGGACGAGGACTGGGTTACCCGTCACGGTCAGTCTCTCGACCTGATCATCTCAACTGCATCCTCTTCCAAGATGCCCATTGCCGGCTACTGCAGCCTGCTCCGTTACCGCGGTACCTTCATTCAGCTCGGTGCCCCCGAGGATGGTGGTCTTGAAATCCCCGCTTTCGTCCTGATCATCAAGGGTATCAAGCTTGGTGGTTCTCTCATTGGAAGCCCTGATGAGATCCGTGAGATGCTGGATCTCGCTGCTGCCAAGGGTGTCAAGCCTTGGATCCAGGAACGCCCCATGAAGGATGCCAACCAGGCTATCTTGGACATGAACAACGGTGACGCTCGTTACCGCTATGTCCTGGTCAACGACTGGTAAATCAGGGATCCACTAGAAACGATGTTATGAATGAGCGAAAATGATGTTGATATAGGCGGTTTGGTGTACGAAAAATATTATTTAGATTAGAATAAGAATGCACAGATTATCATATATATCAGTGGGCTGCCAGGGTCCTCACCCCTGTAAATCAACGTCATCCATGTATTCCCTCTGTTTAGTAGATAACGCCAAGACATCAGAGTCGGACTCCGATCCCCGACCACCGCGTTAGACGGTGCTCCACTTCTCCTCACAACCATTTCACTATAAATAAAAATAAGATTGGTAGACTGATCTCTCTTATATCGAAAAATACTGTGGCGAGATGTACGCCCATTGTGCCTATTACGAAAACAATGTCTCCCCTTACGTAGTGTCCGCATCAACCTCCAGCCTAAGAAATTCCCTATAATCCACGAGGAATAATCACATCAGGAACAAGTCACTACAAATTTATGTCAGAAACTGATATCAACTGGGAAATTCCTTCAATCTATCCCTGGCTCTAATCGCGGAACCGCATGAACGACGCAACGGAGCTGCGCTGCATGGCCTTGAATGCCGAGAGGTCGATTCAACAGTCAGAGGTGCATGGGGCTGCGGCATCAGATGTTACTCCCCCAAATACGCGCAAAAAGCGCCGTCTCAGATATGAGGACGACATCATCAATGGAATAAAGCCTGAATCCAATGACATCGTGCTAATGAGTCCATACCTCTCCATCATAGGCATGACGCCCGCTCAATACGAGACCCTGGTATGTCCGATTATCCCCTCGCTATCAACGGTTTTTGACTTCCACTTTGCCCAAGGTTACCACTGGCATAAACTGTCTTGTATGCCAGGTACCCATCTAAAATGGATGGTGCTGTGTTGACGTTCATTATGCCAATATGCGTGAGTGGCTGTCAATCGCTTCAATACACATCGAGAGCAATGCTGATTGTGATACAGAGATCACGCATCCAATCCAAAGTTCATGAAATGCCCAGTTGAAGGATGCACTGAAGCATTTCGCTGTCGAGACTTTCTACTGGTGAGTTTGGCCGCGAAATCCGGACCTCATCCCGCTGACTTTTGTGTAGAACCACGGCAGGGCCAGTAGTGAGTCATTTGCTGTTTGCTTGAATTTCCCTAACACTAACAAATCCGCAGATGGCTGGCCAACCGCGAACCAATCAGTCACTCACATGCGTGCAAACGATCCGAACGGAAGGCGTGGTGACGGTCAGAGGTGGCACACTCATCGCATGTGCTCAACTTGCGGTGCAAGATGCGAGGATACTAGTGCGTCAATGTGGTCTAGGACCGCAGAGCTCCCAAACAGTGGCTCTTTAACCGTGTCCCAACCGAATTCCTTTCCCGAACCTGAGCACATGTACAGTTCGTCTTTCTCAATTCGCCCATGGCCGATGTATGCGAATACACAAAGTGACTGGCCAGGTTTGTGTGGGAATGAAGGGAGTTGATTCTGTCCAGAATCTTCTTGCGTAGATTCCAAGCGGGAGTTTTGTCATTTGCTTCAATCTTGTAGACCAGGGAACTGATCCCGAAGCAGTCTGTGAGAACAGCCTTTAGAGCCTCTGCATCCCTGTTCGCCAATGTGTCGTCTTCCTCCCAGAAAACGATCAAAGCAGACTGGTAGGCATAATGCCTTCCGCGGGCGTTAACCGCCACATTTACCTTTTTGGCTGTTGTGTTGGTGTGGATAGGTTGATTCCGGCGAGAGTGGGGATCAACGAGGTCGGGCTTGAGGGAGATGATAGGGACGAGGGCAATGTCGGTGATCCTGGAGCTTTTGTCGACGTCATCGTCGGTGTGTTGAAAGAGGAAAAGTTGGAATAATGAGTTTTTTTGGTTCTGAGATTAATGTGTAAAAAGGTTGAAGAGGGTGGATGAAGACAAGCGATGGACGAGGTTGCACGGGAAGGAGAGGAAAGTCTGTTGAGTCACATGGAAGCTTCGACCCCTAAAAGCTTATTCCTGTTCAAGGCAATAGTATATTGGAGGCCTGCATCGCATTCGGGAACACTGCTCAGATGCCAGTCACAACAGAGGCGATCTTCTTTGGCGACAATGTGGTCGCAATGGACTCGGTCGAGGTGAACAATACTATCCGAGAGACTAACACCAAGAAGGTCTTTGATGTATCTTGGCATGGGCAGCCCGCAGTTGCCAAGTAGTAGGCAACCTCCGATGTTCAAAGGTATCAATGATTCCCCCGGAAGTTTTATAACGAGAGCTAATGTGATGACAAACTTGCAGTTTCCTGAACGAAAAGGTGACATACGAGAAGATTCACGAAAACAGCCCCAACGGCTATCCCTTCTTTACTTCCCCATACGCAGCAGGTAAGGTCTACTGTTCATCCAAATGTCCAGATGGCTACATCCTAGTCATCACCAAAGTCAAAGGCACCTCATTGGGACCGAGATGGACCGAGACATCTTTGAAAAACAAAGGGTTCATATACAACCAGGTTCAGTCCGCGATAAAGGTTCTCAGAGCCATAGGGATTGCTTGGGCAGACCCTAGTACCCACAACATCCTTTTTCATGAAGACGAACATAAGCCTTCTGTATCAGTGATAGACTTCGAGCTCATCCAATTATGTGACGAAGATGTGCCGATCCAACCAGAGATGATAATCATTTTCGACCAGGACGCTGTACAGCACAGTGAATCTAGTCGATACTCAGGTGGCTAATTGCAGGATTTTGCTATCTGTTCAACAATATTTTGTTTCGCTTTCTTTGCAGATGAATGTTGTCGGATATGACAAGCGGAGGAGACGCGGAGCCCATGCCATACATGATAGTACGACGACGAGACTATCGGCTCCTATTTTAACCAAAAGCTTGTTACCAGTATCATTTGAACAGTGGGCCTTGAGTCGCAAAATAGATCTTCAATGTAGTTTTCCATTGAACCTAGTGGCCATATATTCACTTCACAACTGATACAGCATAGTAATTTAACATATTTATCCACCCTAACCCTTAAGAGATATATTTGTCCACTTTCAAGGGACCCCTAAGAGGCAGATTTGTCTATGATGGAGAGGTATGGACTCATTAGCACGATGTCATTGGATTCAGGCCTTATTCCATTGATGATGTCGTCATCATATCTGAGACGGCGCTTTTTGCGCGTGTTTGGGTGAGTAACATCCGATGCCGCAGCCCCATGCACCTCTGACTCCGAGTCTCCATGAGGCGAGTCCAGATATTCTGATTCCGAATCTGTTGACGGCATGCCTGTGCTGCAATCCCAGGGGGGGTGTTGGTGATGAGAAGGAAAATGTTGGGGTTGGTCAGAAAGAGAGATGGCAGTTCGTGCAGGCCGGCATTGCTCGGTGGACACCTGCGACTATAACACATGTGGCGAACCTGCCATCACCGACTCTGCAGTGATTACAGGGATCAGTGGCCAATTGGCCCACAACATGCGCGAGGAGCGCCTCCACGTTCTCTTTCTTCACTGCCACGGAGTTGCTGAACTCCAATCCATTTTGAAGCCCAGCAGTCTGGCTACCATGGCCCTGCTTGAGAACTGGCTCTCTGCACAGTGGCAGTGCAGCCAATTTAAAAAGCAAGGTTCCTGGTCTCTTCACGGCCCTGCATCTCCACGCGCACTTCTTGGCCAGCTTGGCCCAGTACCCTGGCGGGATATCTGCTTGAAGGACTCCGATAGCTGCATCACTCTCGATATACGTAGGAGTGGGAATATCCTTCGGCCACTCTGCGATGGGATTGGCTGTGATAGTATCTTCGTCATCGGGAGTCTTCCCTGAAAGATCTATGCACTTGTCAGCCGGTGTGATACCAAGTAAGTGATCAGACATACTTTCATACGGCCATTCTAGGATCTCGTCCTTTTAGACCAGGTATAGAAGGATCGGCATCTTTGGCCGTGTGTTTCGCTTGGGTCAAGGTGGGATGACATGGGCCCCTATCCCCTTGGTGAATGGATTGCGATGCTGTATACATGTGAGCCAGGCTCTCAAACTGATACCATCGTAGAAAAAGTTGATCCAGCTCACCTTTGATCTGCCTTTCCGGGCTCTGGACGAACACGTTTGTGCAAGGCTTGCCCACTTGTTCCGCAGAGGCGTAGTCTTCGGCCAGGAGGGGGTGATGCTGACCTCCCTCAGATGATATAGCGTTCCCCATACTGTACACATGTTAGCGAGGCTCACAACCTAATGCAACCCCATGAGAAAAATCAAGCTTGCATTGAGATGATGGTATATTGGACTGTTCGAAGTAATAACTTTGGGTCCGGCGTGGAGAGAGAAAAGAAAAGAAATCCTAAGTGGAAGTGAAAGAGAACTTTTATATTCGGATTCAAGTGAGCTAGTTTCGTCCACACGCAGATGTAAGAATTACCTCGTTACATTTGCGTCAACACTCAAGCCAAGAAAGCCTCGAATCCAATACAAATTCGACTACCCGTGACATGCTATTCCCTCCATTTTCTGGTCAATACCCCAAGCCAGGTCTTCATCATGAAAATGTTATGCAACCATTTAAAGGAGTATATTGAATATATGCTTTTCAGCTCGGCCGGTTCAGCAAGATGGGTTACCTGATACAGATCTCGGAACAATTTCTCACTCAATTGTATTCAGCAGTCGATCCTTTCCCTGTTCGAGGATACTTGATTCAATACACACGTGGAATACCAACAGGCTCATCACACCTCCAATGCAAGACAGATGCCAACACCTTGCGTCCGATCTTACGCGAAATACATGACCGGATTTGGCTTGCACGTGAACGTCCAGGTGGTAATCGTGTATCAGACAGTGCGACATGAGATAGATCAATCATGTCAGCATTGAAGACTTGCGATCCAGGAGTCACACCGTAAGATGGAGAGAGTAATGCTTGAAGGTAAGTTAACTATATAATAGCCGTTATATAACATAATCGCACTTAGTTATATGCCGGAGCTATTAGGTATCACTTATGTCTATTACAACTTAAGCTTAGGAACTCACTAATCACCTATCTAGTAAGAATAAAAAAGTTCGAAATGTACATTTGGTAGCTAGTAACGTATCAGCAGATAGAATGTAGAGGGTCGACAAACATAAGTAAAACGGTATATTCTTGTGCATTCCCTAGTATTTTATCAATAGCACTGTGGGCAACATTCAATACCCCGTTCCCTACCCATTTATTGAGGCGTATCAAAAGCAAATGCTCAATTTCCTACCAACTGCCGGTAGAATTCGTTTTGTCCTGGTGGCGTTAATAGACTGCCGTACCCCGTCACAGTTGGTGGAAATTGGCGCATGCAGGCCCATCGCCAGCCAAGCCCTCAATAATGATGCACCGGGCCCAGGACCTTCGAAGCTTCTTGCAATGGGTGCATTCTTGGTCCGTGGTCTCCTTTACCGTTCCCGCAACCGCCGTTCTGCTTTAGCCCCTCTTTTTTCACCTCTTTTTTGCCCATTTTCGAGTGCCTCGGGTTAATCTTATAAATTATATGAAGGTAGGGGTATGAAAGGGCTTATTGCTTATGACTGTATGAGCTAACTGAAGTATATTAAATATAATGTAGGCAATAGTCTTGACACGATATCCCTCATCGCAGATCACACGTTCAAAGTAGGCATCTAATAGTGGCTAGGACTGACGCCGGACCTTTGTCCTCTAGGACTTTTTGAGATTAGCCTTGAGTTCTAACAAATCAGAGGTATCATTATCCTACAAGACGGCAAGACCTTTAACTGCCTCCTCGCAGGAAGACATCATGGGTGGGATACTACAACCTGGGCGGTGGCAGGACGATCCAGGGAGGTACCGAGTTCCAGAACCAGCTTATTGTACTTGGTGTCCGGGATTGCTGCCACCGGGGTGGCATCGAGGGTGGCCGGATTGTCCAAGTCTGCTTCATCCTGCGCCAATGGGTTGAAGGCAGCTAAGACGTTCTCAAGAGCAGAGATTCTAGTATCCTCAGAGGTAGGCACGATAGGAACCACACGGGTCGAAGTGGCAGTGCTGATCAACTGTGGTGGAACCGCCTTGTTGTTCTGGGTAGACTTGACAGAGAACTTGGGATTCTTGCGCAGTTGGATGTAAAAAAGGCTAAGTACCTTCCAAGCCAGGAAGGTTTCCTTGGCATCGAAAACGAGCGGATGCTGCTTCAACTGAGACCGAGCACCAAAGTCACTGGGACGGGTAAGTAGATACTGGCGGTTCCACCATATATGGCGTACGTCGAAGAGGTTGTCCTGTGTGATATTCTGGGTGGCCAGGGTCGGGGGCTTGCCTGCAAGAAGAGCAACGGTAAATTCACCGGCATGTTGAACAGCATTTGTGATGTTGTGGGCATGAACTATGCAGAGATCCTTGGGTAGGTGAGCGTGGCCGAAGTCGTTCTGGCGGTCCTTGACAAAGTCGGCAATCACACGTTGGGTGACCGTCCAGATCCTTCATGGTCTCGGCGGTGAAGTTGATATTATGATACCATTCGAGTGGGTGGCGTCGACATTATCGTTCTTCGCGCAAAGAAGCCAATCTTTTCCTTCGGACAACCGAAAGCTGTCTCCCATCCCTGGCCGTGGAGTCTGAGTCCTACACTCATCTTCTAGACGATATGAACCTCTTGCTGTTGGGGATGTGGGGCTCGGGATGACCCGAATTCCCACGTGGAAAGTGCTTAGCCTCGTCACTGAACATAAATCGGGAATTACAGACCAAGTTTCATCATGTTTCCTTGTACTGGTTACTACTAACAGATTGTGCAATGTAGTATGACTATTGAAAAAATTGGTATTCCGTGGGTGAATCCCACGTGTATTGGAATCACCTAGCAATGGATACAAATGGCAAAAACAAGAGCTAATAGAATCGTCCCATCACCCTCCGCCGGACATGCGGAAAAAATAACCCCGTTTCTGGAGCTTCAAATTGTTTTTTTTTTTTTCTTCGGGCTTGGGTTCTCAGGAAGCGGCGAAATGTTCACTGATATCCCGGTGATATAATTAGTGAGAATAATCTTGGTATAGCACAGGGAGACATACAGTATCCTCGGTCATAAATTCAATGTTCACCAGCGGAAGAGCATGATGTCCATCATGTCTGCCAAGTCGTTGACGCAGTCCTCACGGCGGACGCGCTCACGGGCCTGCTGCTGCATGGCGAGCATCAACTCTCGGTATTGCCCCTGTAGACGGTCGACGTCCTCTGGCCGAATGTTGCCAGCCAAACCGCCTTGGCCCAGCGGCGCAATCGTGATTCCAATCTCACGGATAATGGCATCCACAATGCGGTCCACCTCATGTACAATTGTCAACTGGCCGTTCAGAGCATGTTGCAGTGCCACAAGTCCATGAAGTTCCCGTACTGAGCAAATCGCCCCATCATTTCTGCTGTCCGCATCTCTCTCGCCGTGGTTCACCTGTGCGGGTCTGCTTTGCGGTGCTTGTTGACTGAAGCGCACTGTTGCCTCTGTGCATTCCCGATTTGCCTCGTGGCAATTTGCGCAACCATAGCGGGTCCCATCAGCTCCGGGTAGTTTGACGCATAATGCCCATGGGCCCTTGCCTCGGAGACAACAAATGCACGGATTGACTTGGAGCTGGCCGACAACTTGGATCAGCGCCGACTCCACGTGGAGAAGGTTCCGTCCCACCCATTGGTAAAGTTGGGAGGATGTTTTGATTTTGCCGCCGTTGCGGACGAAAGGTTCGCGCTGGCTCTGGAAGGAGGACCAAACTTGCAGCAGCTCGCTCTTCAATTTTTCCTCTTCCCTGGCGGCACTCCGGGCGAATTGCTTGATTGTCTCAGCCCACCCATCTGGGGGCATGACATCTTTTCCCATTCTTAACGATGGGAGTTCAACACTATCACCGCGGACAAGGTTGCCAGGCTCAGGGATAAAACTGTGAATGTCAGCGTCTTATTCTTCGGCGTGGATGAATTGAGTAAGGAGGAGGGTATCTTGCGTATGGGTAGCCATGACGGCCGTGAATTTGTATGAGAAGATGCAAGGGAAAGGCGAAGGTGGTTGGAGAGAAATTTAATGGAGGGAAGAGAGAAGTTGGAAGTTGGGGTGAAAAGGAAGGAAGAAACAAAAAAGAGAAATACGGGGGGGTTAGTGAACTGATCACTTTAGGAGCCTACTGTCTCTACCTATTACGGATCGTAGATTTGGACAGACTACATTTCATGATGATTTTGGCCTATAATGCCGCTGGCGAAGATATATTCCTGGTATCCAAGTAATTGGAGTGCCCGAAATGCGTGCAGATTCCGTACCTGTTGAGGGATCGGAATGGTACTGACATTAATGGGATGTCTCCCGTGAATGGAACGGCTACAAGCTTACTGAAGGTCTTTTGGTCGACAGTGGGCTTTCGAGATTCTACACATGACTGTAGGTCTTTAAGATGCATTGATGAGGGAGGATATCATTGCCATTTGCGAGTAAAGATAACACACACAATGCCCCTCTGGGTCCCCCTTCTTTGCGCTGCCTTGTCATGATAATTGTCCTGTAATTGTCCGTATTGCTTCCTTATCCTCACAGCTGAGAACGTAAGGTGCGGAGCTGGTTGGCCATGTCTCTCTCAACATCATTCTGGCGAGACTCGAGTTGGTGAGCACGGGCTAGAGCTCTGAAGTTTTCATCCAGTCGCTGGATGTCCCGATCCTGGAGAGTGTTTCCGTTCCAACCCCTTATGACCAGATCAAGGGATTCACGAACAACGTGGAGAAGCTCTGTCACAGTTCGATTGGCCTCGTGAATAACAATCACCTGAATTCTGTGGGACGATTCGAGGACGCGAATTTGATCAGCAATGTCGGTATCAGCGGTAGCACTTGTCTGTGGGTGGTCGGCCGTAGGCTGAGCTGTTCGACGGCGGGTGCGGTTAACCCGATTGTGTCGGGGCGGCGCGGTTCCAGTGAACTCGCATGTTTTAGCCCGTCTCAGTTGGTGGCAATTGGCGCAGGGTAGCCCGTCGCCAGCAATACCCTCAATGATGACGCACCGGGCCCAGGGCCCTCCCAGCTTCTTGCAGTGGGTGCATTCCTGGTCCGTGGTCTCTTTCACGGTTCCCACGACCACCATCAAGGCCGCCTCATTATTTCGGATATTGGCGAACAGATGAGCCCTTAGGGCGGGCTCAGTCATCCGACGTGATTCGCGCAGCTGAGGTTCACGACGGGGAGGCCTAACAACCAGCTCCTCGAGGAGGGGTGAGAGGATTGTATCGCCCTTACGGGCCTTTGATGAGTTCAGCTCCATCACCTCTTTTGCCCACTCTCCAGGCTCATTAAGGTCTCGGCCGACCGCTGGTGGGGGAAGGTACTTTCCGCCGGCAGGGACCAAGCTGTCAATGTCAGATTTCAGTCGCCTGTATCGCGTCAGGTGAGTAACTTACAAGCGAGGGGCCAGTGGAGCCGCCGGTGGTCTCGAAGGATCGCTGGATAGTGGATGCGCCATTGGAGGTGCGGTTGATCCGGAAGGATCATTGGGGGGTGGGTCGTTGTCCATCACGATTGGATGGATCGGAAATTGGTGCGTGAAAGACGGATGGTGGTCGATATTCGGGGGTGTGACTACATGCAAGATAGGGTCACACCTTGTGGAAACTGTTATTGGGACGGCCAGCAAGACAGAGCTACAGAGGATGGTACAGCGCTAGAGACAGCGACTCAGCGATCCTAGAAAGTACGTTGTCATATCCCACCCATGATGTCTTCCTGCGAGGAGGGCAGTTGAAGGCCTTGCCGTCTTGTAGGATAACGATACCTCTGATTTGTTAGAACTCAAGCCTATTCTCAAAACAAGCCTTAGAGGGAAAAAAGGGAAAAGGACCGGCGTCAGTTCCAGCCACGATTAGATGCCTACTTTAAGCGTATGATCTACGATAAAGGGATATCGTAGTATATGTAATATACCTCGATTAGATCACATCATCATAAGTACACACCCCTACCTTTATATAATTTATATGATCAACCCGAGGCACTTGAAAATAGTCAAAAAAGAGGTGAAAAAAGAAGGTTAAAGTAGGGCGACAAATAAGTAAAACAGTATATTCTTATAGAGACTACATAGTATTTTACCAATAGCACTATAGGTAACATTTAATACTCTATTTCCTACCTACTTATATCTAAGGCGTATTAGATATAAATGCTTAATTTCCTACTAATTACCGTACCCCGTCCTAGTTAGTGGAATTCGCGCATAGAAGCCTATCGCTAACCACGTCCTTAATAACGCGCCGGGCCGAGGGCGGTCCTAGCTTCTTATAATATGTGTATTCTGAGTCGTGGTCTCCTTTACCGTTCCCACGACCACCACCAAGGCCGCCTCTACACTCGATCCGAGTCTATTCCGACCCACTCTGATGCTTGTCCCCTCTTCGTTGATCCACATGGGCTAACGAGATCCAAACATATTTCGGTAATGTGTTTACCCTCTGGGTGTTCCATGGTTTCACTGGCACAATCAGGGACAATCAGGTGTGATCCGGGATACTCAGCTCATTGTAGGGGATAATGTTTGAAATCTTGCTATTCAAACCCCTCCTCTCCCCGTCTTTCTCTTTTCCTTTTCTTCCCTTATTCTCACCCTTCAAACATCAAACCAAAACAAACCACGAACAGCCACCGTGGCCGACCGAATGTAAGATAACCCTACTCCTACTCGAGATAATACACGAGAATCAATCAACTGCTAACATCAACAGGAACCTGGTCCAGCCGGGCCAACGCGCTCAAGGCATCCCAGTCGAGTTGCCTCAAATCAGCGTCGGAACTGACGAACTCTCCCCAGGCCCATGGGCAGTGATTATCAAAAAGATGAACTGGCCCGTTACTCGCCGGGGCACGCGCTATATGTCGGACTTTCTGGTGATCTACATCGGAATGCTAAGCCTCCGTGAGATTGTCCTAGTCGACGGCTGTGACATTGCAACCCCCATCCTTTTCTGAAACTGGGTTGGTGACTACGTTAAGCGTGCCGAAGCTGCCTTGATCCAGGTGGTTGGTGATCTCCTTGACAACCCTTGCATTTGCTGCCGGGAGGGCAAGAGTCCCTTCGCGCACTGCGTCCGAATTACAGGCACCAAAAAGTGTGGCAACTGCCACGCTTTTCCTAGCAGAGACTGCGTCTTTGATACCTGCCAGATAATGAGGCCTTCTATCGTCGCTGTCGCTCATCCCGTTCGACCTATTCTACCCGGTACAGGTGAACGCGAAGAACGTTATCGCACCTAATTCCGATGTCCCTCAGCTGGACCAGTTGATAACCACTATCATCCGTCCCCTACAGGAGAGAGAAGAACAGACTCTCAACCAGGAGGTCCAACTCCAGCAAGGATACGAGACGATCAACACACTTGTGCTGGCGCTCAAAGTGGTAATTGAACAGAGCAAAGCCGCTCTACCTGCCGACTCCACTGCTTCCAACCCGGTTTCTTTGGCATTGGCGATCTGGACTCGGTCGCCGACAACCTTCGCCAGCAGAAGAACCTCCAAGACCGTTCCGATGGGAGCCGATGCTCATTTTACAAGAACAAAGGCTGATGAACAGGCCAAGACTGACGGAGACGCAAACAGGCTGAGAAAAGAGATGAAGAGACAGAAAAAAAGCAAAGAGGGCAGCAAGAGTCACAAAGTTGAGGAAGATGGGGCATCCCTGAAGAAGTGTATCGAGAGTTGCGAGCGGGAACTGGAGCATGCCAAGCATGAAACCAGACGCAGACGACGGCATTCCCATGAGGCCGTATTTTTCCATCGTGGGAATGACGCCAAGCCAATACGAGCCACTGGTACGTCATTTGTACCATTGCCTGTTAGGAAATACTGACATCGTCCTTCCCTCTAGGTCACCACTGGCGTAAACCGTCTAGTGTGCGAAGTACCAATCGAAGGTGGTTGGAGATCTGTTGACTATCACTATGCGACCATGCGTAAGTGGTTACAATCTGCACCAATCATCGCTGAATATTAGGCTAACAATGAAACAAAGATCACGCTTCGCAACCTAATTTCATTACTTGCCCGATGGACGAATGTCCTGCCGCTTTTCGCTCTCGAGCTGCGTTGTTGGCAAGTCTGTCTATCATGTTTACTTAGGATTGTGCTAACGTCTGTATAGGAACATGGCAGAGAAACACGTGAGGTGTATTCCGTTTTGCATGCTTTGAAATCTACTAACGTTATATTAGATGGGTGGGGTTACAATCTCGGTTCTATGGGAACTCCTCGCTGCTACGACGAGAACGAAATGCATATTGTTCGCCGAGCTCCAACAACACAGCGACTGTAACAACACAGCGACTGTGCTCAAAGTGTGGAGTACGATGCAAGGCTGCATGGGACCTCCAAGACCACTACCAGGCACAACACCCTGGAGATAAGATTCCAGAATGGATTCCTTTGACTCTAGCCCCCCTACCTGGGGAGTTTGTGTATGGCATATGCTCGATCTGCAAACTGCAAGTCAAGCGTACGGGACTAACCATCAAGGGCCATAAGGCATCCCATGGCTGTCACTTGGCAATGGGTACGTCCTGAGCAGAGCCATCTCCAACCAGAGTATGTTTTGGGGCAATTCCAACTCTTCCTCGTCCTTCCAGCGCCTTTTTTTCTAACAATGTGGTATAGTGAGCAACCGGATAAGAGTACGTCCCCATGCACCGGCGGAGGGTCATCCTCCGCTGTTGTCGTCGATACTGACTGAAGTCGGTGCCCAGATGAGGATCAAGTACAAACCGGGCAAGCAAATTCTCGTGCAGTGGTGGGAATATGATTCACGACTATTTTGATGCCATACTGATCGCCTTTGATAGGAAACGCCCCCACACTTAACGAGACCAAAGACGATACATCATGACTGTGCGGTATGCGGGTCTTCTATGCGACGAAATGCTGCTAAACGGCATGTGGAAAAATACCATTCAAGGGATACGGTGCCACCGTGGACTGAATGGGATGTTTCGCCTGACCGCCCTGAAGTCTGGGCGGAGTGCCAATTGTGTGGAGAGAAGATAATCTTCACTAAATCGGGGCAGAAGTTGCAAACTCACGCCAAGCGACACAACGTGGTGGATCTGAGGGACATCCCATGGTCATGGTCTCGTCATGAACGTGAAGAAAATTGGTAATATTGGAGGCTCTTGTGACTTGAGTGCTGAGCGCTTACTGATTACTGTTTAGTGCAAGTCGGAGCTTGACAACAGGTGGTGGGCGTGCGGACGATGATCAGACGAATGTCGGCGATTCTATCAACAATTCCATTGTACCAGCCACCCAGTTGCCGTGCACCTCCGCATCAACAACCCCCTTGACCCGTGACGCGACATGGCGCATGGGATTTGTTGCTGGATACAATCAGGCTCTTGCCGACAACAACGTCAATGCGACGATGTTTTTGCCAGACTGACTCATAATGGTTTTCTCTTGTTTGGTATAGATTTTAAAGTCTTCAATCCTACTTCTGTTTCCTCCATCTTCTTTCATCTCGATACGACATTCCGCCTCCTAAATGTACTATCCATCTACATACCGAAAGGTATGATGTCAATCAGCTTGTCAGTTTTATGCCTACCATGAGTCGCGGTCATGTCTGTCACTAGATATGAAAGTAACAAATATGAAGCCGAATCAACACAAAGAATAGCATATGAAGAATGTTGCACAAGACCGTCGAACATGTTTACCTACTATAGTATAATGAATAAAGCGAGATATCATAATTTCTGCGTTTCTGGGCCTTCCTATTCCGTTGAAACTTTCCTTCTGTATTTCATTCTTCTTATTTGAGGGGGAACCGGATGAGCGTGGGGTGGCAATTGCTTTGTAGTTTTGGCAGCACGTGTTGTCTTCGATGCCTTTCGCGTTCCACATCCACTTCTCGCCATCCCCTCACCATCTCCATCACATCTTCAACAAGTCTGCCTGGACACTGTCTGCATGCATGATTTTGCCATATCGCATGCTCGCCGAATTATGTCGTCTCCGGATTCAGATCCTGATTACTGCGGCTCCCAAAATGAAGAACCGGATCTTGATTGGGATCAGTCTGGCCCGTCAACACAACAAGATGACCCAACCGGTCCCTTTTCGGCGACATACACAGAAGCTAGCCATATGGAGTGCAGCTCGGATTCACCTATTAGAGCGGATGAGCTGGAATTCGGTCCATTCACTTCCAACGACGAACAGTCACCAAGACGTGATGATGAAGTCCCAAAGGGGCGAGCGAGCGGTCTCGCGCCGGTACTATAGCATGTGATCCACGCTCATCTCTCCAAATTTACTGACCATGTTTATAGTACCGACGTGAGAGGCAGAAAGACGTCCTGTTGAAACTGGACTGTCCGGTGCGCGGGTGGTCCCTGACGGAGAGAGGTGCCGCCCTTCATGTGAGCCGATTTCACGCCAATGTCGCGGTTTTGCCTTGGTCAGACTGGGACAACCCGACCCCTGAAACATCCAGCTTGACTATTTGGGCCGTGGTGACCACCGTCCCTTCAAAAAAGGGGGGCAAAACCTGTCTGTGCATGCTAGAGCAACACACCACACGGTTCCATCAAACATTATCTGGACGTGGTCTCGCCACGGAGCAAACGAACTTACGTCGTATGATACCAGTGTCGTACATCTTGAAATATGGAAAGCTTACTAATTGTCATTTAGGTTACATGATAATTCTCCACCGGCATCAATACGATCGGAGGCACCAGACGACGATTCGGACCGCCCCCAATTGAGGACAGGAGTCTATGGGACTATTATCGGGGACCATGTCGAGAACCCAGCACCTGCAACCGGCAATCCCCTCTCCACCTTCCCCAAATCCTCGTCGTCAATGGCCGAGGTATAGCACACGACCCTTCAATCTGGATACCAGCAAGCCCTCTCCGACATAAACATGAAGATGACAACGCATGACCCGCTTCTGACCGGCATCAATAATTCGAGTGCGGGGGGTGATTCGTCTAGTGTCGCTTCCTTTCATACCGCCGACGAGTGAACGACAATACGGTTAGACCTATATCTCCCTGTATCAAATAATTGCATCTACACAATTAGTTTTTTTGAATATCATCGCCTACGATACAGAATCATGGGTGGTGTTTGTCTGATCTTCTCTAACTAAAACTGGCAATGCTTACACCCTCATGAAGGAAAATTTGACCAATTAGCATATTAGCCCAGTTTAATTCAACGCAGTTTCCTGAACCCTGTTAACTGAATTAGTTTAAATAGTATTTAACAGTTAAAACAAAATGTTGATTTTCGGGTTCATCTTCAATCGACTATCCGAAGAAAATCGATACGAGCTGTGAATATCATAAAGATACCTTGATCCATCGGCAGTCCCATAACGTTAGAAAGTATACCATACTTACCTAATCTGCCAGTTGTCACACTCACGCAATTTATGTCTTGCTTGAGCATAGTGCAGAGCACCTGATTCCAAGATTGCACATGCGCACATCGTGTTGGCCTTCCTAGTATTCACATCTCATCTCTCCCATCGACTCTCTTCCCCCATCAACTCTTTCATTCCCCCCACCATTGACTCTCTCATCTCCCATCTGCCCACGAATTCAACTCTTGCCAGTTTATATATACTATCAATTTCCCTGCCATCCAGGGCCTTGCAGAATCGAATGCTGGTGGTCGAATCTATTTGGGTTCCAAAATGAGGGCAATGTGCATGTTCGTCGCTCGAGCGTCGAGTACGCTTTCAAATGGGAGTTCAACGCCCGTCTTTGACAAGGCTATTGACAATAGCATAAAGAGGTTAGGATTGAAGCCTGTTACCAATCTACATTCATAAGTCTCGTATGATATTCTAGGTTCAAGGAGTTCTTCCCCGACACGACCGGGCCGACGTATCGCCTTTTCTACACGGGATCCTCCAGAGCCAATCCCGGGGCGCATGTACGTTCTGCCCTTAAAAGGCTGTCATCGATCGCACTGTCGGAACAGCTTTCAGTCATCTTGATCGTACGAAGCTGCGACGGTCTGACCGCGGATCGCAAACACCTATCTGAGGCACTACACATCTTCAACCGGAATCCATTCGCGATGGTAGTGGAGACTCACACTGAATTCGTGCAGCTAGACACAACAGAGCTGCTAAACATGCTAGATCACAATGATCACGACACAAACAGAGATCCTCATGGTCCAACTATCGAATTCCTGTATACGATTGACATGATCCAACGGGCAAAGGAGCAACTGGCAGCTGCATGGCACGAGATGAAGATGTGGACAACTGGTCGCAACAGGTTGCTCCCAGATATCCCAATGGATACCAGATCCAACTCCCATGAAGTGTTGCTTTTTACACAGCCAAATGAACGAAGGCCAGTACGTGGATCGATGCAATTATTTTTGATAGAATTTCATTACTGACACTAGCCATATGGCACAAAACATCAGATCTCGCGAAGGAAAAAAGATGAGCTCCGCCCCGGCTGTGGGGTCATATATGCACTACCGAAACGTGCATATGTACACATGCATATGCATCACCCAGAACTGCGCACACCATTCCAAGAGTGGCCCACTGGTATCTGCGAAGCGGGGATGAACCTGAGATGCTCTTCTCGTGGAATGACATGGGAAGGAGGACTGGCGAAACGACACCTTGCCAGTCAACATCGGAGGAGGCATCCGATATACGATGGGCCATGGGAGATTGTTCCTCAAGCGGCGGTTGACGAGCTCCCGTTTTCCTCTTTTTCATCTGATGATGAGCAAGGCAACGACAAAGAGAAAGGGGATGATGAGTCGAGTGTTTGCTCATTTGAGACGGCAATGGAAGGATGAATATATTTACTGTATACTTTTTTAACCTTGTCGGTGGTCTGCATCGATACCAGGAACAACTGTAGCATATAAACAATATAAACAATATAAACAATATATACCAAACACCAAAGAACCTCGAGCATGTTTACCAATGTGCGATACTATCATTGACTGAAGAAGATAAAGAGAGCAGGTCGTGTTTTCTTTTCTCCTTGTTTTCCATAAATCCGTGTTATTGTGCACGTGTTTCTTTTCGTGGTGCCTGCCCTCTCCCCCAACAACGCTTCTTCTCTCCACTCTCCACTCTCAATCTCCAGCAAGCTTGATCACTGTCCCAGACGATCATATACCGCGGAGGATTTGTCGTTATTATGTCCTTGCTGTTGACGGATTCGGATTCGGATTACCGCGACCCCACAGACGATGAACCTGAACCTGATGACTCCGATCCATCCAATTGCCATCAACAACAAACGCGTCAGTCATTGGCCACTGAAAATAATGCCATCAACATTGAGCGGGATATAGATGAACTAATATCAATGAGCCCGTACTTTTCGATCGTGGGCATGTCCCCATCACAGTATCGGCCCCTGGTACGTCCTTCTCCCCATTACATATGAACAAGTTCTGACTGGATACATCTTCCCCTTTAGGTAACCACGGGAATCACATGTCTTGTGTGTGAGATACCATTGAAACGCTGGGAGGCACTCGACACGCATTATGCACACATACGCAAGCGTTCAATTACATGCCGATTCATTTTGAATGCCACATTAACAACTGCATCTAGATCATCCTTCCAACCCAAATTTCTTGGAATGCCCAGAACATGGATGTCCCATCGCATTTCGCAGTCGATACGCGATGTTGGTAAGCCTATCTATCGGATTTATTCTGCAGTTCATGGTGCTTACCTCTATCTAGAAACATGGAAGAACTAATCGTGAGACTCAATACCTTTCCCTGACTTACCAGGATACTGATTTTCTATTAGACAGTTGGGAGAACCTCCGTCGACAAAGCACCGGTGCGCCTGAACGCGGTCTTCGACGCTGCCGTATGCCGGACAGCATGCAAAAAGGGTTCCCATTTCAGACACTTCACACTGGTGCACCCGGATAGTGATGTACCAGGATGGCACACATGGGAAAGGATAATCGGAGAGGATGATCTCACTGTGTATGGCAAATACTCAATATGCAAAGAGATGGTAAAAGTGATCGTAAGATCCATCAGGATGCATGTTGCCAGTCATGGCTCTGAGTATGTGACATGGGAATGGATATATGACAAGTATGTCTTGAATGCCTCCAATCCCACACCATTCTCGCAACTTATCATTTCTAACATGCGCTACAGGAAACCCTCAGAAGAGAACATCCTGTCTCCAGCTTGTCCTGATTATGTCGAATTCGGCCCATTCATACCCACAGATGATGATGACGCTTCGAGTGAGCAAGGCAACTAACTATCTTGTAAAGGTACGATAGCATGTGAATTTGAATCGCATATGATAAAATACTGATCATTATCATAGGGCCCGTTACCACTGTCGAAGATGACAGGGCACATCGAACACGACTGTGTAGTATGGAGATGGTCATTAACACGGGAGTCTGCCCAAAACCATGTGCGTCGATACCACCCAATAGATGTGGGGGCACCATGGGTGAACTAGGATACATCGGCTCCTATGAAAAAAGACCGATTGAAAGTTTGGGCGCGATATGCATTATGTGAGTCTGAAGTATCATTCGATAGAGGTGGGCGCTAGTTAGTCGGACACATAACTCTACCTACAATCCCCCCGCTGAGCCTTCTCAGTCTGAGAAGTCTGGCAAGTAAAGGGCTCACTGGCCTCTGATGGAGTCGATTTCGACTCTTGGTTCTCGATATTTGTGCTTGCTTGAAATGAATTCGAATGGGGAATGCTTCACTGGAGGATTCTTGGCCATGGACATTGATATTGGAAATTAGAAACACCAAAATAAGACAGCTTACCCCTAATTCGTTCCCATTTGTCCAAGTCAAGAGGCGACGCTAAAGCCTCATCCCCGCACTTCGGCAAATCCGCCAAATCATCGTCGACATCTTATCAGCGTTGCTTGGCCGATAAGAGGAAACCGTCGTATCTGGAGTCTTCTCCTCTACTCTCTGCACACAATGAGTGCCCCTGGTCGAGCCTGCTGCGCCCGTTGCGCACGTATCGTGTGTCATGTACTCCCCCACCATATATACATCACGCTAATAACGGTAGAAACAACGATGCGACGGCGAGTCACCTTGCTCACGCTGCAAGCGTATGCATTATGCACTATTCCCAAGCTATCTTTGACCATGAACTGATACCTTGGCTATAGGTCTAGGACATGTGTGCAAGCCCCGATCTCCAGAGAAAGCGTCCGCTTTCTCTCTCGGATCACCTGTGCGCCGGCCCCGTGCATCGCGGTCCCGGGGCGGCTGTTTGCCATGCAAGACGAGGTAATATGGTGGAGCTAATAGGCCCTTGTCCCGGAAGCTGACTGGCCTGTAGGAAGAAGAAATGCGATGAGAACCGTCCCAGGTGCAGCGATTGTCGCCGCCTGAATCTTCCCTGTGACTGGCCAGCTATGGCTATGAATGTTGAAGTGCATAGTCCCGATATGAATGATAGCTCTTCGCCTATATCCGTTGCAACTGTGTCTGCTGATAACATTCCGATTGATGATTCCGACGGCGGTCCGCCTGCGCTCAGCCCCATTACCCCGTCCGATGATGAGGAGTTTATTGCCACGCTATTTCCCCATTCATTGCCAAGGAAGCACTCTATGAACCTGCCTTTAAGTCGGTCTCCTATATCGGCTAACCCTCATTTGCGGACGGAAGAGGACCGGTCGCTCTTCAACCACTATATCCATGTCGTTTCGAGAGCTCTATCGCGCTCCCAGGATGTAGATCGGAACCCGTTCTTGATCACTCTCCTGCCACTGGCCGCTGTTTCGGATACGGTCACCAGCGTCATTTTGAGTTTAAGTGGCTGCCATTGGAAGAGAGTCTATCCAACCATCTGGGGATGCGCCCTGACCCGACAAGGCAAAGGTTGCACCTTTGTTGACTCCCATGCTTTGACCATACGCTGACTTCTCTTAGCTTTGACACAAGTAAACAAATTACTGGGTTGCTCAGACCGCCAATCGATATTTGAAGCTTGTGCCACGGTGCTTTTGCTATGCCTTACGGAATTATTTGATGGTACGTCTCGTGTTTGGAAGTGGCATTTGAAAGCCGCCAGCGCGATATTGAAGTCCCCTGCATTTCAAACCCTCATCTCATCCGATGAGTGGACGTTCTGCATAAGTCTATTTCACTATCTCGACTCTATGTCAACTATTTCTCGTTGCAAAGCTCCTTTGTTACAGAGCAATGATAGTATAACGGATCTTACAACCTCATTACGACGGAGCAGTGTTCCAGAGCTTGACCGGAATGGATCATCGGATGCTATTTACGGTATATCGCCGGCGCTATTTGATTATCTTGGAATGGTCAATCTGTTGGCCAATCATAGGAGTAGGCGCGTCGACGAGCTATCTGAAATTGGCTTCCAAGCTGCGGCTACGCATTTGAAAGCTCGAATCGATGAATGGCGTGCTGATTATGACTGTGGGTACTCCGCGGAACTGGAGTCCGACACGGACCGCGCTACTACCGCCTTTGAGTGGGCGATCAGACTTCGGCTGCATCAGATTGTGGAAGGGTATGATGCCTTCCATGAGTTTGTGGAGCGCTGCGTTGTTACTATTCTTGAGTCTGTGCAGAAGATCCCTTATGCAAGCAGAGTCGAGGGATGTCTTCTATTCCCACTTGTCATTGCTGGGTCCAGCAGTATTAGTGTTGAGCGACGGATGATTGTGAAAGAGAGGCTTATGGTCATGGAAAATACCTTGGGGTTCAGCCACATTCATCATGCTCGTCAACTATTGGAGACCGTTTGGAAAGGGGGAAACGATGCTTCAGATCTAAACTGGGCCGCTGTGAGATACAGTCAATTCCCTGGTGTAGTGTTTATATGACTTATTGTTTATGCTCTCATGTCGTGTATGATTTGTTCAATAGCCAATGTCGTCGATTGATAAATGAAGTAATTCGTTTTATATATATCATAGGGGAGAGGTTTACAACAAGAAAGAGAAGTAAGTATATGAAATGGAAAGCCAACTCTGAGCCCATTAAGACAACACACTCAAGGTAGGCAGTGTTCATGCCTTCTTCCGAGCGAGAGATTGTGCATGCAAGCACTTAGCAATCATCAGACCCGAGCACCCTTTACCTCAGCGACCAACTCAGCCAGATGGTCCCTCATGTTATAGCCACACACCTCCTCAATGGTGAGCTTTCCTGGCCGATCCGCAGAGGAGCTCCACCCAATTCTCTCGCTGAGGTTCTCGCGAGCTCTGAAACTCGCCTCCTGCACGCGAGTAGCGCGGCCTTGCCGCAACTTTTCATAAAGCTTCAGTCCTTCGAGAACTCCGTATTCCTCACGGAAACTCTTGTTGAACACAAGGCCTAATGCGCCTGCATCTTCGAACGCCATGCAAGATCCCTGTGACTGATCGGGCATCATAGGGTGGGCTAGCAGCAGATCAGCAGCTTGAATTCGAATGGGGATATCTCAAACTTACCAGCATCACCTAACAAGCAAACCTTGCCCTTGACCCAATACGGATAAGGCTGATGCTTGTACACTATAGTAAAAGGTCAGCTGGGCATTTGGCATTGAACAAAATAGACTTACGCCGCCACATCTTGATGTCCTCAGCATTCAACATTAAAGTCTTCATCCTAGGGTCCAGATCCGGGAAAGTATCCACCAATTGCTGCGGTGTAGCGCTTATATTCCACCCATCGTCACGCACATTGTTGTGTGATGCTGGATAGAAGCAGTAACAGCTCACCACTTCACCGTTGCTGCAAGGAGACATGACAATTTTGTTGATGCCGAATCCTCCCCAGTACTCGATTGCCTCATTGGAAATGTAATCCTCCAAGCCAAGCGATCGAAGCTTGTCAGCCCCAATTATGCATCGATAACAGCACGACGTTGACATTTCAAAGTCTGGGGTGATTCCAATCATGTTACGGGTAAGGGACTGGCATACCTGTCAGCTTCGAAATCACCACAGAACGATTCTTCTCTTACCCGGATGCCATCTGCGGCTATAATGATATCGGCCGATGCTTCAGCGCCATTTTCGAAGCGCACCACACCTTCCTCTGCGTTGACTTCGATTGCTTTGAAGTTTACTTTCAATTCACATTTTGGACCCTCTCCAGGTGCCTCAACTGCTGACTTCAACAGTTCTTTGTGGATGTCAATGCGATGGAAATTGTTATAGTCCTATCGTCAGTCAGTGCTGATTACTACCATGCAAAAAGAGGTGTAAAAAGAGGCGTAAAAAGAGATGAACAAAGAGGTGAAAAAACAGAGGCGAAGCAGGGAGAAAATAACGAATGAAAAGATAGATACATACTGTCCCGAATTTGGACTTGTAATCGCCGAGCGGATATGTACTCTGCACATCACCATCGCTCCAGTTGTGCATGATGAGTTGTTTGAGAATGACCTGTCACCCATTAAACTAGTGAACTATCATTCGGCAGTTCGAACAAACCGGCTTGGCTCCCTTCACATCCACACCCCATTCCTCCAAAAAGCGAGACCCGTTTGAGGCCGCACTCAGTGATGCGCCCACTTCACCGGCAAAATCGTATCTTTCATAAACCGTGACAGCATGGCCTTGACGGCGTAAGGCGACAGCCGCGCCAAGACCACCGAGGCCTGCGCCGATAATGGCGACTTGAAGAGGTGAGTCGGTGCGAGAAGGCATAGTTGGGTTAACTTTTTTATTTTACAATCGAGTAACTTCATTGTCTATGATCGATATATACTCTTTTCGAGCTGGGCTTAGGGCTTTGATGGATTGCAAGTTCTATCGGGTTCTCTGCCTATCTCGCGCTAAGCGGCGGAGAGGGGCTCTATCTATCCGACGGCTGCATTGAACTTTGTTGATCTTTACCTCTTTCATATTTGCCTCTGGCAGTGACAGCCACTCGATCTACGCCTACTATTGTCTGGGGAAGCTCTCGGTGGTTAGAATCGCTATCTCCAGGTCTCTGGTCTGAGCTGGTTCTTAAAGGCAATCCGCCAACCGATAATATGCTGGGACTCGTGTCTCATTCTAACCCTACATTTTTATTCCTTCAAAGTGACAGCAACGATGGAGAAGAAACTCGATAACTATGATGCTGCCGAGGATTGTGCATTGGGCAGTGTCTTAATGAATGACAAGAAGCTCCTTCGCAAGATTGACTACCACCTCTTGCCCATCATGTTCTTGACCTACTTCCTGCAAATGATTGACAAGATTTCCATCAATGTGGGTATAGCTCATCCCCTGTGACAGTAATCTCTGTCGGCTAACCTCTTCAGTACGCAAATGTGATGGGGCTACAGGATGACTTAGGAATGACTGGAAACGACTTCTCATGGCTCGCAACCGCATTCTTTCTCGCCTATGCAGTGGCGGAGATTCCCCAGGGTGCCCTTCTGCAGAGATTTCCCGTTACCAAGGTTCTTGGGGCCAATGTCTTTTGCTGGGGCGTAATCCTTTGTTGTTCGTCGGCTGCCTCTAAGTTTTCCCACATGCTCGCGTTGAGAGTGCTCTTGGGGTTAATGGAGGCTGTTATTGGTGAGTTCTCTACAGATTGTATTGAAGAATGCGACTGATGGGCGCACTAGCACCTTCCCTTACGATGTACACCAGCATGTGGTATACCCGAGCAGAATCGACACCACGTTACGGGTTCTGGTACTGCGGGCTAGGTGTCGGGCAAATTGTCGGCGGTCTCATTTCCTTCGCTGCTCAGCACGCCCCTCCCGCTATGCCCTTCGGTGGCTGGCGCATTATGTTTGTAGCAATTGGCGCTGTCAATGTCCTGGTTTCCATCCTTGTGTAAGGTCAGATCGAAGCTCCTGTCGAATAGATTCTGACCGCGTTTTCTATAGGATTTTTCTACTTCCCAACAGCCCCGAGAACGCCAAGTTTCTCACCGAACCCGAGAAAGTACGGATTGCGCAGCGTTTGACCAACGATTCAGCTGGTGTTGGGCTCAAAGTCTTCCGGTGGCGGTCTGTTCTTGAAGCTTTTGGGGATTTGCAGACGTGGATGCTCGTTTTGCTCACAATCTTCATCACAATTCCCAGCGGCGTTATAACTACATTCTCTGCTATCCTCATCAAAGGGTTTGGATATAGCTCCAGAGAAAGCGCTTTGCTAAATATGCCGTCAGGCATTGTGAGTATCGTGGCGACTATGGTGTCAACGTACGCAATCTCAAAAGGCTTCTCGAGATGGCTGGCGATCGACTTGCTGTTGCTTCCAACTCTGCTGGGATCCTGTTTGATGTCTTTCCTCCCATCTGAGAACCAAGCCGGCTGTTTGGCTGGTATTTATCTTGTCAACACGGTAAGTCAAGCCAAGATTTTAAACCCCCTGATATCTGACCTTAAAAGACGGTTGCACCCCTGGCCCTTATTTATGCTTGGACAGGAGCGAACTACCGGGGCTTCACAATGAAGGTAGTTGCTATGTCCCTCCATGTTGATTTGCTTTCGCTCACACTTTCAGGTCACTGGTGCTGGGATTGTGTCTGCTGGCTTCAGCATTGCGAATATCATAGGTCCGCAGACTTTTCAAGCCAAAGATGCGCCGCAGTAAGTCATTGTATGGGAGAAAATTACAGTGATGAAACTAAGCTCTGCAATAGTTACATTCCGGCAAAGATTACCATTGTTGCAGTCAACGCTGCTGCGATTGTGGTCTCCACAGCCCTGCGCATTATTTACGGGAGGCGCAACTCTGTCGCTGATCGGCTTGGTGCACCGGCGCGTAGTCGGATAGAAACACGGTTGGCCAACAAGGGAGCTGCTGGAGACGCACAAGATGATGAGAGTTTCCGCTATGTGTATTAAGACAGACGTTCGTATATTCAATGTCCTAACTGGAGACTTTTTTTATTCAATCAATTACACTTTGGCCAACAATATCCGAAATTATGATCTCCCTTTCCGATAGGCAAGTACCTTAGTAGGTACGCTAGTTGTGGTTCTAAAGACCCCGATACGAGTTCATGAGGTGAATCCTAGTAGGCTATCTACCCGACGGCGGCGGGGGAAGACTGTAAGCAGCCGATCACAGACCCAAACAAAGTAATTTTCTGCATATAATTGAGCTTGAATATCCCATGATCCCTCTCCAGGCTCATCTGAAATATCAAAAATGGCTCCTATCGACCCTGGATCTTTCGTGCTAGTAACAGGCGGCAATGGCTTTATCGCCGCTCACTGTATCGCAACTCTCTTACGGTCCAATTATCGCGTTCGGGCTACAGTGCGCTCCTTTGAAAAGGGAGAGGCTACGCGTAAATCTCTGAGCTCTGCTGGAGTTGGCAATCTTTCTCTTCTTGAGATCGCTGTTGTCCCCGATCCAACCGATCTAAATGCTTTTACTGCGATTCTCCACGGTTGCCAGGCAATCTTGCACTTGGCCTCTGCTTTCAATTACGATGCAGTCCCTGGGGAATTTGAAGAGAAGCTTATGATCCCCGCGGTTAGGGGTACACAGGTTGTCTGCGAGGCTGCGAGGCTGGATTCGAATATCCGTAGGGTTGTGATCATGTCGAGTTTCGCGAGTGTTTATGATGCCAGCCTGGGCCTACAGCCAGGCCGTGTTTATACCGAGAATGACTGGTGTCCATTGACCTATGAAGATGGTGTCACTGCCTCGATGGTAGTAAGTACTCAGCTCCATCTTCACTATGCTATGATCTCTGACAAAGTTCAGCCTACTGCATATCGCGCTTCCAAGGTTGTTGCGGAGCGTGCTGCTTGGGATTACATTCGTGATAACCCGGTTCAATATCAGCTGATAACGCTTTGCCCTGGGATGGTTTTCGGCCGGATGATTCACCCGATCTCCTCCCTTTCCCAACTCAACGCTAGCAATCAGATTATCTGGCAGGTGTTGAGTGCAGGAAAGGATGCCGAGGTTCCACCCACAAAAGCTCCCGGTATGTCTTTCTCTCCATCTTGATACGCATGAGCTCATTCTTCTATTTGCCAGTCTGGATTGATGTAGAGGATTTGGCCGAAACAAGTCTGAGAACGTTGACGTTTTCAGGAAGCGGCAATGAGAGATTCCTGGTGACTCAGGCATCTTATGATACGCAGGAGGTTGCCGATATTATTCGCTCCGGACTTCCAGATAGGCAGCGAGTTCCAGTGGGCGAGCCCGGGAAGCGTATTGCTGATGCACACTACTCCTGTGATTCATCCAAGGTGCAGGAGCTCTTGGGGGTAAGGTTCCGAAAACTGGAGGAGTCAATCATTCCGTTGGCAAATCAGCTGTATGACATGGAGGGAGTCTAAGCGATTTGCATTTGGCAAGAAAATAACAGCTCTCAAGAGATTATTAGTACGAATGATCATCACCAGAGATATTAATGTCATGCGGGGTAACTAAATTACATGCCATTAAAATGATGCCGAAGGGGACGGACTCTAAATGGTCGCCTCAAATGAGGTATATTTGTGATACTGGACCGCGATGTAGTAGGTGAAAGTAAAACAGATGCAACTTGGGCGGATATAAGTAGACCAAAATTCAACGCAGTGCTCAGGTATGCGCACTAAGTTCCTATTTTTACCAGGCAACGGTTACCACAATGGTGCTGTTAATTTCCGAACTGCAAAGGTATTTCTGTGAGAACCAGCATTTAAGATTACAATAAATCACGATGTTCGTAGAAACTGATTCACCATCCGTTCTATGTTTAAAAGTAAAAGTGCATTTAGGACAAAGAGACAGATGAGAGACCTTCCATGTTATATACCACGCTCATTCAACCAGATATTTTATCATCTTATCATCCGTGCAGCGCAGATTTAATATGCTGAGCAGTCATATCAATAAACTCTTTAGCCTGCCAAAGGTCTGAAGCACGGGTTAGCATAGTGGCCAAGGCAGTGGCAACAAAATCGATAACATACCCTTATCCATATGCATAAATGGATGGGGAACACCCAGAAACCGCTTCTGGATAACCTCATTCCCGGCCTCGACCAATTTCCTAGCATACGCCTCACCCTCATCGCGCAGAGGGTCACATCCGGCAGTATAAATGACGGTCTTTGGTAGGTGGGTGAAATCCGGAGCGTCAAGCAAATTAGCATACCATTTTACCGCGGCCATTTGCGATTCACGACTGGGACCTTCGGCGTCAATGCTCTGCCATTTGAGATTGTCAAACCACTTCAATCGCGCCCAGTTGAGTGTTGGCGCATGTTGCATCTCCTGCATAGAGGACCAAGGAGCCTCAGATGCGGACTTGTATAAGGCTATATTATCCACGGTTGGTGTGCCGACAGCAATAATCCTCAAAGGGATATTTTTGTCACGAGCCAGATGGGCACATACCAAGGCGATGTTGCCTCCTGCTGAGACGCCGCCTAGGGAAATCCTTGTAGGATCAATGTTAAACTTTTTGGCACCTTCAGCGTGTATATATTGTAAGGCAGCGAAAGAATCCTGGATACCAATTGGAAATGCATTTTCGGGGACGAGGCGATAGTCGACATCAATGACACACACGCTGGCCTTGGTACAGATATGTTTCAAAATATGGGCTTCTGTATCGAGATCACCGAGGCCCCATCCTGTGTTGTGTCAGTAAAACCTCAATATTTTGCCGTTCATTCCCTTCCTACCTCCGCCGTGGAAATCGACATGTACGGGCCATGGTCCAGGGGATGCAGGCTCATAAACTCGAACAGTAATCAGATCTCCGTTGTGACCGGGAACTTCGGCGTCATATACGCGTGCACTCTCTGGAGCAGGGCCCGTACCATACGAGTACAAAACCGAGTACTTCGTACGGAGAATAGCCAGGTCAATTGGTCCTGAAGGCGTGTTCGCGACATTTTCATTATATAGTTGAATGAATACCGGGTCCAAATGCGGAAGAACGGAGGGATGGATTGGATTCAAGGCTTCGTGCGACATGATTGCAAGTGTGATATGATAGTAGAGACTAGAAAGTAGAAAGTCTCAAATCACTTTATATTCCAGTGTCCGTTTCCGCCGAAGCCCTTCTCCGTCGCAGTCTGCCGACGGGCGGAACCCCGCTTCTTATCTAGGCGACGGCCTCGGAAGGGGACAGATACGTCGGAGAGTAACATAAGGGCCGGGGACCATTATTCTTTGCATTCTCGACTATGCCAGTATATTATACAAGTGTCGCTATTTTCAGCATCTATTGCCAGTTGAGTCCTTCCAGGATTATTATACATACCTAGCACTTCTGGGTGCATAGTCTTGCTCAAATTGTTGATTTACTCGCTTCCCACAAAGCAATGAACCCCGTACTTATTGTGGGTGCCGGCATTGTTGGCCTAACACTCGGGCAAGCGCTAAAGAAAAAGGGCATTCCCTTCGAGGTGAGCTGGATCAATAGATGGTCTAGAGTTACCGCTGCTGAATTAATCCGGTCTAGATCTACGAACGTGACTTAAATCCCGAAGCGCGTGGTCAAGGATGGGCAATTACTATACACTGGGCATTGGAGTCCATGTTCAAAATGCTGGACAAATCAACCCTATCTCGCATTGAAGATGTCCAAGTTGACCCAGATGTGGCCCGCAATGACAGCGGAAACTTTCTCTTCATCAATCTCCAGACTGGAGAACCAAAGTTCAAGATTCCGCCTAATGTTCGATGGAGAGTGAATCGGGAGAAGATGCGTCGTGCGCTACTTGTTGGTATTGAGGACCATGTTCACTGGGGTCGAAGGGTGACCGGTTTAAATGTACCGAAGGACACGAATCACGTTCAACTCCTGTTCGGAGACGACACGTATGTCATCGGAAGTCTCGTCGTGGGTATTGAGGGCAGTCGTTCGATGGTAAGGCAGTTCCTCCGGCCAGATGCCTTTGGCAACAAAAAGCTCGGGATCAACTTCACAGGAGTTGCTGTGGATCTTACCCCGGAAGAAATCAAGCCCTTGCGTGATATGGATCCATTACTATTCCAAGGTTGCCACCCTCCAACAGGCGCTTTTTTCTGGTTCTCTATGCTGGAAACACCACAAGTAAATGGAACAGCAGGGACCACTGCGGAACGATATCGTGCGCAGATTTGCATGTCCTGGCCGGAGAAAGGACCAGAAGACAAAGTAGCAAGCACTGATGAAGCTCGTCTGATCAACATGAAGAACCGGGCACAAGGGTTCGTGCCATTTCTTCAAAAGGCAGTTGATCGGATTCCTGCTGGAACAACTGTTACCGAGATCAAGTTAGCAGATTGGGAGTGTCTCTCTTGGGACAATCGGGGTGGTCGAGTCACACTAGCAGGTGATGCAGCGCATGCCATGACAATGTGTAAGTGCATCTTTCTAGAGGACAATGGGTAGACCCTGACTTTCATAGATCGTGGGGAAGCCGCTAACCACGGAATCCTCGATGCGTACCGTCTAATGGAGGCTATTGAACGAATCTACAGCGGGACTTTAACGACATCAGCTGCGATTGATGAATATGAAAAGGAAATGAGAGACCGTACGAGTCGTGCAGTACTCCTCAGCCGCCAGGCCTGTAAAGATGCTCATGATTGGAGCAGACTGGATGAGACATCCGCCATACTGACCAAGAGGGCTGTCGTTGGCAGTTGAGGCTCTGAGGAACCATCTAGTGAAACAATAAGAAAGGAATATCAATGAAAATTATTAGCAAGGCGCCAAAATGTAAATGTAAAATGGTATTCAAACCAAATTCAGTGCTTGTAAGTTGCCAGTTCTAGCATATATCCCCTGGGATTCCAAACATGGAGCCAGTTGACATAAATGCCCAGACAGGGTAATAATACTATCGTGCATCTTGTTCCCACTTCCTGTCGGCAATACCAGTCTAGAAATGAAGATGCATATACAATAAAACCGCACAAGAATGGAAAAGAGCTAAAAGGAAATCGATGGCCCCGACTTATTGAGAGGAAGTTTAAAGTGCAATCATACCAACACCCGCCAGGAGTGCAGGGGCCAGATAGGCGCCGATCTGGAAAGAGCCGAAGGTCACACTGGAGTGAATGCTCATAGCACCGCCACTGGACGAGGTCGAGGTGCCGGAAGAGGAACTGGAGTCAGCAGTGGCGGTAGCCTCAGTGGTGACGGTGCCGGTTCCAGCGGTACCAGCCTCCTTCATCTGGGCGGAGCAGGTGCCGGTAGCACTGGTAGTGGCCTTGGTGGTAGCTGAACCAGCGAAGCTGCAGGCAGAAGCGGAACGGCCTTGCTCAACGTAGTACTTGTTCAGGGCGAATGCGAGTTGCTGCTCGGGGGTACACATGCTGTAGGCACCGTACACTCCGGTGGTAGCATTGCGGTCCACTCCACCGCAGTCGGTGTAGCCACAGACAGTGCTGAACAAGTTGGTGTACTTGCTAGTCGCGAGAGAACCGGCCACAACACAGCCGGCGGCGTCGTACATGCACTCACAAAGATCGACATCAGCGCTAGGGGGGAGAGGAGATGCCTTGGCCGACCAGTCGGAGCCAACTGTAGGGCAGCTTTGCAGAGCGGTGTTCGTGGGAGTGTATGATGCTTTGTTGGTACCGGTGGGGTCTGCGGTAGCGATGTGCATCGAGTAGGACTTGAAGTCGGCCATGGTGCTGACACTAGTGCTGTCGACAACGGAAACCAGACCTGTATGATGAAATGAGCGGTTGAATCAACTCAGTGTAGGGGCTCACTTACCATAGTTGTTGGTCTCCTGGAAGTACATGTACACAATACCACCGGACCAGACTTGGGCCATGGTGTCGCCATACAGAGCGGTCACTTCGGTGAACTGACGGGGAGTGACATCGTTGCAACCATATTCGGCGAAGAATACAGGAACGGAGTAGTTGCGGAACTCTTCAGTTCGAGTGTTGTAACCAGAGTCTGTGTATGATGAGTTACCACACCACGAGTAGATGTTGTAGCCCCAGAAGTCAATCGACTCGTCGGAGCTCTCGCAGTCGAAGTAGTCGGCCATGTTCTCGCGGATAGTAGACACATCAGCAGTGGCGTATCCAACGCCCATTGACCGGTAACCCTTCTGCTTAATGTACTTCTTCATATCCCGAACGGCAGCCTTAACGAAGGCACTAGCATCCGAGGTAGCGACGGTGTTGGAAACCTCATTACCAGCGAAAAAGCCAATAGTGTTGTTGTATTGAGACAGTTCATCAATGACGCTAGTGTACCGAGCGTAGAGGGAGGTTTCCCAGGTAGGGTCACTACGGTCGATGGATTGGGATGGGTCAGAGAGATCGGAGATCAAGTAGATGCCAGCTTCCGACAGCAGCTTCATGCAGGCGGAGTGGTCGGCCGAGGCAT